AATTAGCGATATCAGGTGCCAGATGGAAGATGCGAGTACGTGCGTCTCCCGCTTCGAAGAACTATCGTTGGCGCAATAAGTGTTTCGAAACCAGCATCAAGATACGCTAATAAAAAAAATAACCCAAAGGCTGAACGAGGCATTCACGCGAAGGAACCGTCAACTCCCATGCGCGTACGCCACTGCTCTCCCGCTGTCAACCAACATTGATCTGCCTCTGGTACAACCCTGCTATAATTATATTACTTTTTTTTCTTCTTTCTCTTCTAATTACATACCTAGTCTGCTAGTATACTATGTCCCTTGCTACCTCGGCCGAAGTCCCACCACACCTACCTTACCTAATAATATCGTCGTCTCTCAACGCCGTGTACATATAATTATAAGTGATACAAACTGTCTCGCACCTTGTGATGAGCTGGTAAAGTTGGAGATTACTGGGTTTAACGACATCCACTCGTTGATTCCCCTGCTCTTCTCGCTAAACCTCTCGCAACCGCAGAAACGTGGTTCGGGCCGACCGCTTCGCGCAGTTCATTCGGCATCGAAGCCATTTCTTCTAGTGAGGGCCATCGGTATGTACAGCGAGACAAGGCCTTGCGGAGGGCCGGTTGAAGATTTTGTCTGGGAAGCCTCACGTATTCCTTCCATGCGACCCACCGGGCCTAGATCGGGGTAAGATCTAACATTCAAGCTTTTGTCCATTTGTCCCAACAACATGGCCATGGGTCGCGAAGCTAGGAAGCTCCTGTCAGCAAGCCAAAGGGGATGATTTCCGTCCCTAGCAATGTATGCGTATCTCACTTCCTACAGCCGTAAACCTGTCGGCTGTCCAGAGCAGCAGGGACCAGGTGCCCGGCATTAAACCAGCGTCACCTTGCCATGTCTCAGAGGCTTACCGACCGCGCGAATCACCACTCGCGACATGGTTATGTGTAGCCAGCCATGCCGTTCGTAACTTGCGCTAGATCCAGCAGTCAAAGGTGGGAAGATCGTTTTCGTTTACGTGAAACGGTCACTGCATTGAGACTTTCTTTTGCTTCTTTGGTGGCGACCTACCTCGGTAGAAAAATCCGGAAGGTCCATCGATATTCTGGACCTCATAAAACCCCCACGACCGCCATGACCATCGCGGCGACCACGGCGACCAATATTTTTCATCATGTCAGCGACAAAGCGTTTTTTGTTTTGTTTTCTTTTTTTCTTTGGTAGGTATTTTTCTCGACTCGGAGTTTGATGACCACATATACCGGAATCCCATACTTCACCGGTCGAAATTCTTTGGGTCAGACTCTATACATGCTGATAGTTTGTAAGCCTCTTGGAGACTGGTTCGGTTGGGACAAGACGGATGGATCGATCCCAATTGGCTCTTCTCTTCTCGGACGCCTTGCAGCCCGCATGGAGGCGTTCAAGACGAGCTCCCTTTGGCTGTCAGCCTTTGTATTACCGCCAATGGAATGCATTAATAGCCTCATCAGGATCTACTTCCTGGCGTCTTTTGTTTGCACCTGCAATAATTGCCATTTGGGTCTCCGGCCCCGCCCTATCTACCGAATCGTCGGGTCGATCTCGCCAACCACGAGCATCCCTTTCGGACTTTGCTTTCCTAGCTTCGACTCTCGTCCGAATCGCCTAGGAGATGTTCAAACGTAGAGGTAGGTGAGCAGCTGCGTAGAAAACTTGAAGTGCCAACATGGAAACTTTCTTTGCACCTCGTGAAAGCATTCGGAATCGGGATCTCTTTTTAGTAGCTATCACATGGATTCTCTATTTTTTCTCTCTTTCCTTCTCGCAACGTTACATATCGCTTCAATCTCAGACGTCGCAGCACGGACCGGGGATCATCCTCGGTGAAGAGGGAATCTCTTTCTTCGCTCACCTTGAATGTCGCTCAATAAGATCATTACCTTCTTTATAAAAGTAGTCTGACCGCCGGTAATTGACTATCGAGTTTGACAAGCAGTATTGGTGAAGCCGAGGACCAATCACGGCCAAGAGTGTCTTTGGAATTCGATAGATGCTGCACGCGTCAGCGGCCGTGGCGCTCAACCATTCATTTGGTAAAACCGCCACATACGGGAAAAAACGTCCTGATCTAATTCCAATTCGTAAGGCTAGCACCTGGGCACCTGGGCAATGGTGGGAAACACTTGGCCTAACGTGTCCAACAAGGAATCGTCTAGATCCTGCAGGGGTTTTCTTGTAACTTCTCGCATTAGATCGGTAATGTATGTGAGAAGATCGAAGTCTCCGGTCCTGACTGGCTCTTCTCCTTCCAGAGATCACCACAAATATATGACAGTAGATTTTGAATAATATAGCCGGTCTTATCGAAAGCGAAACTTTGGTTCACTCTTTGATCTAGCGGGATGATCATCCGTATAATCATATGAAAGATTTCTAGTTTCTTAGTCACTTTCTTTTTTTCTTTTTTTTCTTAATAACCCATTCTCCTATAATTTACCCCTACCTCAAGTATAGCTGCTTATTTTTAAACCAGGTTCGTCAAGTGCGCACTTCGCAAAGTGGCTTTTTATCAAACCTGTATCAAGACTGCAAGAGTCGTACGACCAACGTCCATGAAATCGTCATTGGCGCCAGCCTGACGTATTGTTATGATTTTACCCACCGTTTAGCTCTGGAAGCTCGGATCAAGGCGTTGATCAGCTGGAACTCGCTCCTTTCTGAGAATAGGCCCAGTTACCCATGGCACCTTCGCCCAAGCACTACCAGGACAGCATCAATTCAGCGAGAGAGTTATTGTGTTACACATTTATGTATGCACGTATCATTGTCCTTTACATTGGACGGATGAAGATTCTCTCACCGCATAATACTACTCTGCTAAAGTCTGCGTCCAATATGTGTGTACGTACTTCCACCTTATATATATATATATATTACTGTACCTAATAATTCGCTAGCAGCGCCTACATACAAAAATAAAATAAAAAGCCAACTTCGAGCCTAATCTACTTGCCGGAGTCCGAGCCGTCCAGGTGTCCATTCAACATGGGGTTGGCGTTACTCTTTTTCCTTTTTTTCCTCTTATGGCGTCTTCTATCTTCCATTCTATGCCTTCCTTCTACTTCTTTATTTTTTTTCCTTACCCACGCCCGAGCTCCCCATCTGCGAATTACCCAAGCAATGCGCTTTCGCGGCGCCGACAATGGGGCCGCCCCTCTTCCATTCTTTTCGAGGATACCCTTGACGTTACACGGCATGACGGCCGCATACTGCTGCGTGTCTGTCGTTTACACCTTAACGTAGCTTGCCTAGACTTAGCCAGTCCGTTTTGGACTGCGGTTGCATAACCCCGTGTCTGAGATGACGCTGGGAAGCGAGCACATGGTTGCTGCTCAGTGGTGAGCTAGCCAGAAGATCAGTCAGCCATAGTGACCGTAGCGTCCCCATAGCGTCCCATTACACGTACGTAGTATATAGGATATGCCAAAGTAGGTAACTGTACATTCGGAATTAGCACATCGAATTTCTGCAAGTCGATCCGAGGAGGGGGTTTTGGTGGAACGGCAAGTCTTCGAGAAGGGTGAGGGGACCAGGCAATTATAACCGTAAAAGGAACCCCGGACGTTTGGTTTCGTTGGTTTCTATCACCTATCAGGGGAAAGCTGTATCACCGATCTCGATTGAGATTGTGATGTCGATGGTAGCTTGTTTTCGGGATCGGGATAGACTAAGGTAGGTTAAAGTGAGGTATGTATCATACTATCGTATAATCATACTTGACACATCGTGAACATATTGTAAAGAGCTTTCCAATGGGCATCCAGTGGCATTCTGAGCTTTCCCGTGGAGGCTTTTCCCCACTCGTCTCCCCGCATTAGAAAGACATTGTCTGTTGCGGCGGTCATCCAAGCACTAAGCACCCAAGGACCCGACGGGAAGAAAGCTGTCAGTTTCCCAATAGCGCATCCACCGGTTATAGGTAACGTGCTGAATAAGGTTAGGAAGCCCATGCAGACGGCACGGTCGTGTAACGTCGCTAAACAGGGCTCTTCGAGTCTCTTGCATCCTCACACATCAAACCTCCCTTCCTCCTAAGACCCCCCAAGCTTTTACAAGCCCCCAACTAACCCCCCTATCATAATCCAACGACCGCATGCGCGCCCGCACTGTAGGTATGTACCTAGGTACGTATTACTTACACCACAGCGGCCGCACGCGAAAGCTATCTCGACCTAGCGTTTCAACACGACATAAGGCGAACGATTTGGGGGGGAACACACGGGGGGGAGGAAAAAAAAGAAAACCGAAGGAAAAAAAGAAGAGGCGATCAAATATGCGCTGCCATTGAACAACCCCTTTTCCCTCCCCCCCTCCTTTCCCCCCTTCTACGTGACACGAAACACAGCACTAGTAGTCCAGCTTCACCTGCTTATCTTACCTTACACCTTGCGAGTAGCACGAGTAGTACGCGTGAGGATATGTCGTAGAATATATGCTGTAGAAGGTATGGCAAAAGACCGCCTCGCCGAGCCTAGGCGTAGATAGCACAGGGCCGGCGCGGAAAATAGCGGGAAAAGAAAAAAAAGAAAAAGAAACGAGGGACGACGAAGATGGGGAAGTGAGTGCTAGCTAGCTACGTACATACATCCATCCAACATGGCGCACAAAAACGGGTTTGGACAAACGCCGACCAGCCGCCCTGCCACAGCATCAAACGGGTGGCTGACTATCGTCTGCCGCCACGCCTTGCCATCAGTCCACAATGCCTTTCGTCATGATTATTTCGGTGTAAGATCGCTGGTATCGTGAGAGCTGTACCAATATCGTTGTATGGTGGCGCAAACGCTGTTCTCGTCACCTCTATCAACAATCGTGACGGTTTTGCATAACGTCAGGTTTAGACTCCACTCGGCTTCAATGGCGGGAGTAGCACGAACACCTCGTATCCTAGTATACAGGTAGGTATCAATTTTGCCTTACTGGGCACCTAGGTAGAGATCACATCACGCTTGGGGACACATTCGAATGGATTCCAAGGTAAGCATTTTATTATACCGTCGCTTTTCCGATTTTCTCTATGAACAGACCAAGGCAACCCATTCACTTGAATGGGTTGCCTTGACTTTTTGGTACCCAGAACCTAGGTAACTTGATATCTACCTCTCGGCGTATGTAACGAACCGAGACTACAAACAGACTCGATCCAACCCAAGCATAAACTACTCCGTATCCAGTCCAGCTTGCTTAACCAAACCGTAGAACACGCCTCTCTTTTGGATAAGTGCTTGTGGCGTGTCGAATTCGACCACCTCACCCTTGTCGAGCACGACTATCCTGTCGCTGTCGAGGATGGTGTTGATACGGTGGGCAACAGTGATGATCGTACGGTGGGAAAAGAGCGAGGATCGTAACGTATTCTGCAACATGGCATCCGTCTCAACATCAACTGCTGCGGTTGCCTCATCTAGTACAAGAATGTTGGATGGCGTGAGCATAGCACGAGCAAGGGAAATTAACTGTCGCTGGCCCGCTGACAAATTCGATCCTATATGATTCAATGCGTTAGTCGGCAAATTCAACAATTGACCCGTCGTTTACATGAATACAGTCGCATCCTAATGGTCAAGGCATCGCCGAGATTCATCAAAATCTGACGATCGCGCAGGGACCTGGCTAGAGAACTCTGGAAAAGGCAAACAGACGATAGGTGATCGACATGCCAAAACGAGCATTTCTTGCCCCTCGTGTGTCCTTGTACACTACCGATGCAGGTAGCCGGAGGCTAGAGGGGAATAATCGTGGACTGCAGCAAGAGCCGAAAGAAAGCGAAAAATCAATCACTTACCTCCTTCGTTGATCTTGGCCTCAAGTCCGCCTTCCATGCCTGCCACATGCTCCTTCAACCGTGCATGATCTGTGAGAAACGATATGTTAGCCTAAGTAAGATGGTGGGAAGTGACTAGGACCGGCGGAGTTACGTGAGGGCATGTGCCCTCTCGAACATGCGGCACGAGCAAAGGTGGGTGAGATTAGTGTAACACTTACCCAGTACGCTCCACAGCTCTGTATCATCATGGACATGGCCCGGATCTAGGTTATCGCGAACTGTACCCTCAAAAAGAGCCGCGTCTTGAGGAATGATAGCAAGACGGCGCCGTAAGTCTAACAACCCAATCGTGGATGTGTTGAGGTCGTCGATGCTTATGTTTCCAGTGACTGGCTCGATAAGGCGGAAAAGGGACAAGGTCAAGGAGGATTTGCCTGCTCCAGTGCGTCCCACCACACCGATTTTCTCATGGGATTTGATGTCCAGGTTGATGTTTTTCAGCACCAGGTCCAACCCTGGGCGATAGCGAGTACTGAAGTTGTGAAACTCGACAGCTCCGTGTGCAGGCCAAGCAACCTGAGGCCGGCGTTTGTGGATGATTTCAGGAGCTTCACTTGGCAGGCGCGCATACTCGAGGACTCGTTCCACAGATACAATGTTTGTCTCCACTTCCACCGTCTGGCGAACGATCCAATTTAGCGATGTCGTGATCTGTAGAGCGTACGACATGGCCAAGCCCACCATTCCGGCGCTCAGTTTACTGTGATTCGTGACGGAGATGATAGCGAACCCTGCGGCTCCGAGAATAATTATGGCCCCGAGGAATTCTAGTCGAATTGCTAACCACCTGTTTGAGCTGATAGATGGGAAATAGGCTCGCAAGTTTGAGTCGACCCGCCACTCGTTTTCTAGCTCGAATCGGTCCTGTTGTCGGTATGCCCGAATCGTGCTGATACCGCCGAGCGACTCCTGGAAGTGTGCATAAATGGGACTGCGGCTGACACTATCCAATCGCTTCAATTCTCGCGACGTTCGTAGATAGTATCGCTGTACCCAGTAGTATATCGCGCTGAGCGGTATGATTAATGCGATGAAGGCGGGAGTGCTGACCGAGATGACGACTAGGGTGAACCCAGAGCGCGCTAGATTTACGAAGAGCATGTTGAATGTTCTGGCCAGAACCTCATCGAGTTTATAGATGTCACTCGAGAACCGGTTTAGGATTCTTCCTGCTGGCGTGGTATCAAAGAATGACATCGGCGACCTGAAGATAGCGGTTGCCATTCTCTCGTGTAGCTTTCTCGAGGCCTCGATAGAACAGAATATCCATAGGATCAACGTTTGAACAACAGCCAAGGCAGATGAGCCGACACCCAAAGCAAAATAGATTCCCAGGTACTTTCCAACGTCAGGGTTAGCTTTGGCTTTTCCATTTACCTCAGACCAATTCTTCAACCAAACACTACCAGCTAAACAGCTATTAGCATTATTTCCAACAGACTCTAGAGCAATCCCTACTTACCAATTTGTGCGGCCTGTGCTGCGACTAAGGTAAAAAGATAGATAGAAACAGCCAACAGATTGCTGGTCTTGGCGTATTCGATGTAAACTATCGTTGGTTAGAATTTCAGTCGATTGAATATGAAGTCTGAAGAGAAAAGCACGTACCATCCCATTTGACTTTACCTTGTTCCAAATGCTCTTTAGCTTGCTTCGTCTTGGAACTGGGCTCCTCTTCGTCATGAAGTTTCCCCCTGGGACCCTTAAAGCTTGCAGCACTTGCTCGTCTCAAAGTTGACATGCTACCCGTTCGTCTTTGCGCGGCAGGACTTGTAGAAGGACCAGTCCTAATGGGTGCCAATTCAGCAATACCCTCTTGAGCTTCTTCCATTTCTTCTTTGTCTTGGGTGTTTTCGAGTTCAATATACGTAGACGTCTCGCTCCCTGAACCTTCTGGGGTAGCAACCGAAGAGCCAGTGCTAGATTCTTGTCCTGATGACTTAATGAGCTCTGCAATCCCTCCTTTCATAGCTATCAGTTGGCGGAAGGTACCGCTCTCGGCGAATTCACCATTCTTAATCTGATATATGAAATCTGCCTCGGGAAGTACGGATATGGCGTTAGTTGCTAGAATTCGGCATTTGGAACTGAGCAGACCATTTGAGCCCAATACGTTCTCGATAATGTGTCTACCAACATGAGAATCCACGGCAGACAAACAGTCGTCGAGTAGATAGATGTCAGCTCGCGCATATACTGCTCGCGCAAGAGCTACACGAGCTTTCTGCCCACCACTCAGGGAGATACCTCTTTCCCCAACAACAGTGTCATCGCCGTCAGGTAGCTGTGTGAAATCAGAAAGGAGGGCGCATGCCTTGACAGTCTGTTCATAGAAGTTTGACTCGTATCGGTGGCCGAAGATAATATTCTCCTTCACAGTCGCATTCATAATCCACGGCTGCTGGGCAACATATGCTACTGTGCCATGAACACGCACACTACCTTCGACTTTCCATAAGTCACCAAGAACACTCTGCAGAAGAGATGACTTTCCTGATCCGACTCTGCCGACTATGCATGTGAGCTCACCCTTACGACTGCTGAAGTTGATATCCTTGAGGACGTCCTTAGATTCGTGGCGGTTCCACGAGAAAGTTCCGTTTCGGATAATGACGGCTTCGTCTCCACGATCTTCAACTGCCGACCCAACGATGACGGCATCCGGTTGAACTTCCTCGGCTGCGAGGTATTCTGTCAAACGGCCCACTGCGACGCTAGCTTCGATGATAGAAGTAATGACCATAGGTAAGACAGCGAGAGGGAAAGTCAGTAGATTGAATAACGCAAGGGCAGGGAACACGATCTCGGTAGTCAATGGGACGTCATGCGTCCATACGAAGACGGCAAAGGTCGAGCATGACACCAAGAACGGTGTGGTGGACCAGGTGAAATTTGCGATTGCCTGTCCAGCACCAATTTTACGAAGATTTTTAAGCTCCAGATCATTTCTGACGTAGTTGAGTTTGTTCATGAAAGCTCCGCTCCAAGCATAGAGCTTGATGCTTTTCATGTTGTTGATAATCTCGGCAATTAAACGGCTTCTTGCATCCTTATTTTTCATTTGAGTCTTCTGTAAGCGCTTCATGAACCTTGCGATAAAACCATTGATGGGGATCATGATAATCATCACACCGATACCAGAAAGCATAGACCATCCTACAAGTTGATATAACGAGATCATACAGATGGTGATCTGGAATGGAGCTGACCAAAGCTGTTGCGCGAATTGGGTTAGATCCTGTAGACGTTGTGCATCGACAGCCATATAATTAACAATATCACCAGTCGTTTTCGAAGATCTGCCTTCGTTTGAGAGCTTTAGTGATTTCTTGTAGATAGCGGACGCCAAACCTGACTTGATTCGCATGCCAGTGACGAAGGCAAGCTGGAAATATTGATGCTACAATTAATTAGCAAAGCGTCCTTGGGGCAATTGTGTATTGGCGGACTCACAATCATACTAGTCTGCAAGCATGCGACGAAGAACATAGCAATGGCGATGGCGGCACCTTTTACAGCGGGCTGAGGCACCTTTCCTTCACTATAAGAGTCCACGAAGCTAATAAGATAACGTAGAAGCTGAGGCTGAGAGAAAGCTGCTAGATCATTGACAACTTTGAAGATAGTAGCACCCATGTAGGGTCCACCATAGGCATGGAACAAAGCTATCCATAGAGACGGACGCTTCTTATGCTCCAATTGATATTTCCATGCTCTCTCAAACCTATCTCCTGTCGCAGAAGTCTTATCGCTTGGGGACAGTCCCCAAAGATCTTCTTCAGTGAGAAATTGTTTATATCCATGTTTCATCAGAGGTGTCATCCACGAGAAAGTGAGGCGCGAAAATACTGTCGAATATTCCACTGGGCACTCCTCTCCTTCCTCATCAACTAACGCCTCGTACGCGCTGCGTTTTTGGGGCCAAAGCCATTCGACGGCGAATTCAATTGCCGAAAGACCAAACCCGACAGTATACGTTACGAAGTAAGCAAGATTCTTATCGTAGATTTGTTGTGATATTAAAGATCTTAACTTTACAGCGTACGCGATTAAGAGGAGCAGCCAGTAGAACAGCACGACGCCATTAGCGTTTCTCGTGCGATCGTGTTCAAGCCATTGAATCGTGAAGATGACGCCAAGGGAAATGAGAGTAAGGAAGGTTGTGAGAACTCGGAAATCGCCGTGCCATATTCCTGGGTAGCTTATAATCTGAATACCGAGCTGGGCGGCAACATCGGCGATAATGACAACGAGAAGTGACTATGGATATCAATTAGTATGCAGCGCGTCATCTAACCATTAGGAAATTTCTAAGATATCTGAACATACCTCCTTGACCCAGAACTGCAAATCCTTAGAAGCTCCGGTGGGTTTCTGCTTCTGTAAAACATACCATATAGCTAAAGCTCCGCAAAGAATGCCAAAGGCAGCAACAGCAAAAACCCACACGTCGATGAAGCACGGTGTAAAATCATATCTAAAGGGGCTCAAAGGTCCCCATCCTTCTTCATTGCCGCATAATGGTTGTTTGAACTCTTTCGTCGCGCTGAGATAACCCTTTCCGAGCTCTTGGAGAGGTCTGTAGCCCGTAAAGGACCCGGTTGATTGGAGAACCTGTTGGGAATGGTCACAGAATCCCATGGCCACCCTTAAATTGAATCTCAGATGACAAAGATCATAGTAGGTTGGTAGAGCTGGGAGACTCCAATTGCGCAATATTGTTCGGTGGTGACGGAAGTTTAAAGGAACATGAAAATTGATTGGTAAGGAAATAGATGCTGATATCGTTTTGGGAAATCTAGCGGCGAAACTAATGGCAAGCTTTTCCGTCGGAGTTTGGGAGTTTGGAAGCTTCTACTAACCTTTTGTAGCTATGTAAGCGTAAGCTGGGAATTGCAAGGAATTGACAATTTCTAGGCTGCTAGGCTGCTATCTGATTACCTGGAAAGCACCTGCACCCGTACGGCGTACGGGATTAAGAATCCTAGCAATTTCATTAGTTCCGACATCCGAGCTTTCGCCCCCGGTGTCGCCCGAGGTCGGCCTCATTGGCCTAGAACTTTATTATTATGCAACAGAGTAAAGAGATCATTGAGAGTTCCACTTTTGCTACTTATTCATATAATGCTAGAAGTCTTCAATGTTTTCCATGTTTTAACTGCCTGTTAATAAATGCTGTATTGAATATTAAATTGAGCATAAGGTAAATAGCGAGAAACTCTAGAGCTCAAATTCGTATCTACAGGTCGATAACTAATATGTTAGTCAGTGCACTGGCGCAAGTCTAAAGGATGCCATCCTCGCAGCCTCGTTATTTTAATTATATCTATGTGTACCTATGTATTTCGAAGTTTCACCTCTTAACCCATCTGTATCGAAGTCTCTTGTCAGTTTTCTAATGCAATTAGTTCTGTGAAATAAATCAAATGCAGCAAAGAGCCTGCCAGGTGTGTAGTTGAGTGTTGCTAGGAACTACGTGAAAAATAAGGGTTGTTTTTAAAGCTCCTCGAAGCGTGAATCAACGGATCGCAACGTGAGTAAGCAATTGGCTGTTCTGACCGTTGCAACTGCCATGGGTGGGTCTCTTGGTGGGGCACTAAATGGGGATAGCTTGACGGATTTAAGCCCCGCAATCTAAACCCGTCGCGGTTGCATCACCGCTAACCACACAGCAAATAATATGAAGTACTCGGTACATACCTGCTAAATAGATATCGATTGCAGGGTACTCTGTAATTGTGTGATACAAGCTTTCGACGTGATAGCACAAGAGCGACCTCAACTTGTTCGATCTTGCGTCCGGCATTGAATACAATTCCGATTCCACCAACAACATCTACGTCCTGTTGAACTGACAATTGCAGGACATCGCACCCGTCTTCGTTTAACATTTCGGAAATTCCATAATTCCACCCCTTCGACCGATATAGGCCTGTGTGACTATTTAGGTAGTTGCAGGGCCTCCCCAGGTCCATGCATTCGCCGGGAAGCTCGCCACTCGACGGACCGTCCTCTTCTCGCCCGACCCCGTCTAAACGCAAGCCAGTTAGTTCTGCTGGCAATCATTCCCGACAAAATTCCACCAATCTTCCCTCCGGTCCCGATCCTAAACGCACCAAATTGAATAACTCTTTCGATCCGGGCACCTCCGCTTCGAGAATGAGCAAGGTGGTGCTTGGCAAGCGACCAGAGATCGTCGACTTGACGAAACCTCCTACCTTTCAACCTCATAAAGGCGCGAAGAAGCTTGTAATCAAGAACTTGCGAACCACCCCGCGGGGTACTGATCTCGAGGAATATTACCGAGTTACAAAGCAAGGGCTTCTCGACGCCCTCCAAGCCATATTCGAACAGAAGCAACCACGTCAACCACTCGAAAGACTTTACCGAGGAGTAGAGGATCTCTGTCGACATGGAGCATCTAAAGAGCTATATGACGTGTTAAAGGAGCGATGTGATGCTTATCTAAACAATGACCTCCACAAGTCTATAATGGCAGAGGCCGGCTCATCCAATCTTGACATCTTGAGGAGTACTCATAAACGATGGCAAATATGGATCGCACAATCGGTGAATATATTTGGTACTACGTAGATCATTCGGAGTCTAACTGATTTGTTCTCCCAGACCACCATTCGTTCGGTGTTCAGCTATCTCGACCGGTCGTTTTTGCTGAGAAGCAAGGACTTCCCGCAGATTAACGATCTCGCCATTTCACTCTTTAGGCGAGTAATGTTCGTCAAGTCGCCCTCGGGGGTCAATCCAGGAGCCAAGAGCCTCATTGGCATGTGCGATCTGGTAGAGTACGACCGGAGGGGAGATTCTCGATTCGATTCGACCTTGTTGCATGATTCCATCGCGATGTTAAACGTTTTAAACATCTATGGAAAGTCCTTCGAACCACATTTCTTAAAAACGTCCGAGGTATATTTCCGAGAGTTCGCCGAAGTACAGAGCTGTGGCTCTCTAAAGACCTACATTTACAGCTGTGAGAAGCTACTTGAGGGGGAAGATTATCGCTGTAACCGCTACAACTTTGATTCCACCACCAAGAGACAACTGATGGAAAGTGCACACGCCATCTTGATCCAGAATTATTCCGAAAAGCTCCTTGATGGTGGCAGCATAGGCAAACTTCTTGACGAGAATGCTATGGAATCTATGAAGGCCTTATATGACCTCTTACGACTATCAGGTATACAGAAGAAGTTACGGCAACCGTGGGAAGAGTATATCAAGGACGCGGGTTCGGTAATTGTCAATGACACATCCAGGGGCGACGAAATGGTCGTTCGGTTACTTGAGTTCAGGCGATCGTTAGATCTTATGATTCGAGACGCCTTTAACAGAGATGAGGAATTTACTTATAGCATGCGGCAAGCATTCGGTAGCTTCATCAACGACCGAAAGGTCCAATCTGCATGGAAGACCGGCACTTCCAAGGTTGGTGAGATGATTGCCAAGTATATCGACATGTTGCTCCGCGGCGGCCTAAAGACCTTACCAAAGTCTCTACTTTCCGATACTAAAGACCGTGTTGATGCCGAGCAAAGTGGACTGGCAAGTACCGGTGACGAGGACGCCGAGCTAGATCGACAACTAGACCAAGCTCTCGAGTTGTTCCGTTTCATCGAAGGCAAGGATGTCTTTGAAGCTTTTTACAAACAAGATTTAGCCAGACGCCTCTTGATGGGTCGTAGTGCTAGTGCGGACGCAGAGAGAAGCATGCTCGCAAAACTGAAGAACGAATGCGGCTCTAATTTTACACATAATCTAGAGCAAATGTTCAAAGACCAGCAGCTTGCCCGAGATGAGATGGCTTCGTATAAATCCTGGTGTGAGGGTAATGGACATAGCAAGAGTAAATTGGACCTCAACGTCAACATTCTGTCCGCAGCAGCATGGCCAACGTACCCAGACACGCAGCTCACACTACCCGACGATGTTGCGGCGCAGATTGGACATTTCGAAAAATACTACGTCAACAAGCACACAGGAAGACGCCTTACATGGAAGCATTCTCTGGCTCACTGCCTCATCAAGGGTCGTTTCAATAAGGGCCCGAAGGAGCTGCTTGTCAGTTCATACCAGGCCGTCGTGCTGACGTTATTCAACCACATTGAGAGCGACCCAAAGGGTTTTCTCACATATCAACATATTTCAGACAATACTGGTCTTAGTGGACCAGATCTTAGTCGTACTTTACAGTCGCTAGCATGCGGAAAAACCCGTGTGCTCTCAAAACATCCTAAAGGAAGGGATGTAAACACGACAGATACTTTCACTGTCAACAAGACGTTTACCGATCCGAAATATCGTGTCAAGATTAATCAGGTTCAGCTGAAAGAGACGAAGGAGGAGAACCAAGATACGCATGAGCGGATTGCTCAAGATCGTCAATTCGAATGTCAAGCAGCGATTGTGAGAATCATGAAGAGTCGCAAGACAATGACTCATGCCAATCTCGTCGCTGAAGTTATCAATCAAACCAAGAGCCGAGGCGCCATCGAGCCAGCCGAAATCAAGAAGAATATCGAGAAGTAAGTCGCCCTCTAAACACATTGTTAAATTCTAGGCTGACTTTCCCTACTAGGCTAATCGAGAAGGATTACCTTGAACGAGAAGGTGGCTCATATACATACCTGGCATAAATACTATTCTGGATGTTGGTCGGTGTTAGCCTTAGACTCGAGGTTTGTACAGGATAGGTGCATATCGTAGCTGGTTCATTCGGAATAGCTACGAAATAGAAGCTGGCTCTACAGCCCGCTACTATAATCAACCGAACTGTTTTTCTCGTGTAAACAGGCAATGAATGAATAAATGAAAACCAATCGTAACACCTCCCATTTCGCACAATTGAGCATATCCGCGTGAAGTCAGGCCATTCGTCCTCCCCGCTTTCTCCGTGATTCTAGACTACCGCCTCGTCCACAAATTCATTCTACCCCCTTTCCCCTTTCCGACTAGACGAACATTAGGGCGAAGGGTCCTACGTATCCACAAATAGTCTCCCCGGACCCATGACCGCTTACAGCCGGCACAATGCTTTGATGATTGTTGACATTTGTTGCACTAGTGACATGTTAACCTACCATTTACCGCGCTAGAGGTATCCGTTTCGAGAATACGCTAAGAGCTATTACGTACTCTAGGCTTGTGGTTAGGTAAGAACTCCAATGGCTGGATTCTGCGGGCACGTGTAGGGGATATGTGATAGTTCTTGTATTTGCATAGATGGATGGGTGTTAGATGATGGTGAGTCGCGGCGTTTGAAACTGGGAATTAGGATGTAGGCGTATACGGTATATAATGGTTTTGCGCAGATATATCTGGAACAAAATTTACGTGCTCCAAGGCTTTTCATATAATAATATACAACTCAACATACTAACATCTCTCACCTAAATACCTACGGTTCATAAGTCGACGGCTTATCATAAAACCCCGTAGCCCAAACGACCAGCCGCCCCGCCTTCCTATCATCATCGGTAAAAAGCCCATTCCACGAACTCCAGACCTCCTTCAACTCTACCTTATGCCTACCCCCGGGTCCGGACCAGTCGAAGTACTCGCGCAGTGCGGCCTCGATGCCCTCGTAGCCGACGATGTATCGCGCCATGTCCTCACCGGGACGGTCGCGGGGCCACAGGTCACCTAGGAACGCCGGGCTGTCCGCGTAGAAGCGGCGCGTTTCGTCCTGGTAGGACGCCCGCTCGGGCGACCCTGGTAGCGTGTTGACGGGCGGGTCGCAGGTTAGGGCGCGCGCCCGCAGCGCGGGGTACACGAGGTGCGAGCGCCAGGGTGTGGCGTGGCATGGCGTGAGGAATAGCGCAAATAGCTCCTGCGCGAAGTCGTCATCGTACGCGGCGTTGGCGTTGGGAGGCTGCGGGATAGCGAGGTGCGTTGGGTGGATGGTCTCGAACTCGGTGCGCAGGAAGTCCATTACGCCGATGGGTGCTGCGGCGTGGAAGTATGAGAGATACCCGCCGATGACGGCGTTGACGAGAAGCCCGGCGGCGAGGAGAGGGGTGCGCTTCCAGCCTAAGGTTGAAGTGGGGGTGGAGGTAACGTCGGTGACAGTGGTAAAGAATGATGTTATGTAAGGGGCGGCTAGGATGTGGAAGGCTGGGAGGAGTGGGGTGATAAAACGGACTTCCTTGTGAGAGACGAAGGATAAGGAGCATATAGTTGTGAATACTGTGAATGACAATGCCTTTAAAGCGTTAGAGGTCGTGATTGGCCAGTTCGACTCCGCGTCTAGGGACTTGAAGAGGCCTTTAACCACGAATGGGGCTATTGTTGTGCATAGCAATGGTATACCCTGAGAGAGATAATAATGCCAGTCATTCTGGCCATAGAAGACCGCGAGGTCTTGTGCGACGTTGAAGTGGAGAAATGTCAGGGGAGGGAATGTCCATTCTCCATAATACTGACGGTCCGCCAGTAGAGACAACCCAAGGGCGAATGATCTATGATAATTAGAATAGTAATAGCGATACTAATGGGAGTTTTACTTACCCACAAAGTAGGACTTCCCTATATACGATGAGCAAGTTCTTTTGAGTAAGGGGTGACTTTCCATCGAGAGTAGCTCTTGTCAGTGCAAGGGTAGCTATAGCCAACCATATTAGAACATTGGTTGGGCGTAACAGAACAGCAAATGCGGCCAGGATGAGAGATAGCCGAAGACTATTTACTTGACCCCACGTCTTGAAGAGCGCGACCGACGAATACTTGGATTTAGAATTCCCATCGTCTTCGGTGCCTAGAAGACTCCAGGGGAAGTAGTATAGAGCCATGGCCGTCAACGTGGTCTCGAAGCAGTTTGAGAATGTCCTGGTTGAAGTGTACCATTGCCAGGGATTAAGCAATGTCATCAATAGCTACCCATATCTATGAGTCACTCAGATATCATGTAAATGCAGGTTGACCAAACTACTTACAACGGACCAGGCAGCAACACTTCCATGACCATACAGCTTCTCCGCAAGCCTCCACGAATACAAATCGCTCAAGGCAGCAAATGCCGTCTGTAGGAGCTTAGGTGCCGCGATGAGCCATTTGGCTTTAGTAATGGGAGACATTCCTGCAGCTGCATACTGTTCGACAACCCAATACCCGAAGGCAAATACAGCAGGGTGAATAGAAGAGCGAAGTTGATGTTTCCATTCCTTTCTATGTATTAGCTTGATGCCTAAAGAAAGTCTCATAGGAAGAAACTAAAGTGGTTGTCTAGCAACCTACATACCCAAGTTATCCATGCTCCACCTTCATTGCCGAACAACATGTTCCATGCCGGTTCGAGAGCTTGGAAATACTCGTCCGGCTGGAAGAAGGTGCGTACACAGAGCGCATTAGCGAAGCGGACAGCAAAGATGACAGCCAACGCATCTCGAACTGGAACGGCAACTAAAGAAGCTCTATCGCTTTTCTTTAGAGAGCTTCGAGTGGCTGCGCTAGGCGCCCTGGCGCTTGGCTTCGACTTCTTTCCTGAGTTCATATTTGGTCAAGGATTATATATCCATTTCAACTATTCAATTAGAACACACGACAATAATTAAGAATATATTTCACGCAAATATAAATATAAAATACGAATAGTTGAGTTGAGGCGACCTGGCATCTGTTACAACGTTGTTTTGATTTTAAGCCAGATTTGGATATCGCGGAGCTGTCCGTATCGAGACGAATTCAAATTGCCAAATATTTACGAATACTGTAGGTACATAATGTTGCCAAGTAGTTGGTTACACGTGACAGCTGACCCCAGCTGCGGCTACGGTTAAGTTGAGGCTGCCTCTTTAGTAACATACTTCGATAGACTAATAACTGATAGTTGAATGACTTCACATGACTTCATTTATATGTTCGCCGCCAAGCGCAGTCTTATCTCATCGAGCGTCGGATACTACCCCCACGACAAAATTATTCCTTTTCAACCATTGGTTATCTTTAAATGGATGGTCTATGATTGGTCCGTAATTGAAGATTCTTCGGCTACCGCGACTCCTCCGGGCTCGGCGGGCACTCCTTGACCGTAATCGCGTTGTGTTGGTTTTTTTCTTTTTCTTTTTCCAATCCTTGCAGTATACGGGGGTCTTGTACGAGTAATGGCATATTTGTGTGTAGGTAATTATTTACTGACGAGAATCTCAACTCTAGCTTCGAGAAGAACAATAAAACATAATGATCCCTTGTCCTTGTCCACAACGGTGCGCTTTCCTTCGGCTCGGAGACCGGACTTGCCGCTTCACCGCATGTGACCAACTCGATCTTGACTTCAGGACCGGACAAACTTGTCATCATGGGAAGCAGCGACTGGATGAGCCGCTTCGACTTGCACTTAGGGGTTTAGTGGCTACCTAAGTATCAGTCCGAACATTTCATATTACGTAGCGTGACTTCCAAAACTTCTCAACATCGATCATTCGCCCCCGCCTTGTATTTTCCCATTTATCTCTTTACATCTCTCGAACATTTTGCTTTTCTTTTGATCTTATTTTCTCTCTTCCAGACAGAATATACCCAAACATCGAAATACCCAATACCCAACCAAGAAACCTTGGAACCAACCCAATCTTTTGCAGTTTGTGTCCTATTGTATCAATAGGCTGACTTCATAATTAATACTTTGGATCGGAACAAGTCTTAGTTCCGCCAATTGTTTCTGCCTCGTCGACAACCTTTAACACAGTCGCAGCCATGGCTCCTCACGCAGATGCCCCGACTACCCGCGCGGGTTCCGACTCGACAAAGTCGTCCAGATACCACTCTTCCTCGACCAAGGGTGCGATTGACGCCGAACACAAATACGCCGCCCACAATTACCATCCTCTCCCGGTCGTTTTCGCTCACGCGCAGGGCGCTGATGTTTGGGATCCGGAAGGCAAGCACTACATTGACTTCCTCTCTGCATACAGCGCCGTCAACCAGGGTCATTGCCACCCGGAACTGGTGAAAGCGCTCACTGAACAGGCCGGAAGATTGACCTTGAGCTCCAGGGCGTTTCACAATGACGTGTTTCCCAAGTGGGCGGAAAAGGTCCAATCCATGTTTGGATACGACATGGTTCTGCCAATGAACACAGGCGCTGAGGCCGTGGAGACGGCTATAAAGATTGCGAGAAAGTGGGCTTACAAGGTCAAGAAGGTGCCAGAGGGCAAGGCATTGGTCTTCGGGGCCAATGAAAACTTCCACGGCCGCACGGTAGGTTAATCTATCGCAATGTTGGTCATGCCTTCTAACGTCATGTGTAGATGATTGCGGTAACCCTATCCACCGACCCGGAGTCAAAAGACAACTACGGACCATACATACCTAATATTGGAGCCGTCTCTCCCTCTACCGGTAAGCCAATTCGGTACAACAACGTAGCCGATCTGGAGGAAGTGCTCGAGGCTCACGGAAAGGAGACCGCCGCATTTATTGTCGAGCCCATCCAGGGAGAAGCAGGTGTAGTAGTTCCCGACGAGGATTACTTAGTCAAGGTTCATGATCTTTGCAAGAAGCACAATGTGCTTCTGATCTGTGATGAGATTCAGACGGGTATCGGTCGCACGGGCCGCATGCTATGTTCACAGTGGGCTGGCATCAAGCCGGACATGATTACATTGGGGAAAGCTATCTCTGGTGGCATGTATCCCGTCAGCTGCGTCCTTAGTAGTAAAGAGATCATGCTCGTCGTCGAGCCTGGCACCCACGGCTCGACATACGGCGGTAACCCTCTAGGTTGTGCTGTCTCGATACGTGCTCTCGAGCTCATGGATGAGGAACAGCTTACCCAGAAGGCCGAGAAGCTTGGTAACATCTTCCGCGACGGTCTAGCAGCATTTAACTCGCCAGTTATCAAGACCATCCGCGGAAAGGGTCTACTAAATGCCGTCGTTATCGACGAATCAAAGACGAACGGCCGTTCGGCATGGGACTTATGTCTCCTCCTCAAGGAGAAGGGACTCTTGGTAAGACCGATAAACGCCTATCCTGCTATTTTTTCTTCTTCTTGGACGCAACACAGTATAAGATAAACTGACTCGGAGATCAGGCTAAACCGACCCATGGTAACATCATCCGCTTCGCACCGCCATTGGTCATCTCGGAGGTACAACTTCGAAAGGCAATGTCAATTATTGGCGATGCGTTGCGAGAGCTACCAGATGTGAAGAAGCATGAAGAAGTCCACGTTGAGCTGGAGAATTAATTCCTCGCGGCATAGCGGCGCTAGCGACACCCCGCATCTTTTAGTTCATGTGAAATCACGGGATTGGTCGGAGTTAGATCTGGGCCACGAACTTGAGAATTGTTCGTTGGCAAGGCGTACAGCATCAATTAACAAGTGGAAAAAGGGTGGTAAGAAAGTGCGAGGTAACCTAACCTAGCACTTACATCTCATACATCGCATTACACAGTAACATGTGAATAAGGGCGGTGTCCTGCAACCCTGTCGAGCCTATAATGGATATCCACCACGGTTTGTTCGTCTCTTCTGCCTATAGAATAAAAAGCTACGATAGGTCCCTGCCTAGAGCAGAGAACTGCTACAGGGGTTTCTGGAGTTTCTTAGAATTAGATAGGCTGATAGTAAGGGACCGTCTATCAAAAATGACTATCTTTTCCCGGGTTTCCAAGCGTTCAAATCGGCAATGCGGGGACCCTGTGCGCGGAAATGTGCATTTTGTGTGGGTAACGGTGCTTGACTGGGAATGTAGAAAATTACCGTTAATGGAACAGCCGATACGAAGCAGCCGGATCGAAGACTGGCCAGCTCAACCAAGTCCTACCTTAGCTCGATGCAGTAGACGTGTCTCACAATTCATGTGGCCCGGAGGTCGCAGGGTAGCTGCAGCTATACAATGCATCATCGATTTGTCTAAGGCTCGGCATTAAGTCTACTACCTTCTTACTAAGAAGATATTCGCAACGAGATTGGATCTCGCGAAAGCTAGCTGCGCTGTTTTTGACGATTCTTGTTTCAACTTCCAAGGTTCTTGGCTATATTTCTAGGCACATATTAAACTTCAGCGAATTCCTAATGGGACACATGTCGAGCAAGCTCCCGGTTTTTAAAAAGCATGTTCTGTCGGTCAAGTCAGGAACAGGAACCTTGATGTGAATATCAAGCTCCGATCCCCAGAAGATAGCTAGCTATCTAAGTGCGTAGCTTAAGTCGACGAAGGGACAAACACGCCAGCTTCGGGTTTCCGATTTGTTCTCGGATCGAAAGACGTGCATACCGCCAGGGGGTTCCACAGTAGCCGAGTACGTGTACGTGGTAATAGGTTCGGTCTGCCTAATTGAAACTGACACAAGCAATTGAGGGCTTGCATAAAGCCCCCATCTGCAAGGAGCTTCGAGAGCGCTGTAGAATTAATTTATTTGGAAAGGAATCTGAATCAGAGCGCGTGTATGGTGTGTATGGTGTGTGTGCCGGGGATGCCTAGTACCTATGATCATGTACTATGTAGGTGGTGAAGTAGGGGGGTAGGGGAGTAGGGTAGAATAGGTACTAGATAGACGGACCATCCGAATTATAGGAGCTTGCGCATAGCTATCTCTATCTCTAGCGAATCGCAACCTATCATGCAGTTTATAGGAGGTCAACCAGCCCTCTCGTTAATCTCATCAATCCCTAGCCAGCGTCAGCAAGGGCGCAGCTGTGGTACTATGTAGAAATCAATCTATGCAATGCGATCGATCACTGATAAGAAATACTATCTATGTATGATAAAGAATAGTCTCATAGATAAGGGCGTAATTATAGAACATTGAACGAGGAAGTTTAAATCCTTCTTCTCAATTGACGGTCCCGGTTGCGGAGCAGATAGGTAATAGACAAGTACTAGATAGGAATAAGACGGGATTAAACGAGCCGCCTTTTTCAGGGTCCAGGGCTTTGGGCTATTATCCAATGTTGCTTTGTCCTTCGATATAAGCGCCAAACCTTAATACACCATACACTGTATTTCTTAGTCAAGCCATTAGCGAATTGGGAAATCCCTTGTGACCTAAACTTACTCCTTGTTAACAAGCAGGCAAGTGACACACAATTCGACTTCTCTCCCTGTTCTAGTTCAAGCTCTAGTTCAGACTAAGTCAAATCACTGGCAATCACATAATGGATTATGCCTACTATGCGTAGTATGTGCAGGCATTATATTCCCGGCTGAGCCTCACTCGCCGATCAGTCATCAGTGTAGCATTTACAAAGAATGGCGTAAAATAAGCTCATCGGCGTTCAATTATTAGCTGCCATGTATGTTGATAGGTTAGTTGCACATGAGGCGCATAATACATACGTACGCGGGAGAAAAGGAGGATTTGGAAATAAGCGGTCGACAATGATGCAATGATGCAATGGCAATTGTTGCTTGCGACTTCAGCATTGGTTCGGATCTACAAAGAACTAAATCCCCATGTGCCATTAGCTAAAAATAAGAAGCAAAGAAACGCGCAACTACGCAAAGGCGCAAAGAGGCAAAGACAACGGACGAACACCATTTCAATGTGACTAATAGTGACTAACAGTACAATCCTTTTCTAGAGATGGCTTTGATTTCGTCAAGATGCAAACAATTGATGGATATCCAAAATGCAGACCGCCTTCCCCAGAATGGAGAGACTCGGAGGAATCAAAGGAATGATTGAGTTTCAAGGACGATCAATTAGTGACGATGAACCTATCAAGATTGTGGAGTACAGTGTGCGTCAAGAAACAATTATATGGGGATTCTCTAAGTTGGATCCAACATCAGATCCAATAAGATCATTAAGATCCATGTCTAGTGCTAGAAATGCCTAGCGTCAACTGGTTCTGGCGTCCTCAAGACTCAAGTGCTTGGATACATCCCATAAGCTTGTACAGTTGTACATCTCATAATACAGTAGCTTCGTAACACAGGCAGGTAGCCCCCAACAGGTCAGAGCCCTGGAGCTTTAGCAGGTCGTACTACGGTACAACAAATCCTATTTGCTTAGGGAGGTAAAAAGAATGGGGCACGGGCTTTAGCGGAATCGGCTTCTAGATTTGGCTTGCAGTCTTATCAACGTTATCATGCTGAAGAGTCGCTCGTGACTACCTGGTAACGAGTCTGATCTTCATTCATTGTTCAGTGTTCACCATCGCTTCGCTGCACGTTTACTTCACTAAATATGGTACCTTACCTTCCATGGACTTGTCCCGTGAGCAACCTGATCGCCTCACCTCGATGTTCTAACTTACTTGCGCCATCTCGTCCTTTCTCCTACTTTCACTTTCACTTTCCTCCATCATCCCATCCCAACCCATCCCGTCCCATTACCATTACCATATAAACCATATACAATAATTACACCACTGCACTCCCCATTTATTAAGAGTTCCAGAATTCCTCTTCATTGTACACACCTCTTATGTTATTATCTCATTAATTCGCCTACGTACCTACGATTATCTAATTCTATACATGTACATTTGCTATTGACGGTTTGGGGGTCGATCCGGAAAAATACATTGTACACAAGCCTTCTACTATTGAATAACATCATTCTCGTCATCACCAACCATCCCCCTTGTCAATAAGAACCATTACGGAGTCACAGGAAAAGAAAAAACAGACAAAAAAGAGCGAAGAGAGCTTGCAGTACATAGTGTAGACCGAGTCATTCATTTGATAATCGGTCAACTCAGTCAACTCAGCATCCACACAATTTTCAAGTTAGCCTGGGAAAAGGAAAAAAAAGCTACATCATCTATCCCCGTATTCTCCAACTTGCAGCTCTAGGTAGCTGCCATTTGAGGATCTCGCAGCTATCCATTGACTGCCTTCTTGCGCATCCGCACAAACCCTGCGCATCGCACATTTCACAGCTACAGCCTACAGCCTACATACAGCCTACAGGAACCTAGGACTTTTATTCAACCTCTACCTGACCCTACCTGACTTTCACCTGACCTATCTAGGTCTCATACCTACGGTGCCATCAATACGTTCAATCATATCATTCCGTACCTAATCTGGTAAACCTACGTTTATTTTTAATTATTTTTATTTTTCTTACCTCTTGCCTTTCTTACATACCTTTCATCTACGTTCAACCGCTTAATCGTCGTCTCTGATTCCCTAATTCAACACACGGGAATTAAAAAAAAGGAATAAAAAGAAAAAAAGCCATCCGGTCAGCTCTCGAGACATCAGTTATCATTTATCGTTTAGGTATCGTTGTACCTAAGTACCCAGTACCCTTGTGGCCCCAAAATCGATCAAGGTTCCTCTGTGTGTCTTGTCTTGTCATTCGAAGGTGACACAGGCATCCCCGCCTTTCAAGGTTCCTGTCCCAGGTCCTCGATTCTCCGCCGACCGACCTATCGGATACCCTGCCTCTACGGAGTACATCATTTACATCCACTTTGACGTCCAGGTCCCGACCTAAGCCTTGGTCGTTTCCAGAGACACGCGAACTTTCTAACTGGTCTTCTCTTCGACTTCACTCACGCCTGTTGCCTTGTGCATCTTTACCCCCTTTTCCATCAACGAACCACCATCTTTTATCATCCACACCCGCCCTATATGTGTACATGACGAATACTCGAGCTACCGATTCCATCCCGATTCCCTTATAAGCCCCCGGGCTGCATTAACCACAGCTTCCTGTCATAGCTCAATCCACACAGGAAGTCATGGCTGATCCTCGAGCGCCTTCGGGCTCGTCTTCTCGTCGTGGGAGGGCTACCGAAGATGTCGTTGGTCAGTTTATTATTGGTTCTGAGATAGGTAAAGGTAGCTTTGCCCAAGTATATATGGGCAGACATAAGGTTCGTATCTCTAAGCTCTGTATAGCCTCTTTATAGCACCCAATAGCATATCTGCTCCCCTTCGCAGCCTATTCTTTTGCTCATAGTCATTATCCTTGACAATAGAGAGCTGGGAAATTCATCTTAAAATTTTATTTCATTTTTATTTTTATTTTTTTTGCTCTTGGCGTCGCAGCTGGTAGCAAGACTCTCCTACTATGGTCATGAGTCACACTGAAGCATCGCAACTTGGCTAATGGAGACGACGCAGGTATCCGGTGCTCTAGTCGCTGTCAAATCTGTAGAGCTTGGCCGATTGAACAAGAAGCTGAAGGAGAACCTCTATAGCGAAATCAAGATCCTCAAGAAGCTCCGACATCCACATATCGTCGCCCTCCATGACTGCGTCGAATCATCGACCCACATCAACCTGATGATGGAATACTGTGAACTGGGTGACTTATCATTGTTTATCAAAAAGAGAGAAAAGCTGATCACACACCCTGCCACATGCGATATGGCTCGAAAGTATCCTAGCGTCCCCGGTGCCGGCCTCCACGAAGTAGTTATCCGACATTTCCTCAAGCAACTTGCTAGCGCTTTACAATTTCTGCGAGAAGGCAACTTTGTCCACCGGGACATCAAGCCCCAAAACCTCTTACTACTTCCATCGATCCAACATAGGCAAACGAATAAGGATAGTCGTCCGATCCTGAGCGCTAGTCACGATTCATTAATACCGGCTGTTGGGATACAGTCGCTACCGATGTTGAAGCTAGCTGATTTCGGCTTCGCCCGAGTTCTACCATCAACCTCCCTGGCTGAGACGTTGTGCGGGTCTCCTCTTTACATGGCCCCCGAAATCCTTCGCTATGAGCGATACGATGCCAAGGCAGATTTATGGTCTGTTGGAACTGTCGCATACGAGATGATATGCGGCAAACCACCATTCCGGGCTAGCAATCACGTCGAACTCCTAAGAAAGATTGAAAGCTCGGATGCCCAGATCCGGTTTTCTAGGGAATGCCAGGTCAGCGCGGACCTCAAAGCCATGATTCGCGCCCTTTTGAAGCGCGCCCCGGTCGAGAGATTAAGCTTCGAGGATTTCTTTAGCCATCGTGTTATCGCAGGCGAAATACCTGATTTAGTTGAGGACGATATACCTCGAATTCAAAGGCAGCCTTCTAGAGAGGTACGCCCTGCGCCTGGGACGGACGACTCTGACTTGATACCGCGACGTGTGCCATCTCATCGCCGCTATGGTACTGATCCAGATACGGTTCGTCAAGGTGCTAATTCCCCCTCGCCTCGAGAGAGACCACTTAAGCCGTCACCTTTATCTTCTCCAACCGAATTTAGCCCGTATGCTCAACTTCATGACATCTCGCATATCGTCGAATCTCCCCGCGAGGATATTGCTCCGGGTCTTGGCATCCGACGACCACAGGCGGTACCTTCTACGTCGGCGCCCACTCGACCAGAGTTGATTGAAGATCGTCGAAGACGGGCACCATCCAATGCTTCGCTTAACAAATATTCGCATGGCCAATCGCCTTCGCATGACGATGTCGGGAAGGGGAAGGGTAGATCAGACCGTTCTGCGATCGCTGAACGGGAAAGGGCTGCCCAAGAAATTGCTTTTGAGCGAGATTATGTGGTTGTGGAGAAAAAACACGTTGAGGTGAATGCATTCGCCGACGAATTGGCTGCCGAAGGGGCGCAAGCGCAAGCCTCATCTCCCAGATCGGGACAAATCGCTCGTCGTGCCACCCAACAAGGTGCCCCAACATCAACGACGGGTGCAATTCCCGCTCAACCTTCCAATGCTCTTCAAATTGCACAGGGTAGACAGCGACCTGGACACTATCGCCGAGGCTCGTATGATAGGAACGCGGGTGGCATGTCTAGCAGTCCCCGTTCTACAACATCCGCCATCGCCAGTGCGATTTCTGATGCGAGCTTAAGGTTCCTCGGCATCAAATATCCGTATCACCTGCGTAGCAAAGGTGCATCGCCCCCGCATCCTTATAACGCGTACCCGACGTATCCCACTCCAACTGCCCCCGCTGGCCTTATCACTGATGGCCGTCAGGGTGGCCCGATTGATGAGGACTCACGTGTTGCTCAAGCTATCGAGGATTGTGCGACACAGAGTGATGTTGTTTGGGGGTTTGCCGAAGTCAAGTACAAACAACTTGTACCATTAGCTCCATCAATGGAACATGGCCTTGGTGGGATACCCGCCGATAGGATAGCAACGGAAGAAGAAGATGGCCTTACGGTAGAAGCAATTGTAGCGCTCTCGGAGGAAGCCCTTGTTCTTTACGTAAAAGCTCTTTCGCTGCTCGCGAAGTCAATGGATATTGCGAATTTATGGTGGACGCGCAGAAATCGTCCCGAACCAACCTCGGCACAGCACGTCATAAATCGCGACGCGACGAGCATTCATAACTTGATACAGCGAGTGAACTCGGCTGTCCAATGGGTTCGGAAGCGGTTCAACGAGACTTTAGAAAAGGCCGAGGTGGTACGACTGAAGCTGCTCGAGGCCCAGAAATTGCTTCCGGAAGATCACCCAAGCCACCCCGTAAATAACCAGCTGGAAATCGCTCTGGCAGGAACCTCTAGTACCGACGGCATCGTGTTGACGGCTGGTCTTAGCGCTGAAAAGTTGATGTACGAAAGGGCTCTTGATATGAGTCGCACTGCTGCTATCAACGAGATCGCTAACGAGGATTTGCCTGGGTGCGAAATCTCGTACATGACGGCCATCCGCATGCTAGAGGCGGTACTAGATAACGATGAGGATTTTTCGAAGCGTAGACTTTCGGGGTCCTCAAAGACCGAACGTGACATTATTCGGGAAGGTTCATCGTCCGACATCAACTCGGACGATCAACAAGCAGTTCATAAGAGTATGTACCCCTTGTCCACTGAACGAGGCCGGGTTGCTAACGTGGAAAAAGTGATCCAAATGATCAATAACAGACTCACGGCTCTCCGAAAGAAATTACAGATGATAGCAAACGCCTCGAAGGCGCAACAAACCTTACTCCGAAAGCGAAGCGGCGACGTTACCCCGCGGAGTGTTCCTATAGGTGCTTAATGACACCAAAAGGACACCATTTCTCACGACGTATGATGACACGTAAAAGATTGCACTACAACTATTTTCGCCCCGCGGCCTTCATAATTTGTTTATTACGACTTGCCACTGCCCATGATTGGCGGTGGTGAGTCTCATCGTTCTTGGTAGGGCTCATCATTTGGCGTTTGGGCGGCCAACCCGTTCAGTTTCATTATACTTATAAGCATTCAAATATTCATTTTTATTATCGCCGTCGAATCGGCATTCTTCACTTCGGACGAATACGCTTTTTTAGGGACTCAGGGCGCATGCCTACTGGATGATAAGGGCGTCACTCGGTCTTACGTGTAAGATGGCGTGTCTGCGCAGAGTATACTCTGCCGCAAGAGTCTGGCGTAAAAGGCGGGGACAAACGGCACCACGATTACGCGGTATTGGTTTGCCATCATCCTATACACGGGCGGTATAGGTTCCCAGACTACTACAGTTTGGCATCTTTTTCTTTGCAACGACCGAATACCCCTTTGGAAGAGATCTGGGGTGTTCGCGGCTAGGGAAAGGGGAAATCAACCGGTTTTTTTCTTCATCGTGTTTCCTTGCTTTTGCTTTGTTCTTGTCCTTTTTGCTTCCTCGTCTCGATGGTCGGTGTCACGGTAGAAATTCTCAGGTTCGCTAGAGCTGATTCGGGGCTGGTTTTTGCATATGACTGGACCATGAAGGCCTCCTGTATCTACAACTGTATAAGGTAGTCTTACCCTTCTCGATACCGTATGAATAGCCAGGAAATTGACGATGCTTTGGCCTCTTTTCCTTCTGTGGTTCCGAGACTTCGTGATTCTTGGTTTGTTGGTGTGTGATATCACCCTGGGCCTCGTGATTCTTTTCAGGAGACGCTTTGCAGGTTTCTCTGGGGGAATCGTATGTGTAGGTGGTAGGTAGGAGGGCTTGTGATGTTACGCGGGAGGCTTACGATGTTACCCGGGAAACTTCCCCGTGACTTAGACGAGTTGGAACTCTGACTCCCCTATAACAAGACTTAAGAGAGAGAGAGCGTGATGGGGGGGTAGGTAGGTAGGTAGGTAGGTAGGTAGGTATGACGTGCACTGGGAAGTTGGCACTAATGCCTGGACTACAGCGTCGATCGATCTGGTCGCCTGGCAGGGCTGGTTAGTGTTGGTCGACGGGCGTTTCGTGTTTATAGATCTACGAGAGCTAAATGCCGGTTTGGGGTTAGGTGGTTTGGTAGCTTTGCATGTTTTTGTGAGTAGAGGTAGCGTAGGTGGGTGGGTGGTGGGGAGGGAGGTCTGCCGGACTGGAGCCGGCTCTTATGTCGTATTATCCACTGCTAGTCCTGGGTTATTATTTTTTTGCCTGGTTGTTATGTGATTGCGATTCTTGAGATTGATATCGGCCTTGGGGAGTGGCTAGATCGTGGTGGTGGTGGATACGATGGGATCTCGCTTTACTTTAGATACTTGGTGTTTGTGAGTTAGTGAGTTCGTAGGGCGGTTTAGTTGCCGACTATTTGGACTATCTACCTGCCTAGTGAGTAGGTAGGTAGGTAGCTGCATAGGCAGACCTGGCAGACTTGGCTTAGGGGAATGGGTTTATTCTACTACGGATGTTGCCTGCGGGGAAAGCTTCGATGTCGCGAGGTAGGTAATGCGGATTTTATTGATGTAAGCTATATGCAGGATAGAATCCCGTACCTGGTTTTTTTCAACAGCGTGACCCGGGCTCCCGCGGTCTTTCTCCGTTACGTGACCCTCCTCAGCCATGCTCGACTACGTAATACCAAGACCCCTGGGGCTAAGACGAACGGATCTACGGCATAGATAGGTCCTGGTTGACAGCCGAAAATCGTCGACTTAAACCGGGGGGGAAAGGCGGGATTGTCGTTTCGAAGGAAGGTTGCGCGACCTTGCATTACATGCAGACATGTAGGTCTAATTGATACTCTCTTTTCTCTTCGACCTATGTATTATCCAGGTGCTGATCTGCCCAATCCGCCTTAGCACTTTTAGGTACGGGCGTTGAGGCAAGCACGGAAACCCTGCTAAATTTAGGGACCTAGCGAGGATCACACACCGATCAGGTAATTGTCTGGGGCGATCGGTGGCGGGGTTTTGAGGATATTACTTGTGACACGATTTTGGGGGGGCTTGGGGGGAGCTGTCAGGTCTTGCCAAGTGCTTTCTTTTCCCTGTTGATAATGAATATTTGTATGCGAATATGTAAGCTTTTTGTACGGAATTGGAGTGTGCATCTTGGAATAGGAATCTGTGCGTTTCGTGAAGCTAACATGAAAGTTGAAGATGCCAGGTTAGAACCGGATTCGACAAAGAATGACAATCCCACGAGTTCCCTCTTTGTGAGGGAGGTAGGTGCTAACGTGCTACAGGAACACCGTGGGGATGGGCTGGGTACGGGTCGACGTCATCTCTGAAACTTGGGGACTTAGGACTTGGGATTTGTAGAAAGACCCATGGATCCGTTATGACAAAGATAAACTACCGATTAAAGCCCCAAGAGCCCGATTATGATGTTATGAGATATGTCATTAGGTACGTATGTAAATATCAGATAGGTGCACGCTTGACCTATCCCCCCTGCCCCCCTCTCTTAAGCCTAGAATAGGTACCTAGCCCTATCCGACTTAACTTGTCAAGCTTGTCAATAGCGATGATGGAGGGTGCTAGCGCTAAAGCGGCTGAGCGGGCTAGGGTGGACTATTTGCTCTGTTTTAGGAGACGCCCCCATTGATCTAACCCTTTTAACCCCCTCGACCCCCTTCCGCCTTGCCCTATCAAAAACTTGGAAGTTGTAGCATATGACGCTGACAGCATGATATAGGTAGTAACTGGTGGCAATAGTTGAGACGCAAGATAGAGGAAGTACGTATGTATAATACGTACACAATATTTAGTTGTTGGTCATTTACACATGACATAGGTACATACCTCCTAGTATGTGGTTAAGTGTATGTATTGTATATACAGATCTGTAAGCATGTTTAGGTGCTTAACGTTAAGGGCATATCTGATGTGGCTTGTAACTTTGAGATTATCTAGTTGCATTTTGATGTAAGTCAGTCGATGTACTGTAAGGTCTCAGATACCTTCAGGTACCTATTGAAATAAGAATAACGGCTTCGCAGATTTGTGTATCTCAAGTTCCAGAGCTAATCTTGAGCTAATAATAGCTTTTGAGGGAGAGTCGGGTCTGCATACTTATTTCTGCCATCGTACGAAATATGTATGTACCTGGAGAGGACGGGTTGAAGGTTTGAATGCAACTTGAACCATGTTTCAGACAAAGAATGTTAACCCTAAACAAGTTTAGAACAATACGAGGGAAGTCTAGGTGTTTGTGTGCCTGTCTAAACTTGCCGACTTGTACTTTGTAGGCCTCAAATCCTCCTCGAATACCTGCTGGCTGCAGGTCTTTGTTCAAGCGCCAGGCTCTAGACCCTGATGTAAGCACGTAAGCCGGTAATGGGGTAGCTAGAAAAGTAACCTGGAGGCTTAGCACAGTTTCGAACACTGTTCAATAGGTATGACATTTCAGGCATGCCGTTTTCCAACTATTTTCCAACTATCACGCTTTCATAAAATATTGGAAAAAATAAGGGAAAAGTCATTGTGAAAAGGTAGCTTGGCAAGAATTTATGAGCACTTCCAAGACTCGTGTATGGTTAGAGAGTTTTCTCCCCAACCTAACTTCATCTAGTCCTCGAGTTTATCTCTGTGGTGGGTTTACAGATACGAGACCTGTAGGTTTGAACCACATCGAATATGGGGGTGCCAAGTGTAAAAACAAAATGGTCTAAAAAGTAAGCCTCTTAGGGCAGAACCTTCAATGTTCAATGGCGAAACTGCGGTAACAGAATCGCTCTAAGGGTATGACTTGCATAATAGAAGAGGTTCGTATAATGCTGATGTGGATGTTTTGTTGCTTTAGATATTGTCAAGAGGTCTGTCAGAAAGAGGTAGATAGATACGATGTGATTAATAGTGAATATTGATAACATCTGCCTCCAAGGTAGTAGTTTGAAAAAGCTAAGAGCACGTCGTTTCGGAATCAAAACCCGAGCGACGGTATTGGTCAAGTCGTATAATACACATGCAGTCTACAGGAACTGCATAATAAAAGTTGAAGCTTCCAGATTTGACATTCCAACATTCGAATGTACCTACACTGAGAATGTTTTGAGAAGGTACTATACACACAGTATTACACAGTGCATCAGCCACAAGTGACAGAGTTGCAGTAGGTAGTAGCGATGGTCCACCCGGACCAAATAAGGTACCCCAGGTAGGCATAGGCAGGTGGGTAGGGTGGGTAGGTAAGGTACGAAGTGACTGAAAGTCCGCTGCTTTCCAGGGCTCTTCTCTTTCTACAGCCATTCCTAGGATTCAATCTAACCAATTTACCAATCCATCCACCACCTTTTTTTACCTCTTACCTCTTTTAATAACCTACCCTGTTGTTGTAATATTGAGGCCACCACATTCACTTTTTTCTCTTTCAAAGAATACCTGGAATAACTGCAATACTTGCAATACTTGATTCCCTGATGCCTCTCACAAACGCGTTCGAATATTATCAAATTATAAAGATTGTCGACATCGACACCTAATTTGTTAGGTCCCGGTTCGAGCTTGTCCTGAAACATTTCCAAGGTTTACGGCCTGGACCCAACGCACATATTACCTATCCCATTCCTGTACCGCCTGGTACCGTCTGTATTGTACCGTCTGTACCGTCCTGTCTATCGTCGGCAATCAATCAACAATCCACTTACCTACCCACCAACGTCCACCACGTCCACCTCGTCCACATCGTCCACACAACAACGCCCGCACTTCAACGTCGTGTTCACAACTCATAACTTACGCCTCCTAACTCGACCATTCTTCGACATTCTTTCATCTCACCGCCGATTCATACGATAGCATAAAAAAAGGGTGCGCGCATCTATTTCCATCACGATTTTCCAACGTAGCCCTGCCGACGGTCGCGGTCACCGTCGTCCGCCCGCGCGTCATAGACAATGACGTCTACAATCACCCCGTCAAAACCACAACAGCGAGCTCCGCAAATGAGTCCACCTCAACAGCCCCATCATCATCACCATCATGCTCATCCTGGTTCACCGCCGAGCAAACGTGATTTGAAGTCATGGTGGAAGAGCTTCCAAACCCGAGCGAAACATCAAGAGACCCAAGGTAAGGGCGACACCACATACACCACCTATACCACACACCATACATCACACAGCACATCCATCCTACTGCTGTACCAATCAGGTTCCATTCGGTTTTGGGGTTTCATTCTTGCTAGCCACAACATTTTTATCCCCATCGCTCTACCGGCGCGATTAACATAAGGAATCCTCTTATGAAATCTTTGTTTGCGTCGAGATGCCCCAACCATTTCACCATGAATAGTTGGTTTCAAGCCTCGGTTGCTTGCTTTGCAAGGCCTTTATTTTACTATGATAGGGTAGAGGGTCATAAAAGCATGGATTATGATCACGATGCAAAGATAACTACTAACACATCTTTCGACAGATATACAACCCAAGGGGATATTCGGCGTCCCCCTACGCCAAAGTATCACTTACGCGAATGTCGCTATTTCACTCGTCGACGAGAAAGGGAAAAGTTATATTTATGGATACGTACCAATCGTGGTAGCCAAATGTGGTGTTTTTCTGAAGGAGAAAGGTTGGTGACGAATCTTCGAAGGATTCAGTCCTATGCTGACGGCCATGCAGCCACTGGTATAGAGGGGATCTTTCGCCTCAGCGGTTCAGAGAAGCGCATCAAGGAGTTAAAGTTACAATTTGACTCTCCTGATCGATATGGCAAAGGTCTCGTGTGGGATGGATATACGGTCCATGATGCTGCTAATGTCCTCAGACGATACTTGAACGATTTACCCGAACCCGTCGTCCCATTAGATCTTTATGAACGGTTTCGAGATCCCTTGCGCGGACACACGAAACAAGCTGTTGGCGATAACGAGGGCACCCAGCTAGTCGAAGATTTTAACGAAGTTGAAGCTATAGAGAAGTATCAACAGTTAATTAAGGACCTGCCCCCGCTCAATAGGCAGTTGCTTTTATACATACTAGACCTGTTAGCGGTATTTGCCGCCAAGGCCGACGAGAATCGAATGACGGCGCAGAACCTAGCCGCTATTTTCCAGCCTGGAATGCTCTCTCACCCGCAGCATGCCATGGCGCCCGAAGAGTACCGACTAAATCAATGTGTCATCATTTTCCTGATTGAAAATCAGGACCATTTCTTGATCGGTATGCAAGGCACCGCCACAGACGAGAAGACTAAACAAGAAATTGAGAAGGGCCCGCCGACCGTTGTGACGCCTGCGACCCCGAGTCGCAGCACTGGCGTAGTAAGATCCGCCTCGAATGCGAGTGCTGGCGCTGAGAGCGTTAGCAGAGATGGCAAGATCCGGAGGAATCGTTCTACGTCCTCACGACATTCCTTACAGTCCAATGGTGCATCCACACCTGGCAGCCCTGCCTTAACACCGAATAGTGGACTTGCTAGAAGCAACACAGTTCCATCGAAGAAGTCTCCTCACATTCCTTCGGGACGATTTCCATCCCGACAAAGTTCACCAACTGTTGCGGTGGCTCCAGCTTCGCCTTCGCCCGCTGGCCCTACTGCAGGTCCTCCCCCAACAGTGGCCGAAGAAGCACCGGTTGCTCCTGAACGATCACCAGCAACGTCTCAACACTTAACCCCTATGTCAGCAGGATCACAACCTGCTGTTAGAAGCCAAGAAAGGTTGTTGGGGCCCCCTAGCGAATTTGCGACGCCTCTGAAGGAAAGGAACCTCCAGAGTCTGTTTCAACGAACGCCAGGTTCAGCAGAAGGCGAAAGACGACAACCCAACAAACTACGAAAGAAACGATTAGCAAGCAGTACGAACCCAAGCGCGCAAAGCTCTACCGCTTCCTTGCCTCATTCGGAGGCAGTTTCTCCAGCAGTTGACCCCTCAAGCAATCCGATAGAGTACAAAACCCACCTTGATCCAACTATATCAGAAAATGGCACTTCTGTAGAAACTCCTTCAGAGCCGACCCCGCGAGCATCTCAAGTGCCATCTCAGGTTCAATCTCGAGTGTCGTCTCAGGTACCATCTCAAGCACCGTCCGCAAGTACTACTCAGGTTGACCAAGAGCATATCAACTCTCTCAAACCAAAGTCATCACCTTCAACTTCATTACATTCCTCATTTAACGAAGGATCCGACGCAGATCAAGTAGAAGAAAACTTATCTGCACCCTCCGCCACAGACAATGCCGAGAAGGAGAAGAAGCGTCGATGGCGCATATCTCGACGGAAAGAAGATATGCCCGGCGCCCACACTCCCCCTCAAAACTTAGGTAACAATAGTAATGCCGAAATGAGCACTTCGTCAGTTGGAAGTGGGCAGCGGCCGCGTAAAAGTTGGACTGGTGACTCTTCCGATGTAGCAGCAACGCTAGCTGAATACGAAGCAGGAAACAGAGAGAAGGAAGAACCCAAGGGCCCTCTTGGATGGATCAAGAATAAATACCGAGAAGCAAAAGAGAATGTGGAAATCAAGCGCACGAAATCTCCTCCCAGGGAACCGGGACAAGGATTCCTGTACCCGGGCGGGAAAAGCGTGGATACTATGGGGAGCATTGATGAGAAGGGGGCTCAAACAACCCCGAATCCTACTCAGACTGTCAGCCCAACTCCCGAGCTAATTTCCACGACTGCTCCACACGACATCCCGTTACCGAGCTCCCCGCCACCTACCCAGGCGACACACAATGAGAGGCCCTCCAGTACCTAGGCGGAGGGGGCTTCGCGCCAGGGTAGGAGAAGGAGCAGTGTCTATTGGGACATGACGATAAGATTAGTTAATTCATCGAGCGCGGTCCTACTCAGAAATCGCAGGCATTCGCAGATGGGCGACTTGGACGGCCAGGATAATTAATTCTTTCGAAATTTTGTTTGTTAGGGTTGCCTCTGGAAGCAGAAAAAAGTGATGACATGGGTTAGCGAAACGGGTCGGGTTGACGGGTGGTTTGATGCTTTTTGAAAGTTTGATGACGAGGTTTCACGTTTTTGGAGGGGAAATATCTATTTTTTTGTTGTCGAAGGGAAATTTTTTTTGAGAGAGAGATGATGATCCCCCCAGTTCCAAATGGGAAGAAGAAAAAAACGGAGAAGAGAAGAATACTTCTTCATGGATACCCCTTCCCCCCCTTTTTTTCAAAAAAAGGGTTTGTATGTCGTTTTTTTTATTGGGGTTCAAACTTTTTTTTTATTAAAAAAGACATCGCGGTTAATGTGGAATTCCTCCTTTTTTATTCATCCTATGACGTCGGTTCGAATCGATGGTGCGCTTGAGATGAGAGCTTTTTTCCCCACAGGTTTTGAAGGGCTGTGCTTACCTCAGTGCCTGCGAGTCTTTGAGACTTGGGTTTGTGTTGTGTTGTGGTGAGACTTGTTTGATAAACCCAATGGATGGGTATCGCAAGGCGAGTTGGCGCCGAATTGGTGTTGTTGCTGTGTTTTTTATAAGCTCAATATATGGAGGCTATTCTGTGCTGCTCGGACGCGGTTTTGCGCCTTTTTGGTGGTTTTTTTTGGTATGGGCGCTTTTTGCCTTGACTTATCTAGGTACTAAACTTCGTTTACGTCCGGCTTGGAGTTGAGGAGAGGTTTGTTCGTTTATTTTTGTAGGTGTGTAAAGTGTGTGAATACACGTGTGATAGTCCGGGGCTCGTTTAGCGTCTTGTTTGCCCGCGGGTGTTGGTTGGTTGATTGATTGACATTGGATTAGTACCTTTATTTGAGTCGCAGTTGGCGAAAGAGAAGAGAGAGATTGGGGCTGCGATGGTCCCCTTTTATATCTAACCTTGGAGTTGGGTTATTTCTGCTGAGGTTGGGAGTGAAGGCATAAATGGCGAGTTCAGTAGCCTATCTTTTTTAAGAGAATCAATCGGTGAATAATAAAAGGGGTCTCTGATCGGAATCGGCGAATGAGATGGTGATGGTGATAGGTCAAATGATTGCCCCTTACTAAGGGTCCTGTGAAGTTAATACGAGCTTGATCTACTCAGTCGATAATACTTTATTATAATAGGAAGGTCGATGAGACATAGGCACGCAAACAAGCACTCGGTAGAGTGGTGTCAAGAAAGTGTGGAATTAACATATTAGATTATTCGAAGATATTATTTCTAAAGTTTGCGGAAGTTGTCTCATTATGTACGTGACGCCATGTGCTGAAAATCCACTATCTAACATAAAATCGGTGGCCTCAAATACGGGCGGTCCGCGTATACGGTCAAGACCGAATACGACGAATCGGGGGCTGAGTTAGCGATCGCTGGATGCTAGTCACCTACACATACCTGCTACCACCTCGATATCGTAGTTCCTGCGATACCAGAGGTATTTAGCGTGGTAAAACTAGGTCTTAGGTAGGTATGGAGCTGTGGGAAGATGATGAGATAAGTCTACTTCAACAATGGCATACCTAGGTATCATTTCGACGAGTAGCACTTAGGAAGTACAAGATGTAATGGTTGATGGTAATGGTCGAACTGTGACTACCTGCCCGCATTCCTAGACCCCTTTCTCGCTTACTAATTAGGTACCGAAAATTATTTGTGGTTACCTATGAGAGATTGACGTAGTGAACCTATGAACTCACCCTATTTTGCACCTAGAGTGCCTAGTAGGCGAGCATACGTACTTTGGCTCGGTTTGTAGCGCACGACGATGATGAATACCTGTGGTAAAGTTAGCTTAGTAATGATAGTGATTCGTAAGTCCAGAGGCCGCAAGGGCAGCTAAAAAAGACTAGAGAGTAGGTGGTCTTGGTCGTAGTACGCATCCACTGGATGCTTTTTCGAGACTTCATGCTAGATTTCGGAGAGGGCTTTGAACATGCGCCCCTCCTCTCCTGCATTACTATACTGTGATAAGATGTGCCAGTCCCCGTCTTCCAACTGCGCCGAGTGACGAAAACAGTTCGAACTTGAATCAAGCGATCCGTGTATATCCACCACCTCTCTCAATTGCGGAGCGTTTATAATGCCGACCCGCTTCCCGATCTCATGCTCATCCGTATTTTCATACATGGGTATCTTCTGCTCTTCAAGAAAACATATACATGAAATTTTCTAAATGCCATTGCTCGCACACCCCCAGGCTTTTCCAACTGTGCCTAGTGCAAACTCATCCAAAATGCCCTGGACACTGACGTAGGTTCCGGCTGATAAGAAGAAAACGCCGGTCAAGATAATGATAATGTTCAAGATGCCCTCGATCCAGCCACGGAGTGACCGGTCTCCGAGGAATGCAACGGACCCGTCGGCTTTCCGCATGCGGAAATAGGCGACACCCCAGAAGATGAACCCGAAAAAGGAGTCAAATAGCGAGGACATAAGGGAGAGAACTATGATTTGTGTTAATTGGCATTTGAAAATAGTGTAAATTCTTAATTAAGACTTACGAGAGTTAAAGAAAGGGATTGAATTTGCGATGATGAAAGCGAGAATCCAAGTGCAGACTAAATAAAACGTTAGCATGAAGATCAAGATCACTGCGCTAGAAATTCATACGTAGAATGAGTGCCCATGTTGCCCATCCAACGACCGTATGTTCGTTCTTATGTCGAGAATGTTGGAAGATTCGAAAAAAGATGAATCGAGACGATACCGAGGCATATAAAACACCTAGAAAGATGATGGTAGGAATCATGAACGAAAAGGCGATCTTTTTATATAGTGGAATCAAGGATCCAAAAGCTGGCGATGTCATATACTGGTTACCTACAAACGCATATGTGACTGCGCCAACGATGCTGAAAACAAGTATTTCGAGGATAGTGCATGCCCATAAAGCCTTGGGGAAATCTCTCGGCTCACGCATCTCGGCAATAAAGCTAGGAAGGGTAATCTGCCCAATAAAAGTATAGCTTTAAGATTGTTAGCCACAATACGGACGTTAATGGGAAATCTAGTACCTAATGTTAAGGAATGCACCCAGGCCCGAAACAAACGTGGTTCCAAGGACGGGGATAGCGGTGACGATTGGGTTACCGAATGGGAGTGCCGCGCCGGTATCAGGGTCGGTAGCCGGATCGGCATTGAAGCCTGCAGGATGACTCTGGATACCAGCGAAAATCGTGGCTAGGATGACGGAAACAAAAGTAAATGCGGCAGATGCAGTTCCAAGCTTCGAGAGCATACTGAAAGTGCGAGGTAGAGATGATAGCCAGCAAATAACAGTGATGATAGCCCCAAAAGATACAGTCTGGCAGGAAACGCTTGAGTTCGGGCCGACCATGGTGTTCAGATACTTAGCCCCAACGAGAACGTGGAGACCCTGCAAATAAGTTAGGTTCATGGATACGGCGATGACCTGTGAATGACGACTCACCTGAATGAAGGTGTTGTTTAAGATGAACATAAAAGCCGTGAAGTACCAGGCCCATTTCTGGTCCCAGAATAGCATCTGGCCAATATCACATACATCTCTAACCTCAGGATGTCGCAGGCAAAATTCCCATAACACAATGGAGCTATTGTGGAAATGTTAGCAAGGCAACATGACAGGGTAGGTTTGGACAACACACGTGTATAGAACTAGGAGAGCTTGAACGACAGTAAGAATGAGCCTAAATGGCAATGTCAGCTACTGCATAAGCTTTACCAAGATATGTGCCCAGAAGCTAAGAAAGCTTACCCTGGGACAAGTCCGAGGACGCTGTAGGACCACGGGAAGCTCATGATGGCCTGTTAATATGTTAGAATGCCATGAGGTAGATTGAAAATAAATGATATATGAGAAATAGAGCATCGAATTGCTATTTAGCAGAGATATGGCTGCAAAACTTACCAAACAGATATATTCGGAGAATAATAATGCGGCTGTCTGTAGAGAAAAGTCAAGATGTTAGTAAACTATTAGATCCTTGGCCTCCTGCCGAGATTCATGTGCCGGCTTGGACATAGCTTAGACACACCTTTTGCCAACTACATGTACGATATTGGATAGCACAATTGGCCTCCTCTTCAAGCTGTTTGTTAAGAATTGCATCGCTGCTGACATTACTGTCCGAATCTCGACCTTCAATGTTGAGGGGTATTATCTGAGGGGCGATACGGGGTCCTATCTTGACATTGGGACCACCGAACCAAGCAGCCCACCCTTGAGGCCTGGCGACCTCGTGGGTTTCGAAAGGCGATGGCTCGTCCGAGTAGTCTGCCTTCATGTTGACGATAGGCACAAACCCCCGAAGTTTAGGGAGATACCTAAGAAGGAGGAAGAAGACCTCGGAGGAGAAGGATGCCGAGAAGGGTGCCGAGTAGAGTACGGCGTAAACTTAAGTTTAGTGAATCTCTAATCCGGTAGTCGCACACATTACACGGAATCGGAATAGGCAATGCTGTGAGTGTCGGGGGTTGAAACGGTCGTATGTATATTAAGTATACTTCGAGCGCAGATCACCAAAGGCAAGAAAGAGAAGAGAGAAAATAGAATTATAAAAGAACGCGGAGCGGGAACAAGTTTAAAAAGCAGAACCTTGAAGCGTGGTACATTATAAGTCGCGATTACCCTGATATGCTAGGAAAGGACGCCCATCCATGTATGTATTTCTATGAGGTAAGTACATACAGGTTGTACCTAACATATTTAGCGTATGGTAATAAGTCTATAAAAGGCCGACCGAGCAAGGTACTTATCCTTTTACATGTACGCATATGTACAGGAGACGTAATGCCTTGCCTCGACGATGTCATGAGGATTCAATCGCAATTTTAGTCACGATGCAACACGGGAGCATGAGTACCTAACGTCAGGTATTTGATTTCTGACATTACACACGCACATCCTCGCCTGTTTCCGGGTTTCTATAAACTAACCACTTAAGATCTAAGACACAGGCTGACAACTTCAAGACAGTATGTACCTAAACTACCTAGATAGGTATTGGATTACCCGATGAGCTAACCGAATAGGCGTCCCCGAAATAGTGCACAGGAGGACAGGGTAAACCATCAGTCGTGGGGGTTGTTATTGGTCTATTCATCCTCCTCCAAAGCCAAGAGATAAATTCAATCTCGATCCAGTAATAAATCGCCCAGATGCGCCTCACAGCCTTGCGTGCGCTAAACCTAAAACGGCATCAAGTTGATCACGCAACTTCTATCATCTATGACGACTGATAAGGTCGTTACACCGTTACGGAGTGCTTACCGCCTCTATTGGTGTCACCGAAGACTTTAGCCACATACAACATTTGTGCTACCTACCTACCTACTATGGGGTAGCTGCCTCGGTGCATATTATACCTATTCCGCTCATATTATACTATGTATAACTTTGCTGTCAATTGTATAATATTGAACCTCTCGACTAGTATTTAGACGAGCCGGCATGGTTGTATCGCGTGGTTTCTATGATTCCATGAATACGTAAATGCCATGTGTGGGGGTAGCATCAACCAATACCCATCCCAAGTTAATGACAGATGATTGGACATCTACGAATATCGACCATCAAACACAATACTCTAACCAGGCTGCCGGGTCGGATCTCTCGCGTGCGCCAGCCCATTCTTTTAGTCTATGGGGCAAATCGAAACTTCTATACCCGGACGTTTCAAACTTTCAACTAGTCGTATCAACAATACTTCAGATATTGCGCAATCGAGTAGCGGTTCTCCCTAGATCACAACGTGGGAACTAGTGGACACAAGTCGGCCACACGACATCTTGCGATTTCGTTCGTAGGTGGAACGACGTGAAGAGAATTCTTCACTTAAGCCGAGTTTAACAGCCAGTGCTTTGTTTATGTAATCCATCGAGTCAACCTAGAACTTCCAAGTTACATGTGAGAATAAACCGGTTGTACAGAACTGCAGTAGGAGGCAATATGCTACCCAGTACGGATCGAGCGGGGCACGCCCTTCGAAGACATCGAGCAAGGTACGTATTTATACCTACACATCTACGATAATCAGTGATAGGACAGTCAACAATCTCATTTATATTCGTTTATCATTCATTAGCATCGAACAAGATCCGTTAACACGGATCTGCTAACTAAATAACGCCCCTAGAGCGGATTGATTCTAGTTCTGCGGCTGAGTAAATGGTATATATCAACCTACATCCCCTAAATCAATTGTCAATACTTTTAGCCATTACATGCCCAGGTGCTTAAGGACGAGAGCGCTGCTCTTGAATCGAGACAAAATATAACGTCAGTCGTCTAAGACGATGATGCCGAATACCGATGCCGTTACCTACGGGTTCAACATATCTAACGAAGCCATGCATGATGGATGAAATCTGCAAGCCATGTTTCATATTAAGGAAGTGATAAGGTCTTGCTCAGCACCGCGGCGGGCTGCTGTTCGTGACACAACACCGACACAATTAAGAAGGCAACTCGCAATATGAGGGATAAATGCAGTTAACTAGGGCTCTCAGAACGGCTTTTCGCAGGTCGCCGTCCATCCCGCTGTCTTTGAACCGGATGGACTAATGCATCATGTATTCCTGAAACTCATCGGAATATCGACTTGTCGATGAGCGAATATCGTCTCGGAAACTCATATGATTATATTCGTCTGCGGGATGATGGTCGGGATGGACGGGTTGGAAAGAGATAAAAGGATGAGCAAGATCAGCTAGCCACGGTCAAGAATGGAGGGATGGAGGGAAGAATAGAGGGAAGATGACTGGACTGTTTGTCGATCCAGGGTCCAGCTCCTACAGCATCTACTCCGCAATATTTAATTTCCCCGCGAAAAGAGATTTCCAGCCTCTAGGATCCTTTCCATTACTTTTCAGCTGAATCCGTTCTAGCGGGTCCAGTTTGTATGGATTCTACTTTAACAAATGCGATATCGGCTCCGAATTTTGATATTTCCAAGTCGCGTCTACAAACACGACTTCTCATTTTTTTCTGGAGTCGTTAAAAAAAAATCGATACGCGAGGGTCGCTTATTTGTTTTGCGCTGGGTCGGTTCTGCTGGGGCCTCCGAAGTTCTGTAGCTCTGAAGCTAAACCCGACGACTTAGCGGAGTCATACTGGAGCTAGAGATCGCCGTGACAGCGTTCCCGGTTGCTAGGCCGAATGACCGAGGGTCAGCACGACTCTTCGTAAAATTTTATTATTTATAAGCGAGACCACTCACACCGTCTCGTGAGTCGTCTTGCCCATTGTTGGGAGTTGGTGTCATTTTGTCTATTGCAGACTCGCTTGGGTGAAATTCTAGTTAACCCCGATTGGTTTGATTGAAGATGCGCATTGGCAAGAATTCTGGTACGTCGCGATTATCTAGCAACCCCCGCCGTCTGACTCCAACTTTTAGTCGCGGATCGCATCGCGTTTTTGAACGGAGTCTACGGGTATCTTAGACTCATAACATGAGACTTGGTCAATCACGATGTCTAACTTTGCTTCCTTCGCAGCGAGCGCTCCGAGCGATTCGGATAAACCAGGAGAAGAGATTATTGGAAACAACACTTACCATCCCGGCATTGCCGATGTCGAATATGATGAACTTCACGTACAATGTCCGCCTCATACTACGGAGCGTAAGCTCATCACCAAAATCGACTGGAAATTGATCCCGTTCCTGTGTATCCTGTATCTTCTCGCGTTTTTGGACCGGGTCAACATCGCGAATGCGAAATCCTTCCATCTGGTAGAAGATCTAAACCTTAGGGATACTGAATACAACACCGGTAAGCAAATCGGACTTGGAAAATATCGCTTTACTAACACCAGAGGTCGTTAGCCCTAACCATATTCTTTGTGCCGTATATCGTTGCCGAGATACCTAGCAACATCTTGATGAAGAAGGTCTCGCCCCGCGTTTGGCTCCCGACCTGCATGCTTGGTTTTGGTATCGCATCCGTATGCCAAGGTCTTGTTCAGAATTATTCTGGTCTCCTCGCGACACGATTCTTCCTAGGTCTGTTCGAAAGTGGAATGTTCCCAGGTAAATTTAGTCCAAATCCGCTGTCTTAGAGCAGATGACTAACGTTGGTTATAGGATGTTTTTATCTCATCAGTATGTGCCAGCCGGTGTAGTCCACGTGCTATAATGTGCAGTTTCTGCATGTGAATAGTTGCTAATATTAGTCTATTAGGCATGTGGTATAAACGAAGCGAATCACAGAAGCGTTACTCTTTATTCTTCTCGTCTACTTCTTTAGCAGGAGCTTTTGGTGGTCTCTTGGCATCTGCCATTGGAAAGAGTACGTCCATTCATCCATTACAGATCTTACTAATCTGTGTAGCTTTCTATAATGGAAACAGAGAAGCATCTTCTTGGTCCTAACTAATTCGTTGAAAAGTGCAGGGCATGCGTGGATACAACGGCTGGCGTTGGATTTTCATACTTGAAGGAGCCCTTACAGTCGTCGTTGCGCTTATTTTCTTTTTCATATTTCCCTCCTTGTAAGTTTTCCTCGTCCGGAATTTAGCTTGTATGATCCTAACCTGGCGAAGTCCCGAGCAGGCAAAATGGTTGACCGAAGAGGAGCGGGTGTACATAAAAGCTCGTCTACAAGCCGACCAGGGCCACAACGCCGCAGAACGAAAGATTACCTTCCGCGATGTCGTCAACGTGATGAAGGACCACCGCATCTGGCTCGGCGGATTTATGTACTTTGGACTCATCGTTCCGGCCTACAGCTACGCCTTCTTCGCACCAACTATTATCTCGACCTATCACTACGACGCGATCCAGACACAGCTACATAGCGTACCTCCTTGGGCAGCATCGTTTGTCTTCTCTATTTTGATGGCAGCTCTCTCGGACAAGTTACGCCACCGCGCCGCATTTGCGCTTGTACCGCTCTGCCTGTGCATCGCAGCCTTCGCTACACTGCTCAAAGTCCACAACAACACGCCGGTGCAATACGCAATGCTGCACCTTGTTACGATGGGTACATATAGTATCCTACCCATCACTGTGTGCTGGTTTAGCATGAATCTAGGCGGTCATCATCGCAGAGCCATCGGTACCGGCTGGCAGATCGGATTCGGCAATATCGGAGGAATCATCGCAACCTTCGCGTTCCTCAGCAAAGACTCCCCGAACTTCACGAAGGGCTATGCGATATGTCTCGGGTTTACCTGCATTAGCGGTATAGCCTCACTCTTATATCTCCTCTCGATCTACACCGAAAACCAGAGACGAAAGAAGGCTGTCAGGGATGTCGGTTTGTCGGAGTACGAGAAGACCGAGTTAGGCGATCTGAACCCTGAGTTTAGATACATGTACTAGTGAACGTATTGTTTAATTAGATGTTCTTGAATAATTACGAATGGAGAGAAAAGATAGAAGAGGTGGATGGTTATGAGGAAAAGTTTAGATGAAACGAGCAGTCATGATATCAACATCGGTGTTACTCTTCATTGTATACCAAGTGTTCCACACAGTTTGATTTCAAGTGATTTTTAGAGCTATATATCATGGTGAGTCACCTAAAAAGCGCTTGTTCATGTCTTTCCGTCAACGTCTTATCCCCCAAAAAGGGGGGCGAACAGATGAAGGTTTATCGAAACGCTCCAAAAGCCTCCTACGTCATAAAAGGCTTTCATCGCCAGCTTCTACGATAAAATCATACCATCCCAAGCCTTAGACCCGCCTCAACATCAAACTCCTCATCATGGGATGAAGTAGGCAGGCTCAGCGGCCTCAAAGGCGGATACCCCCCATCATCCGAATCACCCAAAAGGGGCTTCAACAACTCCTCAATCTCCAACAACTGGCCCTCCAACCCCGGCACATCCATCTCCCTCAACCTGCACAAACTCTCCCGCGCCCCAACCCTCTCCGTCTCCGTCAACGGGCGTTCCCGCTCCCTCCTCAACACCTGCACAACACCCTCCCCGCGCCTCCAAACCCCATCCACACACTCATCCACATACGCCACCACATTCCCCCGCCGCAAAACCAAAACCTGATCCACCCCTCCCTCCCCCCCATCCCCATCAACAAACCCAGCAGCCTCCACAACCCCCTTATAAGCCTCATCATGGACCCCCCTCGGCGTCAACCGAACCGGCAACCCCCATCCCGGCCCCGCCTCCGGCAACCCCTCGTAATACCGCCGCAAAATCCCCAACCGACTCAGCGCCGCAGGCACAGCCAAAACCACTACTTCCACGCGGTACCCATGCCCGTGAAAAAGTTGTGCTAAGGCGGCGAAGTCGTCCGGGTGCCGCGTCGCGGACTCGAGGAGCACGTCGGAACGCCGCGTTGCGGCGACGGTCGCGGCGTGGAGAAGCCACCGCCGCGCGTCGGGGCTGGTTGCTGGGGAGGCGAGGGGGGGGTGTGTTTGTAGGAGGGAAGCGTAGGACGGGTGGTAGGTTTTGTAGGTGTCGGCTATGAAGTGGATGGGCGGGGATGAGCGCAGGTGCTGCAGGGTTTGTTTGAGGAGCGGGGCGGTGCGGGTTTTGCCGGCGCCGGTTTGGCCGATTATTAGGACCGCGAGGGGGGGTTTGGTTGTGGTGGTGTTGGTGTTGGGGTTATGGGTGGCTGGTGAGAGAGCGCCGAGTTCGGTGGGGAGAATGGTTTGTTCGAATATTAAGCGCGACTCGGCCTCTGAGAGGATGTATGATTGCGGGTCGGTGTTCATCGCGTTACGGCTCCCACCGGTGACTTGTGTGGGGATTTACGGGGACGCGACGACGCGGTGGTGGATGCGCCGGCCTTCAATCGCATAGGAGGTCTTGGAGGTGGATGGATTTGCATGTTTAGGTAGATACAATCGCGTTGGTCGCTGGTTTATGAGATTATCTATTATTACTAAGAGATTAAAGTTATGGTAAGAACATCATCGCACCTGACCCCAAGCCGTGGTTTTGCGTGGGGGGTGAGACTATCTGCCGAGAATAGTGACGCCGATGTTACTATACCGGGAAGTGACGAGTTGCAACATAGAACCCCTTTTCGCTCCTCAAAAAGGGGGAAAGTTCTTTATAACCTGAGACAATAGTAGTCCTTTGACTCTATTATTCAAATTGAAACCACTTATATAAAGGCCATTGCATCTTTGAAGAGATCCTTTGAGGGGCTTCTCATTTGATATAACTTGACGAAATAATTTCGTAAACTTATTGAATTGAGAATTGAAACTACCCAATTAATCCATCCAATAAATTGAATAGATGAAGATGAACGACACAGAGCTACAGGTGATAAAACGACATTCCGCGATTCAAGCAACTTGCGGCCAAGCCGAGCTCCTCATAGGTACGTGCTACTATGCGTGCGGTCATAGATTCAACTGGATTCTCGACTACGTTCTTCAACGAACGGGAGTTCGCTCACCCAGCGCTCATGGCTGCCCGAAATGTACCGTAAATCCCACTTGTCTCATATGTCTTCATCGCTTCGATGCCAAAGCGTTCGACGGTTGTCAGACATGTGACTGCTTTTTCTACGAGACGCTTCTCGTGAATCGACGTAATAAGCTTGAACAGACTGGTGTTAGGACCGCCGAGCATAAAGCTACGACGTTCGTAAAGACTAGGCTCGAGTTTGAGAAGAACAGACTCCGAAGAAGAGGTATATTGATGACATGATGGGTAAGAAATAGAGTAAACCATAAAAGTAGTAAAAATAGGTAGTCTCCATGCTGAAATGTTGGCTTTGGTATCATAATTAGGTAGGCAAATTCTGACTGTATTTCATGTCAACATACTTCAGCCAGAAGTTCAATAGAAAAGTTAACTTGTAAAGATAAATCATTTACAGTCAGCACTAACCCCATGTAAAGGCTTAATGACCATCGAAGAGATAGAAGTTGCCTTTCCCGAGTTGCCAGTTTGTAGATCGTATGAATTGTACCGATATAAGTAACATTTTCTCCCCCTAACCTGATATTTACTTACCTCGTAGATGAGGTTCCTAGATTATATACCATTAGTTATCTAATATACTAGATATCTAACTAGATAATAGGGGTTACCGACTCGCAGCTCATTATACTAGATCATCTAACGCTTGGCTAGCTAAATGAGAGCTTGAGTTAAGTTTACTCGACTTCGATATCGGGATGAGCAACGCATGTAGTATGCATCTACCCAGTGGATACCTAGAATAAGTACGAGTTGCTGAACAACTACCCCCTAATATCTGAGTCATATCAGTATAACTTCGAATAAATGTATCTTAGCCACTCAGTAGATGGTCAAACTTTAAGTTTTCTGTCATCATGGGTTTGCTCACTGAGCGCAGATGTTTAACGCCACTGTAGAATATCCTTTGAGTCTCTGGCATCTTTAAGCATTTACCTTCCAGTTCTATATATGGAATTCATCACACATACTTTATTAGAGTGTGGTTCTGGCTAGGAAACCCAACAACCGATACATCCACTAGGAACGTCTCTGAGTTGCCGCTTCAATAGACGACGCGCTGGTCAGCCATCCAACCCGTCTTTATATATCTACAACACTCACTTAAAACCGAAGACCATTATCTACTTCACGAATGCAGCAAAATGTTTACAATCAGGTCCTATAAATTAGTTCGTATTGAGCCGCCCCCGAAGCGCGTCAGATTCAGCCCTACGATCAAAGTATGGGAATTCGTCCCGAATCCCGTAATTGTGGAGGAGCCATTACCACGATCATCAATAGGACTTTGGGTTGATAAGGTCGTTGTTCGGATCAAGAAATTAAAACATCTAATATCCATGGGAAAGGATGGCGAAGATGAGGAAGAGCAGAGCGACGAATATTTAAGGCAACAAAGAAGTCAGAGTCGCCAAAGCCGGCGAAGGCGTAGAAGAGCATCGTTGCCCGGAATGGACCTTCCAATTGGGATACCGATTAAGGAGTCTATTGAGACATCTAGGTCCGAGTTAGATCGCCAATCAAATAGCGACCATGAGCCACGGCGTTAGGATTATATCATACTATACAATACTCGGAGCCGATCTGTTTCCTGTCTACCTGGTCTCCAGCACGATTGTTGATGTCAAGTTTAACGAGATTCCGTATTGAAACGAAAATCACCACTGTTCGCGAGTTTGAGTCCCTAGATGGCGCAACGAACGTCAACATCTCCTAAATCAACACGACGTCCGGAATAATGGATATACTGCTTCAGCTGACGGATCTGATATCGCATGAGCGACTTATCTTGGCTCTGCAGAGACGTACATACCGCTATAGATTTAAAAAGGGGCTGGCAACTTATGCTAGATACTGCGGGGGTCGGGGGTACTGGTGTGAAGCTAGGGAGTTGGGATGCAGGAAGCCAAGTATTATAGAATTTACGCGCCATTATCGTTGGTTATCGTTACGATCCCGTTATGATCGACAATGTGAGCTACACTGGTTCAACCTATCGCGTCATCAGCGTAAAACCAACTTTCGTGAGATGAAGATGAATGGATTAGTATTTGCGTGATTGTTAGGCCTTTCTATCTGGTGGACCTCTCATCGTCATATTGGTTGTACTGTTGGTTTCTGTAATCTATCGCACTGTGATACCTGACGAGGAATAGAGAGATAGTGGCGTCTACCTACGGTTGCAATTTCTGTAGTAACACTGCATCGTTTGTGTATCCACACTGGCCAATGACAGGTCATGAAGCTGCATGCTGTAAAGCCTCAAACCGTTAGTATCCCCCTGCACGGCACCCAGCTGCCCAGTAGTTGAAGATAGTATAAACGAAAATATCATATCTGACTCAGAAATATTAGTTAAAGGGAGGGTGTTGTTTAAATTCTACTGGTAATACTGGATAGATGCTCTCATTATAAAACCAACTGCAGAGCACAGGCTATGCGAATCCCTCTCACTGGATTTTTCAAACAACAGCCATCCAATGTCGCTGTGTTAGTCTTTTTACACGATGTTTACACGACTGCTCTTGGGGAGCTCTTTGCTCATTGCAGTTGTGTCCCTTTTACTCTCTCAGATGGCTGTAAAACCGTCAACCCAGTACACGCCATCTGCCATAGGTCGTAATAACACCGTTCTCTTCATAGTAAACTGTGAGTTCGGCCTCTCCAATGTGCATCTTGCGACGGCGCACGCCTTATTAGAGCGCCATCCAGAGATCCGCATGCATGTTGCGTCCTTCCCCCCCACGCTCCCAAGATTGGACAGTATCTCAAAACATGTCCGGAAGACGAACTCTTCTGCGGAAGATATCGTGTTCCACGAGCTCCCAGAACAGTACGACTTCGCAAAAGCCATGGTAATATCGGGGAGAACACCGATGAGCATCACACGTCCGCCAGGCCGTGCTCATATCGACGAAACTGGCAAGGATATGGCATTCTTCACTGCGCCATGGTCAGGAGAAGCGCATTTGGAACTCTTTCAGCAGCTCACCGGTAATATCTTTACTTTTTTACGTGGGGGTTCGGCTCGGCGCTAACTTGCATCTCGCTAATGACGCCACAGAGATCATCGATGAGGTAGATCCCTCCCTCGTACTTTTGGACATGTTTTTTCGACCTGGTCTTGATGCAGCTCGTAATCGGAAAAGACTGCATGCTTTCATCGTTCCAAATATACCGATTGACGTCTTCCCTCTCCATCAACCTTATTTGAAATGGCTGTGGAAATATCCTGTGTATGTGCATGCTTCTCAAATTGTTCTACTTAGTCATGTAGCTAATATAAAAGCCCACGTGTCGTTTAGTTTGGGCTCTGGTATTCTGTATCCTGTCCCATGGAGTAGAGTGCTAGAGAATATCTATATCAATGTGCGGTACTTCTATTTCCTGGGATCTATGCACCATTTCAAGTCCGCGAAGAAACTTCTTCAGCAGAAAGGTATCAACCGTATTACCTACAATGATCTGCACCGCTCAAATGTACCCTTCTTCATTCAAAGCCTAGCTGAAGCCACAATACCCCTGGACCATGTCCCGCCAAATGTGACATATACCGGACCAATTTCCCTTTCCCTCTCCACTCTAGAAGAAGTAAATCCGGAGCTGAATCAATGGCTTGCCAAGACGTCGACTCTTTTCGTCAACCTCGGGAGTTTCTTCGCCTGGGATAAAGTCCGGGCTAGTGCTATGGCGCAAGCTATCGCAGACATATTGCACGAGAGGACCGATCTTCAAATTCTATGGAAGTTCTCTAAGACGGGTAAGCAGTTTGGTGACGAGTTCTTGGATCCGGTACGCCCGTTCCTCAAGAATGGCCGCCTTGAGATGATATCTTGGTTGCCTGTCGAACCAACGACTCTTTTTGAAACAGGTCATATTGTGGCTTCAGTACACCATGGCGGTGCGGGAGGTTTCCACGAGGCACTCGGGTAAGGCACTCGCCCCGCCCCCTAAATAAAGTACTAACCCCTATCTTACGACAGAACCGGCATACCACAGATAATTTTACCGCAGTGGACTGACCACTACAGTCTCGCACAACAGGCTCAGTATCTCGGCGTGGGAGTTTGGGCGTGTCAAGAAACTGCTCCCTCTTTTACAGCCGAATGTCTTCATGATTCCTTTTCTACAGTTCTTGGTAGTGGTAAGATCGCTGAGTCCTTACGAGAGAAGGCAAAGCAGATTGGAGAAATAGCTCAGCGAGATCCTGGCCGGTATATCTCAGCAAGAGAAGTTGCGAAGCTGGCAGCGCACGGTGCTTAAGATACGGTCGTTAAGACACTAATCGGGACGTTAGCAAGCCATAAGCGTGTGGCTTAGGGGATACTGGGGAACCCCGGCTACTTAGTACGTATAGATGTACGGATGGCTGTGACAAAAAGAAAAGTCATCTTCGGTGTTGACATACACTATAGAATGCATCTCAATAGGAAGTTAACTCAGGGTATCCCTGGGCATGTTCCTTGAAATTTCAGTAGGCAAGAATCCTAGAAACATATCAGCTATCTCAATCCATTGCATAATCATAATGCCCCTATTTACCCCTTTCTCCACTTTTATCCACCATGAGCGTCACCACGTATTTCAGTAATTCTAAAATAGCACACATAGTACCAGGACAAATGTTATAAACCGAAGCACAAGTTAATTTAATACATAATACCCTAGACCTTCAAGTTGATATAGATAGACTTAGTATAGTAATAAGGCAGCAAACCTGCCTCCCCATTCTCCGCACCGATGCCCGACTGCTTTGTGCCACCAAACGGGAGCCGGATATCCGGCGTGCTCGAAGAATTGATGTACACCTGACCGGCCTCGAACCCATTAGCAACGCGGTGGGCTCTCGCGATGCTACTGGTAAAAACGCACGAGGAGAGACCGTACGCGGTATCGTTCGCCATCTCTAAGGCGTCCTCCTCCGTCTTAAAAGGGACGACAGCAACACACGGCCCAAAGATCTCCTCGCGGTAGATTTTCATCCCGGGCTTCACATCCGTGAACACGGTCGGCTGGACAAAGAATCCCTTCCCATCGAACGCCGCCGGCTCGCCGCCCATAAACACCGTCGCGCCCTCCTCCCTAGCCCCACGTATATACCCAAGGATCTTCTCATACTGCACCCTCGACACCTGCGGGCCCTGGAAAGTCGTCTTCTCAAACGGATCTCCCAGCACCGAGACCTGGGAAACCTGCTCTTTAAACTTAGCCAAGAAGGCATCATAAACGCCCTCCTGGACCAAAACGCGCGAGTTCGCAAAGCACATCTGGCCCGAGTACGCCATAACCCCACGATGCGTCCACATAACCGCATTATCCAAATCCGCGTCCTCAAACACAATAGCCGGGGTCTTCCCACCCGTCTCCAACGTAACCCCCTTCAGCGTCGCAGCCGCAAGCCGCATGATCGCCTTCCCCGTCTCCGTGCTCCCCGTAAACGAAACCTTATCGACGCCCGGATGCGAAACCAGCGCCGCCCCCGCGTCTCCGCCATAGCCATTAACGAAATTCACCACGCCGGGCGGAAACCCCGCTTCTTTAACTAACTTCGCGATATACAGCACGGAAAGCGGACACGCCTCCGACGCCTTCAACACGACCGCATTCCCGCACGCGATCGCAGGCCCGAGCTTCATGCCGACGAACCCGATATTCATGTTCCACGGGATAATCTGCGCGACGACGCCGACGGGCGCTTTGACCGTGTACGCGACGCGGTCGGGGCCGCAGTCCGCCGTCTGGCCGTACATTTTGTCGGCCCAGCCCGCGTAGTAGCGCAGCACTTCGACGGCCCAGGGGACTTCGAAGTGCTTCGCTGTCGCGAACGTCTTGCCGTTGTCGATGGCGTCGATGGCGGCTAATACGTCCCCGTGCTGTGAGATGAGGTTCGCGAGCTTGTGCATGAGGACGGCGCGCTCGCGGCCGGTGAGGTTCGCCCAGGATGGGTGTTTGAAGGCTGTGCGTGCAGCTTGCACTGCGGTGTCGATGTCTGCTGCTGTGGCGGCTTGGGGGGCGCATATTTCTTCTTCGGTTCTGGTGGGGTGGTGAGAATGTGTTCGCGATGTAAGGGGGGTGGTTTACCTAGTACTTACGTGGGGTTAATCGTGGGAATCGTCTTGCCCTCGCTACTATTCACGAACTTGTTGTTGATGAATAGGCCTAGTGGCTGTGACCACTTGGTGCCATTCGGAGCCTTGAGCATTACCTCCATGATATATGTGTATGACTTTGAATCAAAAGATATATGATGAAGTTCAAGTGATGGAGGTCTCGAGAATGAGGTAAAGCCTGCTTTTATTTATACTCCTCATTGTGTCACATATTTATGGAAAGGGGTTGACTCGCATAGTCAATGAATATGATGATACCTAACCGATCGGATATATCGGGGGCTTCCGTGAATATTTTAAGATATAAGAGATATGTAATTATGTTCGTCACAGTAGATTACATCCTTGTCCGCCCACGCGGCGCCAAATGCCCCGTCGATTCGAGGCCTGTTGTCATAGGTGACCCTACGGCACAGGGTCGCAAACGCCTTTTAACCACTACTCCAACCTACCAACGCCAAAAGATGTTGGGGTATACATCTAGATAGCAAATAACTACCACGTGTATGTAGGCATTCTATATCACAGCCTCTTTGGCGATTATGTCACCCCGAAGTGCGAATGCGACTATGCTTACCAGGGAGATTATCAAGATGATGAGTAAAATACCAATATTCTAGCCATCGTATATTACACAAATCACCAAAGTTCCAGAAATATGTGATATCTAATTACCTAGACAAATAAAGGTGTGCATATCATATTTGTTATTGTATTATAATTTATGGGTACATTACCTTATAGTTACCTACCTATGTCCTCACAGCCTGCCTGCTAGGTACCTAGGCAAGTAATTGTCTAAGCCTCTAGGTAACCACCCCGACCACCCTGTCAGCAAATAGCATTCCAAATCACCAGGTTTCCCCGATCTCTTTCATATATTCCTGGAAGTGAATATTCCTTGGCGGGTACTTCCGAAGAACCCGGAAGTAATCGATCGTATCCTGACTGACATGAACCTCTTCCCCACCTGTGGCATCCGAATGTGCACCCGACCCCTTACTGTCCTTATAATAGCTTGCATTCTCCCAAGTAGGTAGAACTCGTTTCCAGTCCGCTGACTTCCAATTTTCCATTCGATCTTCTAGTGGTAAGTCGCTGCCGTTGAAAGGAGGGAGCGCAAACCTGTTGCGGTCCCCCTCGCGCATGTACTCACCATTACAATATACATCCTGGCCCTGATAATGCTCTTGGAGAATTTCTCGCATTTCCTCCGGGCTCGGTTCGGCACCAACGGAGAAGTAGTTCGGGTTATGCCAAGGCGGCCCCCTGAAAGGAATCAGCTTCCCTACTGGGCGTTGCCTGATGCAGTATTGAGCTCCTGATCTCTTACAAGCAGCGCATTTGTCCACACCCTCAACCCCTAGGTAATTCAAGGTGCAGTTAAGTCCTTTTTTAGTACATGCCAAACAAGAACCTCCGTCGTCAACTAATATTCTTCCTGTAGCCAAATCTCTATCGGGTTCTTTTTCTTCATTTACCTCTTTCGGCTTGTCCTGAGACTTTGGACCTGAGTTCTTCGTTCGGACTTTCTTGTCTGTAATCTCTCGGATGTTCTTAATAAAATCCTTTTTGCATAGAGGTTTTTTCGCTCCAGCATCGCTAGAAGTCCCCCGAGAATGAATTGATGACATGTTGAATAGTTAATAAATTTGACGTCCAGAAATCGAAAATTGGCAAGAATTGACCTTTCTTATCTATTGATATTTGAGAGCGCATATGGTAGCTACGAACAATCGGAATAAAGCCTTTGTATGTGCTAGTTGCTAACTCTCGAGTCACAAAGAAACATCTAAAAGAAACCTAAAAGACATTACAGGATTAACAATGATCTTTATAAGTCCTTGTTCGTCAGTGCCTCCATTGTTTCAAACAATAGGTATGGTTTGCTATGACGAGCGGACAGAAAGGATCCATTTTCTGAACCGAGCGAGCGTGGTATTGATCCCCACGACATTCGTATCTTATTTTCTCGAATTCTTCATTCGTTTGGAAGATGCCAAATTCATACCTTTGAAGTATGGAGATTCTCGAGAACTACTAGTACTTAAGGTCGTGCTCGTGAACTTTCTCTTACCTAAATTGGTCTCAGAAGTTGGCTGACTTAAGTTTTTAATACTTTTTAAGTCTGGAAGTCGTTGTATAGGAGGTGAGATGAGGTGGGATGGCTTCCACGTTTTCGTGTTTTCATTCATGCGGAATTTGAAACGTCCATTGTCTAGGTGTTTTCGGAACCAAATATGGGTTTTCGCCTGTGATGCTTCTATCCTGCGAGCGGGTTCATATTTTAAGCAAGACCTAATAAACTCCTGGCAATTGTGGCTGATTTTCTGATGAGACTGGTCGTCAAAGACGCTATCAAGCCATCCGTTGATTGCCTCTTGACTTCCTTTGACGAGGTTGCTAGGGGTCACCAAGTGGTCTGGTGACAAAAGAAATACTGCGATCATGCCGATAGACCAAATATCAACGGCTAGATCATATATATGGCCACACTGAACTTCCCTGCTGCATGGTAAGCAAGTTTTCATAATATTATCAAGTAATATATCTAAGGCCTTACGGTGCCATGTATTGTTGAGTTCCTACTTGGCTACGCATTCGACCGGAAGCTAATGATTTCGCGAAGCCTAGGTCGCTAACGATCACTCGACCTGTAGCATGTGGTCCCGTAGAGAACAGCACATTCTCCGGCTTTAAATCGCGATGTGCTATACCCCCAGTATGCTACAATAAGGGTCAGCAGCGACTCACCTGAAATAATCTTATTGTACGTACAAGATATTTGATGGCGTTCAAGATCTGTAAAATGACAAGTTTGGTATCTTGCTCTGAGAAGACTCCTCGTGCTAAGCGCATTGAGAAAAGATCACCGCCTGTTGCAAGTTCAGTGAAGGTGTAAAGAGTGTGTCGCGACCGAAACGCACTGTGACGACGGTAGTCAGTGATTTATTTTCTCCAGGTAGCTTAACTAGGAACCTTCCACTTTCAGAATATATTGAAAGAAGCAAAAAGTTGCTGTTTTACATACTATTCGAAGATGGGGAGGTTGGGCTTATATTGTTGTTAATATATTGATACGCTGAGGTAAATGGGGGTAAATTGGACCATACATGGCTTAGTTTTCCAAGTATATCAGTCTCATCTAGAGTGCGTTGGATTATATCTCGAGGGTGTGCGAATCGACCAAGATGGTCAAGGTCGTGAATTTTGCAGGCAAGTTGTCTCCCAGTCTTCACATCAATAGCTAGATGAATTGATGCAAAGGATCCACTACCAAGAACTCTGTTGCTAATCATGTATCGATCGCTAAACAGCTGCGACTCACAGTTAGTTTTGCCTAGGAATCTAATTGCTCTTGATTGACTTACGCTAGATTCCTTGAGTTGAATTGCAGTCAGTGGTGACTTTAAATCTGAACAGCCCAAGAGTGAAATGCGAAACTTCCAATGAGGTTTTATGGTGATCACAACATCCTGGCTGAGGTAAAAGCCTGGCGATGGACCTTTCTCTTTATTACCAATGCAAGTTTCTTCGACGTATGTGCCCTCCAGAGATTGGCAGTCTCGAATATATATCAAGGGGGGTTGTGTATACTTGTCGTCTGGGTCATAGAGGACTGAATAAATAACAAAGTGCTTCCTTGAGACATACGGGTGATTTATAGAAACATCACTGCCATGTCTTTAGTGATGATAACTAAAGTGTAATGATAGAACTTTCAACATACTTCATATGGTGATCCCGCCCGACTGTGATCAACCGCCCTGGGTATAGGGGGAGATCCATAAATTGTTGAGAGTTGTGGCGGCTAGCGTTTCCATCTAATGATTTGTTTACATGGAAGCCCTCTAGAGGAAGTTATGTTAGCGTCTCTACTATAAAACAAGACTGGATCTGGTCTAGTTGAAATAGGTAGGTCCTACCTGGAGGCTTGCAGCCTTCTAGCGAGTTTCCTTGAACCCAAAAAGATATCTGGGCGATTGGGTGAACCATGGTACGTGTAGAAATGATGGGTCTGGATTAAGGCAACATCCCATGGATGCAGAGAATGGTTAGGAGTACGAAATATTAACATGTATCGACATTGAATTGACGAGGCTGGATTTCTTGGAATATGTTTGAGTTGGGGGAGTTTGACTTCAAAGTTTTCTGATACCGTCGTGAATGACAGTCGCAACTGCTCTACCTCAGTAGTATGGATTCAAACACTGCAAGCGCAAGAAGCATACTAGGTACAGAATCTTACTCAATCTGAAACACTTTATTAAGAAAACTTTATACATATGGGTGATTGTGCCATTAAAAAATTGCAAGAGACCTATAATAAAGGTAGTCACCAGTCTAGCTGTGAGTCGGCGCCTACCTGAACTTGAAGCCGTCATGGGAAAGAACAGTCGATCAGGCGGTTGATTAGGAATAATAAAATACTGCAGTCTGCGGTGCTAACCCGTAATCGACCGACTTGAGAACAGGCATCAGATTTCATTGATGACGTACTAGGTATATACTCTTCAATCTCTAGGTATCAATTGCAATAATGCACAAAATTTCCTATTTTTATCAAGGGTTTGTGGTGTCTGAAGTCGCTTCCAAGTTGACAATGAACCTTGGAGCAAACATCTTACGTAATTATTCGCTCAAAACTGGCCGGTGTGCCATCTGTCCGGCAGCTGCCCCGCTGCACAATCGCAGGTTGCTAGGAATCTCCCCCACTATATTTGCACCCGAGAAATAGCCGATCACAACCCTAACATAATTCCCAACCATACTTCTTCAATTCATGCCACTTTTAAAACTTCCTTTCCTTCTACCAAGCTTCATCAACAAAGCAACTCATCTACAGCAACTTGTAAGTACAAAATTACCCCCTAATAACTGGTATTATACATCGCAAACTACACACTACGTACATCGATGCACATTCTTCTTATTCCACCATCCGCGCGCATTGGTTTTATTTATTTCGCGTGGTTGAGTCGCACGATTCTTCTTCATCTTCCCCGCGATCGTCATAAATCACCCACAACTCACTCACCTCCACCATCTCTATAACATTGCAAAGAGTGTCAAATACTAACAACAACATGCAGCACAGTCGCCAAGATGAGAGCCAAGTGGAGAAAGAAGAGAGTTCGTCGCCTCAAGCGTAAGAGGAGAAAGATGAGAGCTCGCAGGTATGTTTTCATGCGATTTCTGTCTAACTGAGCCTGCACTAATTGGAACCTCTCCGTTACAGCAAGTAAACACATCACATTTACTCGATCTCAGCGTCTCTCCGCCAGACCGCATCGCGCCATGACATCTACCAAGAACAATCGACACATCAGCATTCAGCACTCGGAACTCGACTACAATGATTATTCCTCACCTCAAGACGGTGCTCACATATGACACCAAGGAAGATATCAAAGGAAGGGCTGGGGCTGTGGGGGATTGACACAATGGCGACAATGAATTGGACGGACGGTTCGCTGGTCAAACACCATCGAGTGGACCAACGATTTGTTTACGCATCGCAGAGCAAGAAGCTTAATTGCTATACTACTCATGATCATTGCCGTAAAATGGGGTCTTTTAGCTAGTCAATCAATTTGCCAGTACTGATCCCAGTATATTTTATGTTTTGCTTATTGTGAAGTACCTATAATTGTGTGACGTTTGTGTGGCGAATATGCTAATGACGTCTATTGTCAGCTACCCCTCTTTCTAACCAGATGTCAATGTATAAGGCACTGATGTAGAAGATCTACAAACCACACCTTTCAGATTGTAGTAAATTTTAGAGGCTTAATACATTTTACACGATCCATGGATGGAATGCCATCAGTAAATTTTAAGAGCTTCCCGTACTAAGAAAGCTAGGTGAGGTATGATGCTGTTCAAATTGCGCTTTAAGAAATCGCTTGCAGCTAAGCGAGTAGCGCAAGATTGATCTTGGTTACTCAGGTACATAGATACTTTGATCTGTGGGGTATATTCACCGCCTGCCTAATCCATCCCGCTACTTGCATTCACGGCAGATTTCCTTTTTTTTTCTCCTCTGTTTTTTCACCGAGTCAATTCCTCATTAAATTTGCACCAGCAACTCGTGAACCCCCGGAATATTTGATCATTCCAAATCAACCATTTCATTCAACACATATTGAACATGGCGGAACATAAAGAAAAGAAAAGAAAGCGCGGCGAGGATGGAAGCCAACGACCAAAGAAAAAGGTAGCTGTTCAAACTCCTTCTCAATCGCAATCCAACTTCGTCAGAGTCTCCTCTGTCCAAACCGCGAAAACTTGTCCTCCAGTAATAGGTATGCCTTGGTACTATATAGTAAACTATTTATCATATTTATCGGTTATAATTAACATCATCATAGCAACCTCACCTGGTCTCTGTCTTCAAGATTCAATGAAATTCCAGGCGTACACGACACCCCAGTCCACAAGTTCCAAGCGAAGCAAGAAATCCGATTCTCGTACATCTAGCCTACTACTACATTCATCTTCACATGGCAAACTAGACTATACGGCGAAGGAAGAAGGCCCCGGTGGTCGCGAATCGCATCTTAAACATTACATCGGTGTTTTCGACCCCCAAACCGGGAAGTTGGCCGTGGTAGAAGCTAAGAAGATGGCTGTGCGGGGTGTGGTTCGATCACAAAAGCCACCCGAAGATGTCACAGAGAGAGAAGCCACGCAGGTAAATCAAGTGTTTCTTCATTATTTATTCAGGGAATATCTAATTGTTCTATAGACAATGCTGGAACTTAGAAATAATCTTGGCGAGGCGTTTGGAACCAAGAAAGCCAAAAAGGCTCTTGCTGCAATTACTGAGAACGCAATTGCTCCAGAGAAGGCGATCGCCGATGCTGGAGGAGACCCTCAGAAGCTCAGTTCTGCCTCCAAAGCTCTGATGGAATCGATTAACGATGTTACCATAGGAATGGCATCTAAAGAGGACCTCCAAGCCCAAGCCGATTTAGCGAAACCGATCCCCCCAGGAAATTACGATGCCGAGGAAATCCAAGATGTGTACACACCCGAAGGATTAATTGGTGGCGATATATTAAACGCCATTCCAGTCAGAGACTGGCAAGAGCAGCTTAAGAAGGGTCTAAACAAGACAATGACAAGTTCATTCGTTGCGAGCAGGCTCGTTCCCGTTGGAGAAGGCCCAAATCCAGTGCACAGACTGCGAGCTCTTCGATATCTAGACTTGCTTCTCAAGTTTGTCAAGAATGCTAAGCCTGGGAAAGAAAGAGGTACAAAGCGAATCCCGCCAAGAGACAAATTAAGAGAACTCTTGAACCCGGCACCCGAGCCCGTCGTCGAGAGTATTAGACGAAAGTTTTCGTCTAACGGAGAGATGAGGAAATTCCATACCGACTTGGTATATACTTACTGCTGTGCCCTCGCATCGATCTTGTCGAATTACAGTTTCGATACAAGCCGCATCAGGTTTGATCTCGGCCTCGATGAGAAGCAATTCGGCCAGTATTTCCGGGAGATAGGTGGTAAGGTCAAAATCGAAAAGGGCGCTGAGAAAGGAACCCACGTGCAAGTGGCAAGTTTGGCTCTGCCGCTAGTGTTTCCGAAGGTCAGATATCAGCGGCCGCGCGGGCGTTAATTGAATGAGGAGACGAGGAAGATGATTACGGCGCCATCGGACATGAGGCTTATCGGAACAAAAATATGTCTATTGCTGCTGTGTATTTTGGGCTGCCACTGAACCTAGACATAGGTACTTGCAAGGAACGTGGTTAGGTATTAACATCTTAGCATTTGCGTCACATTTATCATACGAAAAGCAATTATCGGCGGAATGCTCTTTTACGGCTACTATCCGACATCTCTATTATCGCCGCGTCGGTCTGGCCAGATACCCATAAGTTTAATCGACTTAGAATCCAGACTTCTCGTCATATACATAGTTAGTGATCGGATTAAGTATGACCTTATAGGTGTGGCAGGGGGACTACTTGCTCTTGGCGATTGCGTCTTCATTTTAATACAGTCCACTAAACTTTAGACCAAAAGAATTACGAGGTTAGCTAGGTGTCGGTTGAGTTCTTGGTTCTTCACCTAGCTTCAATTAGCCTGGGGGAAGGGAATAGATAAAGCGTATGTCTATGTTCTGTCAAACCCCACGATATCTATCTATAGATAGGTAGTTTATGTAATAGATAGCCCTATTTACATGCGTCCGGCCTTCCGTGCGTTTGCAATCGGAACATGTCAATTTGACGGGAGGATCCCGCACTACCAACCGGGGAAGCTCGCCGGGGCCGGTCCTTGCTCGGTCGCATTCCTTCCAAGTCAAGCGGCGAACTTACACGATAATTGACTTAACTAGGTAGTAGTATCATTCGCAAAGAACAACAGTTATGACGAAATACCACGGACGTAATTTTTTCAGCGACTATAACCCGGGGCGCCAAGGTTCGGTGAGAAATTTGTGATTGCTAGTGAACCTGCAGAAGACGGCTTCGCACAATTGACCCCCTGGAATGGTGCAATAGATAAGGTCGCACCGACCAGTCTTCGTCCGCCCGCATGACGTGATCGCAGAGGCAACGCCCAATCGCTCGGGGTATTGCACCGGAACGTGTTAGCGGCCATGGAGACGATGTTGATATAAATCGCTGCGCCAGACCGAGAAATCCCGGGGAATGAGGTTACACGGCTCTAGCTCTTCGTGAAGATTGCTGACGAGACGCGACGGGATAATCGGCGCTGTGCTTATTAGGTACTGCGGACTCGAATTGCGAAGCGTGTACCTGTCGTGAGCCCCAATTCCATGTGTAATTGAGAATTGCAGTACGCGGGAAAAACAATGGCAGGTGATCTGAAGGGCGTCGAGGTCTCTGACCCGGGCTCGGATATCGAGAAGTCGGCCCACCCGAAGGAGACTGTGAACTCGAGCCGGTCTTCTAAGGACGAACCGACAGCGAAGAAACCCGACGAAGATTACGGGTCGACCGATGACCATGTATTCTCCGACCCGTCCGTGGCCGAGAAGTGGCGCGGTGTTTATGAGAAGGCTAAGTACGAAAACCGGCACCGATTCGACCCGAACTTTAAGTGGACGGCGGAGGAGGAGCGACGGTTAGTCAAGAAGGTCGATGCGAGGATCATGGTTTGGGCCTGGCTCATGTTCTGCGCTCTCGATATGCATCGCAGGAATATCAACAGGGCTATTTCGGATAACATGTTGGCTGAGATCGGTGAGTCTTCAACCCCAATCCTAATCATATATAGTTATATATAACCGGTTACTGACGATTAGAACATAGGCATGAACACAAACGACTACAACTACGGCCAAACCATCTTCCTCGCCTGCTTCCTCGCCGCCGAACTGCCTAGCGGGCTTATAAGCAAGAAGCTCGGGGCCGACAGGTGGATTCCCACGATCATGGTAGGCTGGTCGATAACGGCTATGTCACAGGCGTTCATCCACAACAGGTCGTCTTTCTACGCGATCAAAGCCCTTCTCGGCCTGCTCATGGGCGGGTTCATCCCCGACATCGTGCTATGGCTCACCTACTTCTACAAGAGCAGGGAGCTCCCGCTCCGCTTAGCTTGGTTCTGGACGGCGCTCAGCACGGTGAACATCGTCGGTTCGCTGCTCGCCGCGGGAATCCTACAGATGCGCGGTATACACGGGTGGAGCGGCTGGCGATGGCTGTTCCTGATCGAGGGGTTGATAACGACGCTCATCGGCATATTCTCGTGGGGTCTTATGCCACCGGGTCCTACGCAGACCAAGCACTGGTTCCGAGGCAAGGACGGGTGGTTTACCGACCACGAGGAGTCCATATTAGTCAACCGACTCCTCCGCGACGACCCGAGTAAGGGCGACATGAACAACCGACAAGCCGTGGGACCTAGCCTGCTTTTCAAAGCAGCGTCGGACTGGGAGCAGTGGCCGCTGTACCTCATCGGGCTCACAACGTACATCCCGCCCTCGCCGCCGTCGAACTACCTGTCATACATCCTACGACAACTCGGCTTCTCCGTCTTCAACGCGAATCTACTCGCGATCCCGTCGCAGTTCCTATTCGCCGTCAACCTGCTCGTGGTGACGTGGATATCGCGACGCGTGAACGAGCGATCCATCATAAGCTCCAGTTCCAACATCTGGATCTTCCCATGGATCCTCGCGCTCGTACTTCTCCCCGCCACCGCGTCGCCATGGATACGGTACGCGCTGCTCACAGGGCTGCTATCGTACCCATACTGCCACGCCATCCTCGTCGGCTGGAACGCAAAGAACAGCAACGCCGTGCGCACCCGCGCCGTCTCCGCTGCATTATACAACATGTTCGTGCAGAGCGGTAACATCATCGCGACGAATATCTACCGCGACGACGATAAGCCGCTCTACCGCCGCGGCAACAAGATCTTGCTAGGTGTTACGGTGTTTAACATCGCGCTGTTCTACCTCGTCAAGGTGTTTTACATCTGGAGGAATAGGGTTAGGGATCGTAGGTGGAACGCGATGAGCACGGAGGAGCAAGAGAACTATGTTTTGACGACGAAGGATGAGGGTATGCGGAGGCTGGATTTTAGGTTCGCTCATTAGGGGATAGTTTGGTTTGTGGTTTAGGGCTGGTAAAGGGTTCGGGATCATGTCGATCCGTCTCTGTAAGGTGCCACTTCTGCGGCATTGCATGGTATGTCTTTGGGGACTCTTTAGTTCGGACGCTGTGTGAGACATACTTAGGACTTAGGCCCTACGTCTATTCTCGTTAAAGAGTGACCTTGAATAGCGTCCCTACCTTGATAGATAGACATATATCCACTCTAGAGTCGGTGAGGCTCAAAAATGATATTGTACAATACACCGCAAGACTCCTTAGCATGAAGTGATCATCCAGTGATCATCTAGATTTCCAATGATACTGAACAAAAAGTTTGCACTGCCATCTCCTAGAGTTCCAAAAGCTCGAAACGTTCGTAGATCTTTCGATCCTCGTCTTCGGCTCAATTAGGTGATCATTTCGTGCAATCTGTGAGATCGCACTTATGGATTAGCAGATCATGACATCTTACCAAGTTAGATGAGGATTTGTTTAATGGTGAATGCCGTCTGCCGTTTGCCGTCTTGGGTTATCGCATTAATTCCTGTGAAGGTCTTTTAAGACGGGGGACGTTTCGTCTGGGTCTCGAATACCACAGATCCGTGTGCTGCACCTGAGACAGGGGGCCAATTCTCCCTTCTGATTGGCTCCTACCGGGGTAAACTCACAGGTACCTAGATACCTGTCATCGCTTCCCATCTCAAACATCGAATTATTCTTCTGATGATTCGTTACCTTGCGATGAGGCTATGTCCGATTCTGGGGTAGAGCAGGAGATTTTAACTCTTAAATCGCTAGATATATGCCGCACGGGACACCGGCACCAGGTCATTGAGTCCTGTGTTGGTTTAGCTCCAGGAGCCAAGTCTACGCGAACGAGCTTAACTATCACCTTAAAGTGACCCAGGTAGAGCCGCATATGGAGCCTGACGAATGAGATCTCGAAATGTGGTGTTTAGGACATGGGATAGATCCTCGATCTTGGCGCTTTGAAGATGTACCGGATGGGCGACCATCCGGAAGAAAGAAGGAGATCATGAGAATCATAGCCAGAGAGTATGTCGTTAGATCGTCACCTAGGTAGGATAGTATATATAGAGAATGATCTCCTTTGCACTGAATGTGATCGCCTTATGAGTAGTCGTATGATCGCGTTCTGGTAGATCATCCCGCTTCATCTTTCCTCTCCTTCATTTTCTTCTTCGACACCCAAGAGGTAGTCTTGATTTCCGTTCTTTATACATAATAGTAAATTTATCACAGTCCTTTGAAAGGCTTTTCTTATTCATTCCTTCTTGCTTCTGGAAAGCCAAACTTTCAACATGCGTTTCACTCAAGCTTGTATGGCCTTGATGAGCCTGTCGTCGCTCGCTGCGTCGGGTAAGATTCATGAACCCTACTTGGAGGTCTCTATAGACTAACAGTTTGTTTAGCTCCGACTGATGCGCTCATGCCAGCATCTAACCGAGGGTTGAAGTGGAGATCGCGGCGTGCTCCCCTCACTATCGAGCAGATAGTACAAGAGACGAACATTATCGTCATCCAAAATAATCAGGCGCAACTCGATGCCCTTCAGCGGGTAGCTGAGCAGGAGTTCGCTGCGCTCGTGCAAGCGCAGGTTGCCCTGATCACCCAGTTACAAGATGTCAAGAACAACATCCGACTCAACCACTTCAAGGCTCGGTTCTCGCAAGTAGTAAGTCTATCTCATAGTACCACAATTCGATAGTTCCCTTTGGCTAATGAGTAAATAGAATACTGTAATTGTAACGGTGTCGACGGTAATCGATGCTCGAGCGGGCAAGAATAACCAAAAGCGATATATGGTGAATCAGCAACTTGTCGATAACGGAAAGCCGGAGAGTCAAATCATGGTTATGGTCTCAGATGCACAGACCATGACTCTTGGTGCATCGCAGACAGTCGACCTTGCAGGCGTTGCAGCAGCCACCGCCGTCGCCCAGCCCTCAGCCGCCCCGGCACAAATCGTGAACCAAGATCCCAACGCGCCTTTCGGTAGCATAAACCAAAACCTGCTTCTGCCCATCGGTGCTCAGGCGCCGTCTGTCGATCTCGTTTTCGTCGACCCGGCCGCCATCATCCTTCCTAACCAGAAGAACCTGTTCATCGAGAGCACCGACACCTTCCTTCAGGACTGTGGCTTCTACCAGTCCAACAACAACGCGTTTGCCAACCTAGGGTCGCAGACGTTCACGTCGTTCGAGCAGATCACTGTCGCTAATGGTGCCGTTTCGATCGTCAAGCAGCAGCAAAATCAGGTCAATATCATCGTATAAGCCTATGTCGATAATGTCATTGTCTAGTTGATTGTTCTATCACGTTAAGCGAGCAAGTCTCGCGGGGGACATTTATTTGTTCCTTCATTTAAGATACCCACAGTGGGAACGTTCATGTATATTTTTTAATTCACGTTTGGAGGCTACGCAAGCCGAGGCGTCCGGATGTCCGAAGGAGAGGGAATGGTGGCGTTCTTGCGCCTGAGAAGGTAGTAGACCTAATCGGGATCAGTCAAGATTGCAAGCTGTCCTACGGGATAGGATAGGAGCACCGAAGAGGCATATTGATGCTGATATAGGGGTATCTCCAAGTTTCGGGTCAATTAGTATTCCTAACAAAAGAAAGAAAAGAGAATAAGAAATGTAATTTTTAAGACCCTGTCCTGACTTCCGGGTTGTTGGTACGTTTTGCATTTTTGCTGCTGTGTTCCTGCCGAATGATCTAAGATCTTACATTGTGTGACCGAACCTGCCAACATCAATTGATGCAAGGCCTCAGCGAAAGAAAATGCAAACCCCTGTCTCTTTCCGCGTCTGATGTTTGAAACTTGACGGGTTCCAAAGCTTGTCTTAAGTAAGGTTGGCCAGGTAGTAGGGTAGCGCTGTCACTTCTCTAGGCACTCTTTCCTTGCGTTCGGGCGAGCATTTACCAAGACAAAATTAGATCTGATGATGTTGGGTCCACAAAGCCGGAGAGCTGAAGTGGAGCGCTTTTACCCCTTTAGGACTACCTCGGCCAATTAATATGATTTTAGTACGGGGTCTTATCTTAGGCTGTTATCGGCTATTAGTGATAACCTGGAAACTGACCTGTTGCCATAAACAGCTGACCGATTTTACCTAGGTAGAGAGAGCTAGAAAGAGGGCATCATCAAAAAAAGAAGATGGTTCTCTGCAATTTACACCTCATTTCCCTCCGGAACGACGTATCGCCAGCCCTATTTCTGGGCAAGCTCCGCTGGAATGGCATCAAGCCTATCGTTCAGGCACGACCCATTCGTTGGATGGTTCTCCCTACACAATTATCAGTTGGCCATTTGATCGGCCGCAACATCCGCTGGGACCTCTTTTTGATCCTAGAGGAGACCGATCCAATCCCCCACGAGGCGCAACTGGATATCGATGGTATCTGGAGCGTCTCCTGTGGAGTCTCTTCCAAAGCGCTTTCGGGTTACGCAGCCGCCAATTCAAAACTCCTCTTCCCGCCGCCCGGCTCGGTCTCACCGCCGGAGCCACAAGAAATCGAACCCTCAAATTCCTCTCAAAACCTAGAAACGAGCCTCGAGTTATGCGAGTGGATCGGGGCACTGCCGGCCGAAATAAGGGACCGTCCCGTTTCCATGTTGAACCTGCTTGCAGTCAATCCTGGAAAGAAAGACGATTACAAAAAATACAGAGACGCGTTCGTTACAAACGCGGGCACCAGACATGGCGCGAATATCAAACTTGTTGGAAGAATAGCGGGCGGCGCGGCGGCGGACGATGGGTGGGACGAGATTGCTTTCGTTCATTACCCATCAGTCTCTCACTTCGCGGCAATGGCGGCGAGTAGAGATTATCAAGAGATCAACCACGAGCATCGACTTCCCTCGCTGAAGGATACGTTTATTTTATGCGTTATGGAGGTGGATGACCAGGCGAATATCGTCGATCCACGACAAACGAGGGAGAGGCTATAAGGGTGTTATGAGGGTTTATGCGTGATGGGTTGATGATGGGCATCAATGATGGTGGGATATCTGAATGTGCTTATGTCTATAAACACTCCAGCATGATGAACATTTTGCACGATATCTGAGGCTCCCACAAACCGATACCTACCTTAGATACATAATCTCTAAGACTTAATGTTATTTCCTATCGATGTATCTATATATTATTTGATGACCTAAAAAGACTACGAGTAATGCTAATCTCCAACACCTGTCAGTGCCAGGTGTCTAGGCACACACATCTAGGACCTCGGGAACTAACCAAGGCCGGTTGTTAGGCCCCGCATAGCGTTTGTTTGCCACCATCAAGCAAAATCTAAATATTACCAAAGTACTTACATAAACAATAAAGGTCCCAAGAACAATGGAATACATAACTGTGAGCTTCAGGTAGCACAAAGGACCATGTGTACTGCCATCTCGATCACTCAAAATGGAAATGATACGAACGTATTAGGTTCATGGGACATTCCAGGCCTACCCGTGACAGCGTATTTGTAGCCCCTAAGCTGGGGTTACGAACCTATCAAATCCCCCAGGCTGCTTAGTACAGCCACCGGCGTATGTGGTGGTCTCGGCCGTTTTCTTTATCGGCAAGATGACGTCGTAAGAACATGGGGTTTCGCAGAATTGGGAGATCTTAGACCCCGGCGACCCCGCGAATATCAACACTAGATGTGTATATAGTCCCATGTGAGTAATGTGACATTGTGAGATAATGTGATTGATGATGGGTGCAACCACCATTGCGCCACTCATAGCCCGTAAGTGAGCTAAATAAGCGAGAAAAATACCGAACTACCGGATTATGTTACCTTTCACCCATAATAACTCTATCCCTCATCGATGATCTCGAATTTTCATATTCTTTGCCCTTCGAGGCCATAATCCCTCAACGCCGCCGGGATCCTGAAAACGAGACCCCTTTGCACTTCAAAACGAGCCGCGGACTTCCTAGTTGTCACACTTGCTAAGATTTAAGCAACTAAAGCCGTTCCTGTGTCACGATGGCGTTGGGTAGATGGACTTTCCCGACTAGCAGAAAACAGTCCACGGCCAGTTCTGGTACCAACAGGACGACGAATGGCTCAACAACACCAACCGACAGCGAAACCCAGGAGTCGACCAAGAGTCCATCCCGCATACTAAAAACCTTTACTGGGGGATTTATATCACACAAATCCAAAAAATCAGTTGACCGTGATGAGTTGGCTCATCTAAACAGGCCGTTCAACCAACAAAACCTAGAACACCAGAAGATACTGAACGCTTTCGAATGGAACTTTGGGAGGCGAAAAACGAGTCATAGCGGTCGAAGTATCGCGAGCGGTATTAGCCCGAGTACTTCGAGGAATAATAGTGTCGACCGCGGTCATTCGTCTCACTATGACCCAACAGAGCCACACCCTCGGTTTGATAGCAGCTTAGCTCGTCAGCCAACTCGGGAGGATCCTCGAGAAGAGTCGGAGAAATAGCAAGCGAATGCGTGTTATTGGCCCTCTTGCGGCATTTTGAGGCCGTTTAATTCAACGGGACACGACTGGACGAATGTAATATGATACCTCAGGAGTTCACTTTGTTGATTGGCGTTCGATGGCAAATACACGGAATAGGGTGGCATATTTATTAGCGGGTTGGGAAAAGATCATCTAATTAATCTTCCGGGCGAAACACTTGATGGTGTAGAATAAATACCTAAATAGTAAAGGCCTCAGAATTTTCAGTGTAAATTGATAACTCATTGGAGAGATCCTCATAGACTGTGTAAGATTGTTCATCACTGGCCATACACGGTGTGTATCAAAGATAAATATCACTGGATATTATCTTACTTCAAGTTTCCAACGCTATTTAATACTTACCATGAAGCTTAAGTAGAATGTCATTAGAATCATCCTTAATATCTAATTTCAGAAGCTTCATCGGAGGCTGATGGGTTGTAGAAACAGATGAGTGTTGTCGCTACTAAGTAGGTAGGTACCTATCATTGGTACCCGTCGAATTGGCAATCCATGATGGTGAAATCGGCACTGAGCTTCCGTATGTTCAGATTCTGCAGTTGCTTTTGATCATCTTTCTGTAGGTGAAGAAGGTTTTCTGGGCTTCGTTGGAGGAAAGAGGAAGATTCGAGTCTAGAAAACTTTCACAAGAAAAGCTAATGAAGAGAAAATTTCTATCTTTACGCTAGCAGCAGCTAGATCTTCACTTGTATGTGGTCAATGCGCTGCTCAAGTTCGGTCATCAGAAAATCCGTCGAAAAGTGGGGTCATATTTTGGGTGCCCGCACCTTTTTCGGCCTGTACCCTAATTCACTAAGCGAGCCTACCAAAATTAAATCTTCAATTCTTCTCTTTCGCAATCTTCTCAATACAAATCCAACGACAATCGACATCAAGGTAGCAACTCAACAACACAGTTGCCCATCATGTCGCTCGTCTCAGGAGAGAAGACGAACTTCCAGTTCGTAAGTAATCCCTCGATTTATTTCATGCGCATCATCTTCGTCGCCTTCGATCCCGACCGGGGTTCTTACGAATTGGCGATTCTTCATCATTCATGATCCATGACTTGATAATTATGGATATCTTTTACTGACTACAATCAAATAGATCTTGCGTCTTCTAAACACGAACGTCGATGGAAAGGAGAAGGTCATGTACGCCATGACCCGAATTAAGGGTGTTGGTCGACGATACTCCAACTTGGTCTGCAAGAAGGCCGATGTCGACCTAAACAAGCGGTATGGATATTTACCAGTTTATCAGAAGAAGCAAAATGAAGGCTAATTGGATATTTAATAGCGCTGGTGAACTTACCTCCGAAGAGCTTGAGCGAATCGTCACTATTCTCCAGAACCCTACCCAGTACAAGATCCCCGCGTGGTTCCTCAACCGACAGCGCGATATCACCGACGGCAAGAGCTACCAAGTCCTCGCGAACGGTGTCGACTCCAAGCTACGTGATGATCTCGAGCGCCTAAAGAAGATCCGCGCTCACCGTGGTCTCCGACATTACTGGGGCCTACGTGTCCGTGGCCAGCACACAAAGACGACTGGTCGTCGCGGCCGGACCGTCGGTGTCTCCAAGAAGAAGGGTGGTTAAAAGGTTTACTGGCGGAGGCATGGTTTCATTGGTTCAGATCATTCATCGTGGATGGACAGGCGTGAAGGCTGGACTGAAATTACTGCATCGACGTTTCTACTGAATTACATTGCACTTGGGGATTTTTCGGACTCGGCAAGTCATAGGTGTACTCTAAAAAGCAAAGAGACATCGTTGTGACCAACACTTTAAACTGCTTCAAAATGAACATGTGATTGATGTATATGTGGGTGGTGTTGAGCTACAGCAACCTCAACATTCTACCTTAAGCCATTTTTTCTCTATGCCATACCATGCCCATATCGCTCCCACGCCGCCAAATGATTTTTTGGGATATTCAAGTTCATGATTCATGATTGCTAAAACTGGGTTCTCTAATCTTCATGGGTTACTGCCATTTCGAGGACTTCGACTCGTCCTTGACCTTTGGTCTCGTTGCCTACGAAATCAGATAGACCCTTGAAAGCGCCAGGCTCCACGAACCCGACTATCTCCCATTCTGATCCGAGGACGTCTTGGTTTTCTACCTGTTCAACATAACTGAGGATTTTGTCCTTGACAGTGCCAGGGGCCTTTTGTTCTCCATCTGCATCGCCACCCTTTGCCACTTTCACTGCCTGTTTCAGAACGCTCGTAGAGCACGTAACTCTCAGCTTCATCCGCGCCCTGGTAACCGGGATAGGCTGATGCGCGATCAGGGCCTTCATGGCATCAAGAGCCTGACTCTTGGCGTTCTTCGTCGTGACAACACCGGTCCAGTTGTGCTCCTTTGTTCTTGGCTTCGCTTCTGAGTCATCGCCCGTCGCAGGCGTTCCCACACCGCTGCCTGTGTCCGTACCCTTCTTGTCCCCTTGTTGATGCGCTTGCGAACTCAGCATATCCAGCGCCTTCTCGATCATTCCTGTCGTGTAAACCCTCTTCGTCCGCGGATCTACCAGCTTGCTGGCCACCATGCTTACAACTTCATTGTGTACTCTGTCCAGTTGCGCCGCACGCTCTTTCTCACCCACCTGCAGCTCGCCTTTATTTAGGATCTCGAGGATGATATCGTTTAGAGGCTTATTCTTTCCAAACGCCTTCGCAAGCTCCGCCGAGGGTGCTGTCTGACCTTTCGAAACATTGAGGAAGACATTGGGGATCTGAAGAACTTCGTCAAGGTCGGTCTCGATGCCTGATCGCCATTCTAATACTTTGTTTTTGTAGCAGGCGATCTCGAAGCGCTTCTTCCCCTTCTTCAAGCGCACAAGCGACACGTTCGTAAGTTTTATTTGATTAGACTAGTAATTGTGTTAGTCTTCTCCGTATCCAGGCGCAAAATTCTTCGCAACAGTCAAAATTCTGGATCGGCATGGAAAACGCGGGGAGACGCAACCGGGAGCAATGGGGGTTAATTACATACTGCGATATATTAGCATCGTACGACATACAAGGGGATGAGAGACATTTGAAAACAGAGAATTGACATGGTTTGGAACTTTACTATCCAACTTACCAGGCTGATTTATTTGTCGCGACATTTTGCCTTCTTGCGATCAAAAAAACGTTGTAGGTGGTTAATGCTATTTTATTAACCGTGCACAATGTCAGACGTCGTAAAGAAACATGCATATCCTAGTTGTAAAATTCATAAAACCGTACTTTCTCTAGAACGAACCATAAATAAGGTTGCTCTAGACTCGCGAGTCGGTGGATCAGAGCCTTAGAAATCGGCAGTACTTAGGCAGGTACCTAACCTTACCGACATATTGACGCATCCGTGGATCACGAGCCAACACATAACATGCTTCCCCGAGTCTTAGACAAGGTACCTAAGCTACTAAGACGCAGGAACAGCTCAGCAGCGTGATTTCAATAATAGATTCACGAAAGCATCAATGCAAATGAACCATATTTACTCATTAATTCTGAATCATAGTTAAACATACCTACCCCATATAGCTTAGTCTCTCCTGGGTACACTAATCATGACCGATGACGCTTATCGGCAATGTACCCCTCGGTCTATCACGAGACACGAAGCTCGATAACGTCTGGGCATTGAACCCAGCTGTCGTAATCTATTGCATTGAAGGTAGGGCGAGCAAGTTACTCACTAGCATTAGTGGGTCCACCCTTTCTTACTCAACCGGCGGGAGATATCCCCTGTAAGCAATAAGGGGGAACTTAGCCAAGGCACCAAAATCCTAGTGGTTGGCTGGCCACTAACCAGTCATTGGCAGTCACTGACCAGTTGGGTTCTCGTTCCCCGTCCCGTTTCATGGCTCATCCATATCTCCAGTGCTTGAGCTTCCCCGATCTTCTCTTCTTGCTTTCTCGCTCATTGTTATTTGTATCAACCCATCATCAACATTCATTCTGAATTCTTCCATCCAATCTTTTCTTTCTACAAATCATCTATCATCATCATTACCATCACCATCATAGCCATCGTCAATTCTGGTAGTTCGTCGATACTCGCCTGCTACCATCATGAGAGTAGCTAGCTCCGCCCTGCTGCTAGGCGCCAGCTCGGCTGCCTTTGCGCAAGAACAGAAGGTCCTCAGCGGCATCAGCGGTATCAGCGATGCCGTCAAGAAACCTTTCGACCACATCGGCAGTGCCTTTGGGGAGATGCCAGCTACTGCCAAGGGACTCTGGGATGAAATGAGCCTCCTGGTCCCCGGCTTCTACGAAAAGGCCTCTAACCTCATCTCCTACCCTAAGCCTCATGCCCGCCGCCCAGATAAGGAATGGGACCACATCGTCAAGGGCGCTGAGGTTCAAAGCATGTGGGTTGAGACAGATGGTGTTAAGCACCGAAAGGTCGATGGTTCTCTTGAGGCCTACAACCTCCGAGCGAAGAACGTTGACCCTTCCGAACTCGGCGTAGACAAGGTGAAGCAGTTTAGTGGATACCTAGACGACGAAGCTAATGACAAGCATCTATTCTATTGTAAGTTATCCAACCCGAAGCTCTAATCAAATCAACATCTAATAATATGTCTAGGGTTCTTTGAATCTCGAAACGACCCAAAGACCGATCCCGTAGTACTATGGTTGAACGGCGGCCCCGGCTGCTCTTCTATGATGGGTCTCTTCATGGAACTCGGTCCATCCAGCGTTAACAAGGATGGCTCGCTCAAGTACAACGAGTACTCGTGGAACAGCAACGCGTCTGTCATCTTCATCGATCAACCCGTCAATACCGGCTACTCCTACAGTAGCAACCCTGTTTACAACACTGTTGCCGCAAGCAAGGACATCTACGCTCTATTGACCTTGTTCTTCCACAATTTCCCCCAATATAGCGAGCAGCCATTCCACATTGCTGGAGAGTCGTATGCTGGCCACTACATTCCCGTCTTTGCTTCTGAGATCTTGTCGCACAAGAACCGCAACATCAACCTGCAAAGTATCGCCATCGGTAACGGCTTGACGGACCCCTACACCCAATATGCTCAGTACCGCCCCATGGCCTGTGGTGAAGGTGGTTATGATGCGGTGCTCGATGAGAGCGAGTGCCAGTCCATGGACAACTCCCTCCCTCGCTGCCAGTCTCTGATCTCCAGCTGCTACGAATCTGAGAGCGTTTGGTCTTGCGTTCCTAGCGCCATCTACTGTAATAACGCCATGATTGGTCCCTTCCAACGCACTGGATACAATGTCTATGATATCCGTGAGAAGTGCAAGGACCAGGAGAACCTTTGCTACACTGAGACTGCCTGGATCAGCCAGTACTTAAACCAGGACAAGGTCATCAAGGCTGTCGGTGCTGAAGTGCAAAACTATGAAAGCTGCAACACCGATATCAACAGGAACTTCTTGTTCCAGGGTGACTGGTCCAAGCCGTTCCACCGTCTTGTCCCTGATATCATCAAGCAGATCCCAGTTCTTATCTACGCTGGTGATGCTGACTACATCTGCAACTGGCTCGGCAACAAGGCCTGGTCAGAGGCACTTGAGTGGTCTGGCAAGAAGGGTTTCAACTCTGCCAGCATGAAGGACCTCTCAACCGGTTCTGACAAGTACGGAGAGGTCAAGAGCAGTGGTAACTTTACCTTTGCGCGCATCTACCAGGCAGGTCATATGGTTCCGTTCAACCAGCCCGAGGGCTCCTTGAACTTGTTCAACAGATGGCTTGGAGGTGAATGGTACGCTTGAAGGATGATGATTTAAGTCATGTGTGATTAGTGTCTGTATTACGAAACACAATGATTAGTTTACGGCGAACAATATGTTAGATTGCATTTGTTTAATGGAGTATTAATGAAAGGGCTTTGAACTTTAGAACGATTGGGTGTTCGATGAATTCGACTGAACATGAGACAGTTCACCAATATACAAGTTCAAGAACAAGATTCACAATTCAAAATATCTATTGATTACTATATTATATGATCCAACGTCGAACGGCAATGTTGATAGCCGTAAATGTGAGATGTTACAACAGATAAATTACGAGAGCCTCGACGCTAAACGCCAGGAGGTCCCGTACTCAAAGATCGTTGTAGAGTTTGATCTTGTCTAATACACTCGAGAGAGGTATCCGGCTCAAGGTCAGATGTGGAATATCAAGGCTGACCGAGCGTGGCAAAAGACGAAATCGCATATGGATGCTTCAACAGTCTAGTCACAATGTTGACGATCTTCCAATGCGCAATGAGAAGTGTAGGTACGTTACCTTTCGTTACCTGTTGAAAAATTGCGCTCTTTTAATGATGAGTAGGTAGATATTTGAATTAGCCAAATATTCGTAACGTAGATGACTAGCCTCAAGACAGCATTGTCGGTAGCCAAACGTATCTTGAGTGACTTGACATTACTTCGAGAAGAAGATGCCGGTTGGAAAAATCTGTGAACTTGGAAATGAAAATAAATCTGTTGAAATTGTGGACCTCGCCTTGTCGTAGGTGGCGTAGGTGGCGCATGCATAGCAGCCACGGTCACTAGCCACCCCCTAACCTCCGGTCCGACGTAACACAGAAAGGAAAGCCAAAGAAAATTCAGAGCATGTCTACAGGCGTTTGAACAATCTCAAAACATCATATAATCAAATACATACACAAATCTAGGAGTTAGAGAGAATGTTCAATCATTCTTCATTCTATGTCTTATTCACGGAACCTCAATTCTTGCATAGCAAGAAGGAGCATCCGATGCCTCGCATAGAACCCAGACTAAAGTTTCGATTACACGTTTTCTAAGTCAGGCTCAGTTGAGCAATCACTCTCAATAAATATGACCGAAACCTTCCGATGATACAGGGCCTTGACTTCCTTCTTGTAATATTGTGAGTTAGGAACTGCTTCTCCTGAGTTGCAACCCCCTCAGCATCGAACATACACATGATGGTCAATTTACAGCATCCTGGCATTTTTACCAAAACCATGTAGTTACCTCCAAACTTCACTCTTTCATTATTCCCATTTCTTATCCATATCCAATTTTCAGCATCCCGAGTTGGGACAATTTTGAATTCGTCATGTTCGAACGAGGCTGGGTCAGGCTTGCTATTGCCTTTTGCTTAATGGGAGTTTTTCTACTTCAACAACATCATCAGCTCGAATTCGGTACGAGACTTTCTGATCTGAGGTTGCATTCATTCTAATAATGTAACAGGCCAATACGATCCCTACCGATGTCGAGCGCTCTTGAACGATGGAAAGTGGTCACCCTTATCCTCGGACGGCTCCAAGAAATGGGAACCCAAGCATTGTCGGATGGTCGAATATCCTAGAGTTGCTCTCCGTGCTTGCTTAGACAATCAGAAGGTTGTGTTCGTAGGAGACTCTACTACCCGCCAGGTCTTCCTAGCTGCCGCGAAAAGACTCGAACCCGGTCAAATGAGAGTTCCGATCAGGAATTCAACCAATTTGAGACAGAGACATCAGGACGCCACATTTGAGGCTGAAGGAGTCAAGCTCGAGTTCATCTGGGATCCCTGGCTTAATTCAAGCAAACTAGAGAAGACATTGAAAAACTTTCATGCTCTACCAACACCTCCAAACGAGTCAAGCATCAGAAAGAAAGATGACATGTCTCCGGCCTTGATTCTCTTGGGTGCACCCGGCCTCTGGGCCGCTCGATACGGTAGGGATGACTATCTAGACATATTCAAAAACAGTATCGACCACGTTACGCCATACATATCGGACGTCTTCGATGAAAATATGCCTCGGGTTTTCAACTTTGATTCCGATGACACCGCAAACCACATTTTGCTAGCCCCTGTCCTAGTTCCAGAGTACAGACATCTGTCTTTTCGCCGGCGTCAAACTATTACGGCAGAAAGGATTAAGCAAATGAACGACTACCTTTCCCAGCTCTCGCAGAACCAATCGTCGCATATACCATGGGTATATAACAAATTGTCGGACGACTTCAATGAGGATGGTCTACATGTTTCGGACAACGTAGCGGGACACAAATTTGACGTCGCCATCAATGCGCATTGCAACACCATCAGTAGCCGCAGCCGCTCTTTCAAAGGCACCTGCTGTGTTCCCGATCATTACAACAAATTATTTATGTTGGTGAGCGAAGTATCATTTTTTATACTAATTGTTTCACTCATCGTGGAAGTGGCCCTAGGGGTGACTATGCGTGAACACATGACATTAAACGGGGCCAGATCCATCGTTTTCGTCATCCTGCATTGTTTTTACTACGATAGAACTACCCTGTTCGGCAAATTGGAACGCCACTATCAACCTGTCGAGTTTATTGTTATGTGTCTTTTATGGCTACTGGCTGGCATCTTCACCACAAGCAGAAAACCCCCGCCAGCAGAGTTGCCAGAAAGGTCGGTAGCAAGGCTCAGGCAAGAACGCAATTCAGATCCACCAGACTATCAAGGCCCTGGATATCTATCGATCGATCATTCCCTTGAGATCAAAGGCTTGATGCAGGGGTTCATTCTGCTCTACCATTATCACCATGCATCTCAAGCGCTTTGGGTGTACAAGATCATTCGATTATTCATATCTGGATACTTCTATCTCACCGCATACGGGCATACCATGTACCTACTAAAGACGAACGACTTCTCTTTCAAGCGCGTCTCAGTTGTCCTATTTCGGTTGAACCTTCTAAGCGTCATCTTACCGTACGCCATGAGGACCAACTATACCTTGTACTACTTCGCTCCAGTCGTATCGTTCTGGTACCTCGTTCTGTACGGGATGCTCCGTTTCTTCCGGAACTATAACCACGACATGCCTTGGTTCATCTCAAAAGTGATCGCGACGGCTATGGTAACTGTTGTGTTGATCTCGACAACCGGCGTCCTCGAAACTGCTGCCAGGTTCTCCCATCTATACTGCAACATCAATTGGGATCCCAAGGAAATGCGCTTCAGACTCCTCCTAGATCGGTACATCGTCTTCGTTGGGGCGGTCGTGGCAGCCTTTGTCCACAATGCCTCCGTTCGTGGCTCACAGCCTATCCTTCCCCTCGGCAACGCCAGACCCTTCTTCTTGAACCGAAGACATCTATTGAACGTCATCTCCGCAGCAAGCCTGGTAGCATTCTTCTACGTCACCCAGACAACCCTCCACGAGAAAGTCATCTACAACAAGATCCACCCCTTCATCTCCTGGATCCCGATCCTCTCCTTCGTTGTCCTCCGGAACTCGCTCCCCGGGGTCAGAGAAGTGTATCTGTGGCTGCCGACCGTGCTGGGCCAGATATCGCTCGAGACATATGTGTTGCAGTTCCATGTCTGGCTCGGCGGTAGCGCAACCGCGAAACTAACGCTCGGGCTTTGGGACGACCCTTAGGGCCGGCGTTTCGAAGTTGTCCTGTTCACCGCGAATTTCATCGGCCTCGCTATCGCGGCGAATTGGGCCACCGATCTCCTTTCCCGCAACCTGTCTCGCGGCTGGATGTTCTTCATGGTCTGGCAGATGTGGGTGCAGAATCTGCGCGAGAGGTGGTATTATCCGTATTTGACTTGGCTGAGTTGGGTTGGTATTGCTTGTTTTACTGCGGTGATCGTTACGCAGTAACTGCTTTGGGCGTGTCGTTATGATGGTTTGGGGTGCGGGATTAAAGCGTTGTTGGGGTTAGATATGTAAGCGTATCAGCGAGGTATGTTATATCCACTCTTTTGTTTATTTGATTGATTTGCTGGTGCATATTATTGACGAATTCCTGCCTGCGTATTGCTCTGTACAGTTACGGGGTAAGAGGTAGGATAATGAAGGTATTATCGTGACTTAACGTGCACTCGTTTTCACGGTCAAACTCATTTCTTTGCATAACAATTACTTTTTAAGATCAGAAAGTCAAGGTATAGCTGTAATAATTGAAATTGAGAGAGGGTGAATATTAAGTTCAACGATTGTGTATTTTCTAAATCCTCGGTTTCCAAGCACGTCTAATTGCCATCATATTGAAATGTTCGAGTGAACCTGAGTCCCTCCTGGACTCTGTCCCCCATGCGACGAGGGTATCCGATCGTGAGGACGACCCAGTCGTCGACAAGGACCACGTTTTTGGTTCCCTCGTTTTTGGTCCCCTCGGAAGAAGTGAATGTATGATGGGTCGAGCAGGGAAACGACTCCCATTTTGGGGAGATCCATCATCCTGTCAGGACTAAAGCAAGCCGCTTTCCAACGTCCCCGTTTTGGGCCCCTCCTAGCCCGAGTGCGACCCGCCACGCGGGGAGGCGTCAAAAGGATCTCGTCCTTGTCCTCCGAGATCGACATTATGATTACACCTCGGAGGACGAGGTGGGAGCAGGATGTTCCTCCCGCGTCGTGCGGCGCGCGGGACATCGATTAGGATGAATTGATTAGTTCGTCGCTTAGTGGACGCGCGTATTTATGACGCTCAGGCGTTCTACAACCCTCTCCTCGCTCGGGGAAGAGGGTGGAGGGCCAGTGTCGAGGGCCCAAGGCCATTCGATTGGCTTCGCGTGGCGATAGCCGACGCAAGGTAGAACACAGGTTACAGTGCTACCTCTAGGAAATCCGCCATTATCTTCCTTGTTAAGGGATGATATGGGAGATGACTTGGATGTTGAGGATTCAGGATTCCCCTAGTGGAATGTCTGGAGGAGATTGATTGACGAATTCTCTTCCGGGAGAATCCTCCCCACGAATTACGTGGGCCAGGTCGTCGGAACCCGGCAGTGTAGCACTCTGACCACCCTCACAATACGCTGTTGGAATTGTGCATTCGAGGGCTTGATTGACCCTATGTACGAATGGTAGGAGTCGTAGCTACTCCATTCTTCCCTCGTCTTGGGTCATCGGGGCCGAGCGGTGAGATTTAAATTAGGTATCTCCGCCACTCGGCTCCGGGCTCTACCGTATTCCCCCAACCAGCCGTGGTAGGAGTAGTGCCTTCATCCATGGCGAGATATTAGGAATTATATTAACCGCTGTCTTTCCGACGGGGTCTGAGGTACATTCCATATTTCCCTCCACATCACGCCCGCGTGGTGGGCTTCTATGCCCTCCCCCGGGAATCTTTGGGGGCGACACGAGCAACGCCGCCATTGGGGCTGGCTTGGGTCTTAGCCGGCCTACCAGGCCCCAAAAGCCAAGCCAAGAATGTTTCGATGAACATTTTTAGTCTTGGCTGGCTCCCATGGCGGCGATGGAGACGAGCGACCATTCACATTTGGCGTCCACTCGTCTCCGTACCCTCCCCGATGGGGTCCGGGACTCCCTGTGCCCTGTCCTTAGTGGACGAGGGACTTTGTAGGGGCCCATAAGTCTTGGGGTAGGGTGTGCCCGATTCCTTAGAGGGGGAGTGGGAATGCGACCCCTGCCTTAGGACGCAATGATCTCTCCCTCTGAGAGCTTCTTCCTCTCCCCCGCACCCACGCGGTGTGTGATCCAGTGTTGTGAGTTTCGCGGCCGTAAAGGGCGGTTCGATAAACCGCTTATTTCGGAGAATCGTAGCATCTGCTGGAGGTAATAGCTTCGGCCTCCCAGCTCGCAGGAGAGCTTACATCTGGGAGGCCGCTCTCCCTCCCCCCCCCTCACTAGGGGTTTTTGGTTGTTATGAGGCGGCAACCCCTACCGGGGCATTTCCGACTCCCAAATTACGGCAGAGTTGGCTCGGGACCGTGTGCTCGGCCTGTGATGATACACAGGCTTCGCTGGGCGACGGCAAGTTACTCTACAACCATGATCAGTTATGCGATTCTCCACTCTCCATCCAGGGCCAGGCCACATCTGTTGACAAGGACCTCTCCAGTGCTCTGCCATTTACTGGCTTAGGAGCTTAGTAGGAGATGAATCAGAATTAGGCCTGCCTGATATAAGAGGCTGGAGGGCTAGGAAGTGGGTTGGAAATACCGACCCCCGGATGGGAGGGTGCCCCGCTGCCCTTTTGCTCCCCGATGTTATATGGGGACGGCTTACAGAGGCGTTGGCGGTGGCCCTTCGTTATGGGCCTTGTAAATGGCCGATCGGCTCCCCGGCCTTTAGTGGCCAATTGTGGCCGAACGCGGTATAGAGGGACATTAGGTCCCTCATTATTAACGCGGCAGTTCGGCCACAGGCAGGAGCACGCCAGCGTGTTTAGTGTTGTCGTTGTAATCGCTCCCACCATCTTGGTGGTGTGCCGGGGTTTGTGCAGTAATTCGACTGGCATAGGTGAGGGCTTGCCTACGCCCTCTGTCGACGAAAAAGCATGCCTATCCGACGCCGAAGTAGGGTTCGGTTGGTACGCCTCATTGTTTTCGGACGAGGGCCCGCCTCGCTCCCGTGTAGAGTACCATTCGCCTTTCTTAGACTTGACGCCTTAATGTGGACGCATGCCGAGTCGAGAGTTGCTATTTAAGCTTAAGAATCTCGAGGCACGTCCCAAGGTCCCTTGGGTTGGAGACCTGGGAAACACCGCCCAGCATACAATGGCTGTTACCTGGTCGCATGCTGGGCGTATCTCCTGGGCGATGCGGCGGAGGGAAGCCCGCGAGGATCTCGAAAGATATTTCGTTAATGTATCCTCGCTTCCCAGGGAAGGGCCATACACCACCCTGACTTCAGGCAAGGTAAGCTTCTTCGATTACTCTCTCCAATTCGAGGGAGTCCCTCCCGCCCCAAGCGACCATTGGGGCAGGGAAAGTGTGGAGTCGTCGTTAGAGAGAAGAAGTTCTTCCAAGGCAGGATAGGTAGTCCCGCTGGTTTTCGTGTACTTTAGGGTCTCGGGGCTCTTAGTTCGGGAGCCCCGAGGTCCTGACTGCCCCGATCTCCCTTCATTTGCTGTAGTTGAGGGTCTTGAGTGGGACAGCCAGGTTAGATGGCTTTCTGGTTGCCGGAACCCTGCGGGATGAGGCACATCCCACGACGCCGGTTTACCTCCGGTGCCATGTTTTTCCACGCCTGGATTGGAGAGTACATTGGTGTCGACTTCTCCCGTCCTTAGTGGGGAAGTTCCCCGGGAGGCTGCCAAGCAATTACAGCTACCTAGATATGCTTCCCGGGGAAAGGAGGCTGGACCGGCGATATCGTTAATCTTAGCCGGTGCCAACCACCTCTTCAGGAATACCACAGCGGGCTCGTCGGAATCGTTCTATTGCGTATGGTTCAGTACCATATGGACCAGGGGATCCCACCGAGGTCGGCTCATAGGTTGATGGATTGGCAGCGCAACCTCGTGGGGATCCAGTCTCCCACCACTCCCAACCATACCGGCGGACTTGTCGTCACGCCGCTCCCAGCCATGGGTGAGGGTCCGGTGTCTTAGCACACCGACCATGGCTAGGGAGACTGGTAGGATCCCCTGTCCGGGCAGGCCCCCAGGGGGCCCTCTCCCCCCCTTCGTCTTCTCCGTCATCTTCCATGTTCCTTGCACCAGACACACCCAAGGTCGGATACACCTTGGAAGTCAACCTCTTATTGACGAGGGTTGTCTTATGGTAGGAACACCCACTCCGCCAGTGGCGTGTCCCGCTGATAGTCTTTATATATGCCGCAGATAATGGGCTTATATATAAAGTTCCTATCCCCCTCTTGGGAGTCAGGGATGGTTGGTATATCGAGCATTCCCCGGAAGGGACGACCAAGCATGGCGCTGAATGCGCGTGGAAGTCCCCCCGGCAGCCAATGCAGGACGGGGAGCAGGGAGAGGAGCGACGCCATCTTGGGTCACGTCCGATCATCTGCTCCCTGCGCTGGGGTTCCTGCCAGAACATTGGAGGGCGATCTCGTAGTCAATTTATGACTAGAGTGCCCGGCCAGAATTGTTGGCAGGCAATGTTCTGACCGAGGCAGGAACATAGTGATGGATGAGGGTGGAGGGTGGAGGGTGGAGGGTGGAGGGTGGAGGAAAAGAGGGTGATGGAGTATACTCTTCTCAAGAGCTGGCTTCTGGTTAGCTAAGGGTACCTTCAACTCAAGGGGCGCGGGTATTCTGCTTACTAATGGTGTCGGCTATTGGGTTAGCCAATAGCCAAACTTTTTATACTCGCCCATTAGGGGCGAGCATCGCATTATGTTAATTAATTTTAATTAATTAAACCGCCAGTGTTGTGTGCTGGATTAATGGCGTGAAGGCGGAGGGGTAGCCTCGGCTCGACGTTAGGTGAGCCGCGGGACGCACACCATGCCAATATGGCTAGGCGCTGTGTGGTGGTTCTGTTTCGTGTTAGTGGTGAATGGATGGATGATTTGCGGTGATGGGCATTTTTGACTTACGGTCATGAGCGTTCCAATCCATGGAACAGACCTCAGGGTCGTAGACCAAGTTATGGGCGATTTAGGACACCAGACATAACTTGGCTGTGGAAGGGACTTGTGGTTAGTCAAGGTTCGTTTGGATATTGGACGGTTGGTTGAGAAAGGGTTTTGAAAAAAAAGAAAAGGAAATTAAAAAAGAAATAAAGGTGGACGGTATGATAATGTGGTGTGGACGGAGTGTGGTATGGTATGTGGTACGGTACGAGGTATGGTACGAGGTATGGTATGAGGTATGAGGTATGAGGTATGATGAAGATGAGGTATGATGAAGATGAGGTATGATGTGGACGAGGCAAAGTGTGAACAAGGTAAAGTGTGAACGAAATATTGTACAGGATGGGTGAATTGTGTAATGGGTTTACCTTGGATGTTTTGTAGGTGTAAATTGGTTGTTGTGTGGAAGAAGTAATGATGAACGAAGAAGATGGACGAATAACTTTGGTTGAAGAAAGATGAACAAGGAAGGGTTTGAACGAAGTAGGTGTGGACGTGTTATTTATGGAAGGTGGGTAGTGGGAGTGTGGGCGTGTGCACCCGGTGTTATTTGTTCAGTACTGGGGACGGGGACGAAGTCGTGGATGAGATCAAGTACAGGGACAGTGACGAGAGAAGAGGAACGAAAGGCACCCACGTAGATGATGTTTTGGTGTGCGTGAGGAAAATGTGTTTGAGTGAAGAGCAAAACGATGTAGGAATAAAAACTTACTCAGTAGATAGTTATCATCTTTCTCGAATTAGGTAAAAAGAAGATAAAGTGCTTCGATCATTGTATGTTGGGTTGCAAGACTTAAAGTCTTAGATCTCCAACAAGTAGACGATGGACCTTAGGTGGTGCCATCTTTTATGTCTAAGGAAAATGTTGAAAGAAGGAAGAATCGTTGTGGTGAAAGGAGGGGAGGGGAGGCGAGATTATATAGTTTTGGGTGAAGAAACTCCAGTGACGAGAATCAGTAGGTCCCGCTAAGATATTAATAACTACGCACCGTCCAAGGAAGGAAGTACCTCAGGTACGCGTGCGAATATTAAGTATACGACCCGCGCCTATCCTAAACGGGCGAGTACGATGTGGCAGCTGACAGAAGAAAATATTTAAAGTGTCGACGCTTATAGCGTAGAAGGTGGACGGGCCTATAAGGGGTTTTACACGGGGCCGTGCTAGATGGTAATTCTCCATTATATAGGTATTTATCACAGTGAGTCAGTTTCAGTCCCGATTTCCAATTCATTTAATAGTAAGTAACTACGTACCTAGAAAACAAGTGTCAGCTACGCAAGTATCTAATTGGGCTTGCCAGTCACTCGGCGCCCACTTGTTTCCATAGTAGGGATAATAACAACAACAACAAATAAATCTGGCCCTGCCTTTACGCATGAGGTACCTAGTACCTTAAACATGTTTTGTTACAATAATACTTTTATACTTTCCCTAGTACCTATGTATCCATCAATGTATATATTTCGCACTGAACGCAATTTTAGAAGTCATGAAAATATCCTAATAAGGAATGGTTAACATTTGTGATCTCGTACACGCCGTGGTATTTTCGATTTATTTTTATTTTCTAACAGTAGTACGTACTGTACATAATACTTCTTCCAATAAAGCCTGGTACCAATAACATTTCTCTGCATTTTTCTGCGTGGAAAGTAGTATCTTATCCTACGACTATTGAAGTCTTTTATGTTAAGCAGGTTCTTCGGACCTGGCACAGCCCCTGAATTAGTTGAAAGTTCAGTTCTTAATCCAACCCTTGAATTAGTTCAAAGATTAATTGTCACACGGGAATGAGCATCAAGAGATTGTCAAATATCAACTAGACGATGCTTTATTGAGGCTTATTTGGTATTATTAGAGGTCTTGATTCCCCTAATTGAGTTCATGTGCTTGGAGAACCAGCACGAGATTAAATCATACCCTTAGTTCTTTGAAGGTAAATAGACACAATTATCGCCCTCTGAAAAAGAAAGAGAACCTTTGAAGCCAACGGGTTTTCGGATTATGGAGGATTATTAGCTGGATAGAGGACACGTCCGATAACCTTATAGCCGTTGGTACATCAGCCCCTGATTTAATTCCTAGATCAATTTCGAATCTGTTGGGAAATTGATCCTTGATCGAGTCCGGATCTATTAAATATTCATTCTATTAGCACAAGAGTTGGTCCAACATTTAGTCTGAAGACCAGTCCCTAGATCAATTCAAAGTTGAAGGTAAACAGATACCATAGGATGTAGTCAATTCTTATCAGGCGGATGAAAACCAGTGACTAGCATGCGCCCAATCATGTGTGGTTAAATTTAAAGTTTGCCAAGACTCTAGCGCGCCGGCAAAAATAGCCAAGAGCTAATCGATTACCGCGATACAAGATCGATCAGATCCTTATCAATTTCCCCCAATAGTTTTCCGAGCTCAATATTTACTCCGGAGGCTTACCTAGCACTGCTGTATTTCTAGCTAATGCGTGTCCTGCTCAGAAAGCCACACCCTGACCCGTAATCTCCGAGAACGAAGCATATATGGAAGGGATGTGAAAGCTGTAGTTTTTCGGTTCGTATAAGGCCAGGGGACTCGCTGTATCAATGGAAAATGCGCACTATAATTGGAGAGTAATCGTGGTACGAAATATTGAAGTATTCTACCAAGTAGGTAGCCAACCTTGAAAATGACGAAAACATCAGTAAGCATTATGTTCGCCGGGTAGTATGAACTGCTACACTGGGGATATTGGTATTAATTTCTAAAGCATCTGTATCATACGCTAGTCCTTTTACCCATACAGTCCATGTTTTCATGCCCTCCTTATCAAACCCAGCACAACCAGACTTTTGATTACCTTATCTAGAGACACATTCTGCCCCGAAGACACCAGCAGTAGCAGAGCCGAGTCCGGAAAATGCGGCTATGCCCCATGCTAGAGCACCTGATTCCCAATCCGACTTGTCAGCTGGTAAAATATCTCCCTCCACTATGTCTCTGGCTTCTGACGGCGTAGGCTCATATGATTTCTCTTCCTCAGGTTTCTTAGTCTTTTTCGATCGTCCTCGCCTCTTCCCAGGAGTCCTAACGCCTTCCTCGCTAGGGGCAGTCGAGCTTGCAACGCTTCCCAGCCTCGTCGATTTTCTTCGGCTTCTCAGAGTCATTGAATGTTCTGATACAACATCCTCACAGAGCTCGGGATCGGGTTTAATATTTAAACTTGGTCTCTTGGTGTCTTCGACAGGGTCCTCGAACTTATGGTTGAAGCCGTAATTGAGATATGTCGAGTAGATGATATGTTGAGTGTTTGTAGCTCGAACAGCAGCCCAAAGACCTAGACTGAAGGTACATATCAAGACATCCCAACCAACAGCCAGCACGGCAGGATGATCAAAGATCGAACCTAGCACTTTACCTACTGCTGTACTACTGCGTTCCCAATTTGTGCGTTCCTCCATATCCCATGCGAAGAAAACGCTATGTCGGTGACGATGTGAATTTGGGATATTTGCGATGAGCGCTATGATGGTGGCCTTAGCGTAGTATACGAAGGACATGAAAGAAACGGATCGATAAATTGTTGTGAATGGGCGGTATGCGTCATGTGGGTGTGCGTGAATAGTACCCCAACTTGTCGGGGCAATCCTTGGTAGAATCAGGGGCAAGAAAGTGGAGGCGCGAGTGAAGAATACCACGTTCACAAATGATGGCGTCTCGGCGGCCAGAGGAAGTAAAAATATTGTTGAATAGTTGATAGCCAGAGCCAACCCAAATGAACCAGGACTCAGATACCAATTCTTTGGCTTGCGTGGGAAGAACCTATCACGGATCTGGACCAATCTCGAGGGCGCCACTGGAAGCCCAAAACCCTCCCTTCCTTGCGACAACGGCGCTGGAGTTAAGAGAAGGGCAAGAAAGAACAGGTTCTGGGCAAAGGATAGGCTGACGAGATGTGCCAGGGCGAGAAAGGCGGAAGTTAGTGGGATGTTTCGTCGTCGTCCTTCGATCGACAATAGAAAGCTGAATGCTATGGTGGCGAGATCGATCTGCTGGCCCCACCAAAAGCGGCGAGCCTTCTCGGCAACAATTTCGAGGCTGTCAAAGTAAGGCGAAGTATCACTCAGCCAGTGGGCTATATAGACAGGATCTAGTACGCTTGAATTATCTGGTTCTGGGAAGAGTGTTTCTTCGGGGATGAATCTGCTATCATATTAGACTTTCACATTTCAATTTTTGGGGTTAGTAAGGGATGGGTAACACTTACCGCTCCGGTTGATCAAGGCCATGTTCATAGACCCACGTTCGATACGATATGATGACTGAATTTAGAGATGTGTAGGTGGCCAGAGAAAAAGCTGTAACAGCAAGCCCGAGAAAGATTGGAACTAATCTCTTGCGCTGTGCGAGGCGTGATCGCGTGTCCTGGCTTGGGCCTAAAGATTTGTATGATGTATATAGACTAGCGGCGACGGCATATATCAAGTAGAGGATTGATATAAGACGGATACCAACTGTAGCCAGTGAGATGATACTGTACTTGATGTTATTAAACCATTCATCGACGAGTAAGCTGGCTCATGAAGACATACCTCAATGGGTGCTGAAGGGGTATCGGTGCCATCTTGGGCTATGATATTGTTCGAAGGGATCTAAGTGAACAAATACAAGATAGCGACGAATCATTCATATTAGTATTATATATGCGTCTCCATACTTCGGTAGTAAAAGCATGTACTGGGTGAGGTAGTGAAAGTAGTGGAAGTAGTGAATTCCAGAAATTTAGGTGATGATTCTAAGTTGGTTACAAGGGTAGGAATGCATATGGCGTCGGGTCGTTGCTGCGTGGCGGGAAACTGGGGAAATCAATACCAGCTGATTGGGTATTGTTATGACGCCATGTCTCTGGATATAGGTATAAATGCCATAAGAAGGGTCGACTTACATGTACCTACCCCACGTTGAAGTGTATGTGTGGCTACTTGGGTACATTTGTACTTATGCATGGTTTTGATTTTTCGTCACAAGTGCTCAAGTTCCTAGGTACATGTAGCTTGGATTTACTAAACAGCCTGGTTTTGTGAGATTTAAATATATGTATAAATACGTCTGTTTGTCTATATACAAACATCTGTAAAACATGTAACTATGATATGTGAATCCTTTTCCTCAACAAGATGAAAATGTTAGGTATCATGCATACTATAATATTTTCGACTTTCTGCATAATTACCTAATTAAATGTTGAATAATCCGGCAGTTGAAGTACCAATGGCGCCTTTCCCTTACGGGATTAGCGCCGGGCGGATACCTACCAGCACATTGGAAACATATGATCGTTGGCGCTTGAGCCACAAGCCGCTTCATTGGTCAACTCAATCTGGAACATCACCTCAGCATTCCTTATCGGCTCGAGTCTACAGATGTACATCCGTCCCCATCTACCCCAAATCCGCAATAGCCTCCCGAGACCTCGATACCCCTTAGAAGAACAATGTACCACCTAGCCAAATCGCTCTACCTCCTGGCGCGACGGAAAGAGGAATACTCGGTCATCCTCCTCGGGCTCGACAATGCCGGCAAGACGACGTTCCACGAGCAGGCGAAGGCGCTCTTCCTCCCCGAGCACCCGGACCCGAAGCTAAAGACGGTGCCGACGGTGGGCCAGAATGTGTCGACGCTGACGCTGCCGGACATGTACGTCAAGATCTGGGACGTCGGGGGCCAGTTGAGCCTGCGCAAGCTGTGGCAGAGCTACTACGCTAGCTGCCACGCCATCGTCTTCATCATCGACAGCACCGACATCGGCGACGGTAACCTCGAACACGATAGCTCCGGCCGTCTTGAGGAGTGCCGCTTAGTTTTGGAAGATGTGTTGCAGAATTCTGAGACTGAGGGCGTGCCGTTGTTGATATTGGCGAATAAACAAGATAGGGAGGATTGTGTTGAGGTCGTGCGCATAAAGGAGGGTTTGGTGAAAAAGGTGTTTGAGGGCGAGAAGGCGTCGAGTATTCGTGACTCGAGGGTCTTGCCTGTGAGCGCTTTGACGGGGACGGGTGTGAGGGAAGCGGTCGAATGGGTGAGGTCGAGGGTTAAATGGAATAAGGAATCAAGACCGCCAGTGATGCGGTAAGAAGTCAGTAAGGTTGACGTTGCGACGTTATGCCGTGTTGCTTGGTTTAAAGAAGGCCTGGTGGCCTGGTTTTTGCATTCAGCGTCATGGACAAGGCGTTCAAGGATTCAAGGATTGGAACTTATGGGTTCAAATTCATCTAGAGGGCTGGCCTCTGAAGCATGGGTATCTATTTTGTTCGGTTATCTACGGAAGCAGTATCCATATGAGTGATCTGCTATCTCTCGTTCTCGGCGGACAACTCCGCCAAAAGTCCACCTTTATCCCTCCGTTTGGAGTCTGCGGCTAGCTTTTGATCTAATAATGTTGAGAACTCCTTAACCTTCTGGAGTGCCACGGCGGTGCACTGGAGCAGCGTGGACGCCTCCACCGGTGTTCCTCCCAACTTCGCGATCTGGCAGATCTCCCCGTGCTTATTGAGGCTGATGGTACAGCTAGATACCTTCATCTGCTCTTCCAGGAGAGTTGCGTCCAGCAATACAATATCCGCTTCGTCTCCGTAGAAGCTGAAGGTGACGCAAAACGGCGAATGTAGCCAACTTAGCGGCACAGGCTCTCGTTCTGCGGGTGTGTACACGGTCAAAGTCTCCCCTTCTATGCTTGTATCCGGTTTTCGGAAGTGGCGCAATGCTGCTACGACAGCGAAGCAGGATCCGTCGATGAGATTGCCATCATGTGAGAGGACGTGTAGATCAACCCTTATAGACCAGCATTTTTGGCCCGCGATGAGACATAGTGACTCGGTATCTAGGGCATTAGACCGCCGCACCGTCTTCTCGATTTGTCTTGAAAGTAGAATTTCTGTCTCTGTTGGTCGGTTGACTTCGAATGCTGGCGACGCCATAGGGCTGAGTTCTGTGGTGATGGTGAAGACGCCATCGAAAGGTCGATCGACGTAAGGTACTGTGACTTCGGCGGACACTTTCGCAAGTATTCTGATAATCAAAATTAATAAGATTGTATACCTTGTAATATCCTGTCCTACTCACCTTGTCTTCCCTAATGTTACATCCGCGACTCCATATTGGTCACCAAACTTGAGCTCTAGATTTCGGTACTGATCAAAGGCACGACCATCGATGCGCAAACCTTCTTGTAGTGCCTGCAAGACGAACGCGCGCTCATTGAGTGAAGGCTCAGCCTCTCGAGGCATTGTAGAAGAAAAAAAGGGAGGAAGTAAAGATCAGATTTGTTCTTGCTTCACTTCATGACTCTTCTTAACTGAATCTGGGTAGTAATTGATAGTGGGGTGTTTGCGCATTTCATAAGGTTCCATAGCTTCAAAATTCACTATATTTCTGCCAGGCGGTGAGTGGGAAACCCCTGTAAGGTCGGCATTTTACACGCTAAAATCCCGAGGCGGTAACACAGTGTACCCTGTACTCGAACATCAACGGTGCAGGCGCAGACCATTCAACAAAACGAAACTTAACATTTACATCTTCGTCTACGGTCTAGCAAGTTATTCATTTAAATAACTCAAGATGACTACCGCACATAGACCTACCTTTGATCCCGTAAGTTCATGATCTTTTAGAGTGATACATAATGAAATATTTACTAACAGCAATTGTAGGCGCGTGGAAAGGAAGCTCTTCGAGGGCCAGCATATCACCAACGTCTCCTTCCAGCTCATACTCAGTTGAAGTTCAGACAACCCGGCCAAGGAGGAGATGCCGACGAGCCCCGCGACCTACGAGCCGAACTCCTCGCCGCCGAGGCTGCCCACTTCGCAAAGCAGGGCAAGCTATCCGACGCTCCTGACGTCGATAACTCCGAACCCACTACCAACTCTAGCGCGAAGCGACCCTTAGAACTACGATCGCAAGCAGATAGTGATGGGGAAAATGAAGACCCGGAGGCAAAACGTCAGCGCGTATTAGCAGAGACCCGAGACATAGACGAGGAGTCGGAAGTCGATGATAGTGACGAGGACAGTGATGATGACGAAGACGAAGAAGCCGAGCTGTTACGAGAACTCGAAAGAGTCAGGCAAGAACGAGCCCAGAAGCGCGAGCAGGAAGAACGTGCTAAGGCTGCGGCCGAAGAAGAGGAACGAGAAAAGGAGATTGCGCTGGGTAATCCACTGATGAACCCGACGAACTTCAACACGAAGCGAAGGTATGTCAAAATTTAACGAAACGTTATGCTGGAATGTCGCTAATTGGGCTGTTACAGATGGGACGATGATGTTGTATTCAAGAACCAAGCACGAGGAACCGAAGATAAGAACAAGAAGAAGGAATTCATCAATGTTTGTCTCACATCCCCTAATATGTTCGTACGATATACTAATAACATGGCTAGGATATGCTACGATCGGACTTCCATAAACGATTCATGAACAAGTACGTGCGATAAGCTGTATGTTATAGGATGACATTAGCTCGCTAAGAAAGAATACCCCCGGTGTGCATGGCGACGACCAACGTCTTTGCTGAATATTTCACGGACTGGATGGTGAAAGGAAATAAACTAGACAGAATTGAGCGGATCGAAGGGGACTACTAGGCTATGGTCAATACGCAGTTCCTCTGCCCTTACATGTTAGTTTGGTACACCTAATATTGCCATCCTCGGTGCCATAACATAAGCTGATGACAATCCATTAGCTACTTCGTATAGGAGTAAGGATAGGCTGGCGTTCTCTATAGGCAGGATTCATGAAATTCAACAAATACAGCCAAGTTTGCTAGTGAAGTGGATTGTCTCTTCTGCCTGTCTAGTGTGGGTATGTGAATATAATCTTTGAATGAGACCAATGGCCTCAAGTGCAATCTAATACTAGTCTATAATGATGCGGCTACTTTGTCTTTCTGGATTCAGTTGCCACCCTTTTTCCGTCCTGTGCATGTCGACGCGTTCTCAGTGTGTTGTCTACCTTGTCTAATGCTTTTATTGCCTTTGTAATAGTCTGGGTGCTGTTGTATAAAAGCACTATTCGAACGACATTAGCATTGACCTCAGATTAACTCCATCAAGGGGTTTCTCTATGATATACTCACTCGATGGGATGATGGCCCAAGGCAGATTAAACCCAACATAGTAGACCCAAAAGTACAGAAACTCGGGTCGGCTATGGGGAAGCCCCGTGAGGTATTCCTCGCTCAGGCTAGTGGAATAATACAGGGCGACACCATACAAATGTGCCATGCAGACGATGATGCGAAGTGCATGTCGAAAGGGGCTACCTCGGACGATGGATACAGCATTTGCGAAGCAGAGAGGTCCCCATACAAACTATTGTGTGTTCATCCATCATCAGTCTATAGTTTCCTCATATCATAAGTTAATACACTTACTGCTGTGATGCTCTCAACACTAAGCATGAAGGTGTCCGAAGTCAAGTATCGTGAATCGGACAACGCATACTCCTTCCATAGCTGCGCCAACAGATTCTGTGACGACGCGACAGTATCATGGTTCAAGACGAAGTATCCTTGAAGCCGATTAATTTAGCCAATGAATCTTTTGCCTAAGGCGGAGTGACAGTTACACCTTACCTTCGAAGAAGCAATGCAGACAGCCATCTAAATAGTGGGGCCGAGTTAGTCAAAAAGGGGCGGTCAAAAAAGAGCAGGTAAGGCTGTATGAGCAACTCACTCATCACAAACCAGCAGAACACTGCTAGATTCGACTTGGTCAATTTCGGATTGACTTTCAATGCCACCGCAGAAGCACCTAAAACAGCAAACCCTAGCATGCCAGCTAGAGCAGCCAGGAGCACATAGACGGGAGCCTCATTCGGGCGGTATGATGGAATATAGACGCCTAGGGGATAGTACGGATGCGAAGGCACGGTATCCCCAGATGAGAACTTATAGCCCCCGAACGGCCACATGCTCAAGCCCATGATGAACTTTGGTCGGAAAAAATTTGGCAGAACTAAAATTATCCGGCCGTTCAAAAATGAAGATGTGGTGATTCAAAACAAAGTTCCTAAAAGGGGTGATGTCGTTGATTAAGCGGTCTTGGCGTTTCCATAATACTACCCAGTACCTAGTATTATCATGGATGCAGGTAGGACCAGGGTTTATAAGCGGAATCGGCTCCGAAATAGACTGGGATTTTGGACTATGACGAAGTACATAATCAGCTCGATTCTACTGAAGTGAATTAATATCACTTAATTGTTATTTACAAATTTGTAATAATAAAATCTACAAATTTCATAATATCAAATTCGTAAAATCCTCATACAATTGAACCTCCTAAGTTTCACTAGGGGGAGTAATACCACCAACTGAAGCCACCGAAGCCACCGACGTCAACTCACGGCAGGATACAGAATACGACTTCCGGGATCCACAAAAAGCAATGACAGCCCTCCTCGAGGTATCGCTAGCCTGGCTCTTCAAAAATGCCAAAGGCCGCGACGATAAGAGCTTCTTCAAGACCCCCGCGTTCGCCGATTTTGAAGGGAAACAGGAGATCACCGTCACGGCGCCGGATATTGGCCCTGTGAACTCGGTGCTCGGCGTAGAGTACACGAGCGATGGGATAGGCAAATTCCCTAGTTTGCGCTGGGAGGCGCCACCGCAGATCGCGGACCAGGTCAAGGAGTGGCTGCTGGTTTCGGAGGACCCGGATGTGCCGCTGCCTACGCCTATCTGCCACGGGTGAGTACCTCTAGGACCTAGGTATCTAGTACCTATTCCCTATTTTAACCCCAGGGGGTTCTAATTGTAGAGTCCGAGCTGAATCGTCTTGCAAACGACAGTATCTATACGGGAATCCCGCCTACGAGAACTATTGTAGAAGCCGCCGACTTCGAGGTCGAAGATCCGAATAAAGCGCTGTTGAAGGGCGGGTTTCACTATGGACGCTCGAGAAATGGACGAGTTTATCTCCCGCCTCGGCCGTTGATGAATCATGGACCGCATCGATGTTAGTGTTCTCGGATTATGAATGTATACCTAGTAGTTATATGTCAATACTTACTCTCCCTAGATTTCTTCGAAGTTATAGCACTTAAAGAACCGTTGGACCCAAGCTTGTTAAATGCGACGACGACTAGGGAGCAGATTGCCGGCGCTATTGTTGGTAAGATCTTGGCGTGGGGGATGTGGACAGGGGTTGCGGAAAGAAAGTGGAGATGATGCAGATTTTGTAACCAATCAACGGCCGTGGAGTTATCGGAGTTGCTGTGATGGGGTTTCTTTTTCTCTGCGAGATTTTACTGGATCTTCGTCTCTGTCATCAAAGTAACTACATCAGTGCAGAAACAATGGTTAGAAGCTTCAAGATTTTCGCTATATGAGGCTATTTTCTAAATGATAAGAGGTACATAATATCCCAAATTCAAGTCAAATATCCGTTTTGATGCAACCAATCCAACAACTATTCTTAAATCACCCAAATCCATACTTTTTTTCGCCAGCCAGAAATCAGTTTATCCCAGGACTCTCAGTTCACCCCAGCACCAGTAGCTCCAGCCATATCACCATCCACCACATCCAGCACAGCACGCGACATCTCCTCAGCCTCCAAGAACGTAGTCACATTCTCGCCAGGTCCAGCCGTAGTAACCCAATGCACACCCTCAGTAGGGACCCCAAGCGCGAACCTCCTCCGCTGCGAGACACCCTCCCGATTTATAAGGTGAAAGGGACTTCGCGTGACATCCAGCCCCCCCGTCTCATACCCACCCGAACAATGCGCCCGACACTGTCCCTTCTCCCACATCGAACCAAGCAGTTCATCCGCACTCCTCCTAACATCCGGCTCCGCCATCCGCGCCTCTATAAGCGCAGTCACTCTCTCCGCTGATCCCGGCACGCTAACAGAACTAGCCTCCCAACCTCCGTCCCGAGCTATTACTTCCAGTCCTGGCCCGATCACAGTCACGATCCCCGCTTTGATCAGCGCGATAAGCTGCTCGATGCGCTCGCGCGGCGGCCCGACGGACAGGAAGCTGTTTAGTGGCGTGTACCCCCGCTCCAAGTCGTCCCGGCGGGACGCGCCTGAAAGCCCGCCGTGATCGACGATTTGTCGGATGGCGGGGCGTAGACCGCGTAGGACGTCTAGTGCGGTGTGGACTGGTTTCGCGCCTGTGGATCCTCGGGCTTGCTCGATGTCCGAGTGGAGATAGGCTAGGAGCCAGGTTTTCCAGTCGGTTGTGCTGTGGAAGGAATGTTTGAGATAAGGGTGAGACATGTAGTCCCAGGACCAGCGGTCTTCTTTGGGGATCTTGGCGTCGGAGAGAATGTGTGAAGGGTCGTGGCTGTGGAGGTATCGAGACCGGAAATCGAGACGCGAGGATTGGGATTTTCCTAGGAGGGTCTCGTAGTATGTTGTTTCGACTTCTTTCTTGATGAGCGGTAGCACTTCAGACGAAAAGTTCGGCGCGTCTTTGGAATTGGCGCGGTTGCGGAGGGATGTTATTAGTGAGGAGGTGAGGAGGAGGGGCTGGTAGTTGTTGTATGAACCGTCCGATTGGTCGCCGCGGGCACGGTAGGGGATGCCGCGCCGGGAACCGGCGATAATGTGTGGTTCGTTCCCGGAGGCGGTGTAGTGCAGATTACCTTCCTTGTCGCGATCGAAGCGGCCGCCGCGGCCTTGGGTTAGGAGGATCATGTAGTCGAAGAAGATGAGGCCGAGACCGCGTAGTAGGACCTTTTCACCGGGTTTTAGGGAGGAGAGGTCGATGTATGCTGGGTTGGCGGGGGGGATGTAACGCAAGCCGGGATGCTGCTGGGCATACGTTATGTGTCGATATTGCTCTGCAGTTGGGAGTTGGGGCAAGTGGCCTTGAGTGAGGATCACGGCAGAGAGCCCGGTTAGTTTGACGCCAGTGTCGAGAGACACCTTCTGAAGACCGCCTTTCTCATCATCGAGGCTGATTGCACGAGCGATATGGGACTGGTACTTTACCTGCCTGGGTGCGTTGCGTATCATTTCTTGCAAACACCACGTCAGGTAGCGGCCGTATACGTAACGAGGTGCGTATCCGTTGGATAGAGTGTATCCCTCCCGAGCCGCCCATTGTTCCAAGTTTGGCGTCAGGGAGTTCAGTTTCGATGATACGGTGCTGTTGTTGAATACGGTCATCTGACATGCTTTGGTGTTCATCAGGAGGGGTTTCGGTTGCTTGCTATGCCAGACGGTGCCGGAACCTGGGTGTGTCGAATCGATGACGTGGACTGTCAACTCCCCTTTACTACGCAAGCCCCTCGCCAACTCGCATATACGGCCAAGTACAATCGTACCCAAGGGACCATTGCCAATGACGGCGATGGCTGCGGTTGGTTTGGTGCTTGTCGTAGATGAGTAACGGGCAAGATTCTTAGCCAGACCCATCCCTAGTGGTGTGTGTAAAGCCATTGCTGTATTGGCTATACGTATGGGTGAGGGAAAGAGAAGGTTTATAATTGATATCATCTTGAATTTCAGAGTTGAAAAAGCATTGGTATCCGAAGACTGTCTGGTTGTATGTTGAAGATACAGTTCTCGTTGGATGTTTAAAGGACTTCATATTTATACCTAGGTACCTAGGTATTATTCTCCCATTTCACGAATCCGAATACGGAACTCGTTATAACGACAAGCACGCCATCATACGCAAGGAAGGAATTGTTGGGCAGGCGATCGAGTATGAGCCTGGATACCTAGGTACCTGCATATGGTGACCTTATCTTTGCTTCCGCGGATGACGGCTTGGCCATCCGGGCCTCAGGAAATTCTTCAGGTGCTGTCAATTCTAGCCTGCAAGCCTCACGTGCCGTTCACGATAAGCAACTATGACTCTCAGAATGGGGCCAGAAAAAGTTTCCCCTGAACTCACCACGTCGCCGTATCGGACTGTATACTTGGACATAATCTGACCCACTTTTACCTTTCATGGTATCTACGTAGCGGATATCGGTTGTCTAACCCAGGAGATAGTGTCATGTACGGTGCGGTACGGGAGAGAATGAGCACATGGGTCCTCTTCTGATGCCATTCTGCTCTAGCTGTATCTGAGTTGCTGGTGGCAATAAGGCATAATTCTTGTTGGGACTATTGAGCAGCGTTGTAAGAAGGATAGGGCCCATCACTTAGTTGATATGACATTTACATCCTATTGTTCATCGTCTAGGTAAGTAATTGAATTTCCATGTGAGGATTTCAATTTTTACAGATCTACAGAATGTCATCCCTCTATCAACTTACAATTGGTACCTAGTTACCTACCTACGTACCTATGGTATGAACGCTAAGCCTTCACCGATCTTGGATATAGAAAACTTTCTGTTTTTTTTTTCTGGCGAATTGTTCCACATGGTGGAAAATGAGCTTTAAGATACACCAATCGGCCTATTGATGGAAGTGAAACTAACTTCGGCGCTTGTCCCGCGCAAGCGCGTGCTGTGTTTCCCCCTTTGTGATACTAGCTAAAACACTTTGCTATGATAAACAGTTTAACACCTACTACTTATCTAGGAATAAGTATCTATATCAATAGATAAAACACACTTATACATAGATAACTAGATGAGTCATACATACTATTCTAGAATCTTAGAGCTATCAGATAACCTCACTGACCTGGGTGGCTTAATGGTCTGTGGGTACTTCGTCACAACATTGGATAAACCTATAGATATAAGTGTGTATAATAATTCCGAGAAATTAATTGTTTCCTGAAGTCAATAATTCATATCGTTAGATATAATTTGTTTTGTATGACTGATTGCAGTTGAGCTGCAAAGGAAAACATTGAAACTGCGACAATCCAGGGTATTTGATTGGTTGTTGAAATTGAACTAAAATCTGGGGTAGTGACAGCCGCGATCGGGGCGGTGCGGGAGGGTCCCTCTACCAACTTGGTGGGTCCGCGGGGTACAGGTATCCCTGCCAGAAGACTGTGCCCATACAGTGGACGTGATGCGATTTGTCGACAATCTGGCATTATCACCTACATTACTATTCCGGTTTACTAATTGCGTGATGTTGGCCCTTTTCGACACTTCCAGGAGATAAAGGTAAGTCGGTCAATGATAATAATCTCTCTCGATGAATTTGGAGGGACGGACGATGGAGAATTAGGTACTAGGAGAAATATAATTGAAGAGTATGAATAAAGCTACGATGCTTTTTGACAACTAGGTCATACCTAATTCCAACCATGACTTAACAATCACCAAGCAATTCTCGTTCTAACCTAAGCCTTGTTATTGTTCGTTTTGAGTTTCCTTTATTGTTATTTTGGGGGGGGGGGGGGGGGGGGGTTGGCTCTCTACTCCGTCCCAGAGGTTGGCTGGCACATCGTAGCTGTCGGTAGTGAGCAGTGCCTGTGGGTAATTCTGAGGGTATGACGGGGGCTGTGGTCCTACTTGTGAGATTTTAAGTCAATGATGAGTATTAACGGCGAAGATGGGAATAATTTTGATCTGTATGTAGGTTTGGCTTTGAAGTGTTATTGTATACATGACAACGCTCGGAGGAGTTTAGTCGGAGTCCGTATGGGGATGCAATGAAATTAGAAGAAGATTTCGCAACCCAAAATCAAGCTTTGAAAAACAATGTCTGCTATGGCTTAGGCAGTTTAGCCGCTAAAGAAAGACGCCACATCTACTAACAGGTAGACTGTCAGCAGCTGGCAGTAAAGTGGGTCAAATTGAAAGCTGGTGTGCACCTCCTAGGATATGGCTGCGGATAGTCGCAACCCGGCAGGGATCGGTACCGATCTATGGCCGACATTCACGTGGCGTAAGCCTCCTCATTGTGATGCCGCACCTGTTCCGCGCCACATATAACTGGAACATAGCCGACCGGCTAACGACTTCTTAGTGACCTCCAATCTTCCTAATAGCAACACAATCCTCCCGGACCCGCGACCCGATGTCTCCAATCTAGGCGTCACCCAAGCCTCAATTTCATCTGCGCCAATGCCCGATACCAGCCACGAAGAAGCATCACCCACTATCCCACAGTCCAGTCGAATTAAAAGAAATACTGCTTGTACCAGTTGCCGGGATGCTAAGGTATATCTTGCAGATCACAGAGTTACAGTGCCGCATATTGATCATCCTTTAGGTGCGCTGCAACCCTAGCCAAAATCCTGCCCAGCCGTGCCAGCGTTGCGCGAAGCTTCGCCTAAGTTGCGTTGTCGACAGGACTCACAAAAGAGTTAGCCGAAAAAGGTACATCTGCTAACTTTCCTCATTTAAATTTCATTCAAGTAACTAACTCAAATCCCATAGCAAATTAGATGAATTGGTTCAAGAAATCCAGTCTATTAAACAAAGTGTTACTGGACAGATAACTGCATCGCCAAATCAGGCACCCGCATACACTCAACAGAATGAGACAATCGTCCCTTTCAAAGAGTCTGCTCCACCACGGCTGGGAGTGCCATCCCCCGTGAGCATTTCCACCGGAGAAGTGGGAGGTCCTACGGTCATTGCTTCGTCTAACGCCACTGTTGCGCCCTCTTCAGTAATTCATACCCCTGAAACTCCTGTATCTATTCAAACCCCTGCGGCTGGGCCCGCACTTTCAAGAGCTCTTGGATCTCAGCCATTTTCCGGTGAAGATATTGATCACTATTTTCAAAAGTAAGTTAGCTGCTATTTTGGTTTAAGGAGATATAATTGATCTCTAATGCTTTACGCTCAGATATTTCGAGTATTATCATCCGTACATGCCAATTGTAAGGCTTAGGGATCCAAACAAGTGTTATGATTCTAGTCCCTTCTTATTCTGGACCATCATCTACATAGCTTCGCGTCGCTATGCAAAAAGTCCTACTCTATTTCCTTTCTTATTAGATGCTATCAAGAAAGATGCTTTCTCTACCATAAATAATTGGCCTTTAACCCTACCATCAATTAATGCACTCATCTTGCTCTGCGCATGGATCTTTCCGGATGTGCGGTTTGTTAACGACCCGTCTGCGCTATTCACTGGCGCTGTAATGAATGCAATCTTACAGCTAGGAATTCATTGTGGTAAAGGAAGCCATCCGGAATACAGTCATGGCGTTTTTCAAAATACTTTCACGGATGAAGAGGCGGCCTTCACTTGGGCCGGATACAACATCATCTCCCAAAGAGTGTCGTCGTCCTTAGGGCTCCCTACTATTGGTGGCTTATTCAATCAGACTATCCAGAATATCATCGACGGCAGAACGCCTTTCCAAGTCCCCTCCACCTTCCGTGTTCTCCTAGAGTGCCAGAAATTCTGCCACCATGTTTCCGGGACTATGGCAGCTTGTCTAGAAGAGTCGCGAGGGGTGTCAGCACATATAGTCCTACTACTCGAAAACGAATGGAACGCCGTGCGAGGACTCATATGCTCAGAGCGCGCAGGTATGTGTCTCCATCCCATTCCCCTTTGTACCTAGCCCCATACTAAGCCCGTACACAGACGACCTCGACCGATTCAATGCCCTCCTAGTCCAACTCGAAATCCAAACCTACTACATGATCCCGCTCCCCGGGTACGATTCCGAAGCACTCAAACGCAACATCATGCGCACGTACAGCACAGCGCAAGCCGTGATCCGGTCCGCGCTCGCGCTCGACTCCGACACGGATTTCCTGCGCCACGTCCCACACTTCCACTTCCGCGCCCTCATGGCCGCCGGCGGCATCATCTACCGCGTCCTCCACTCCTCCTACCTACAACTCATGGACCGCGCCTCCGCCGAGCGAGACGCCGCCGACGCCGTCACAGCATCCCGTCGCGCCAGGGTTGCCGATAACGATTTACCTACCCGATTGGGAAACCTGTTCGAGAGCTGGTGTCATCGCCTTGTCCGCGGCGCCGCTGTTCCCGTGTTTACCGAGGAGCCCGTGTCGAGCTTTTCGCACCGGCTGAGCGCGAGTGTTATGTATGATTGCATGACGCGCTGGAAGACGGACCATATGCCCGGGTGCAGGAATAAGTTCCAGCCTTTGAATGCGTGTCCCTGTTTTGGGAGCGGGGCCGCGGCGAACGGACAGATGGTGAATGCTGGGACTGGGGTTGGAGTGGGTGGGGAAGGGGCAGCGAGGAGCGAGACACCGGCGATATTGGGGGCGGATGCGTTGCAGAATATCGATTGGACTTTTATGGATGATTTCGATTGGAGCTTTGAGCCGGTTATGCCGGGGATGTCGGCGCCGACGTGAAGGGTTGGGGTGAGGGAAATACACGAGGATTCTAGAAGGATATATGTGTGTAATAAGGTACGTCCTTGTATAGGTTGTGGATGTTATGAGCACATGAAATCAAACAGGTTAGACGTCTAACGCTTTAGAAAGTAATAATAAATATGGCAAATAGATCTATCATCAGATTCATAGGAGGCAGCTACACCATTAGCCATTTCACGAACACGAAAGTCCACGTATTTGCAAATCGAGAGGATGAGTGGATCATTATGGTTCTAGTATGTACACCCTATAGCACTGGCAAATCCGCCTTTTGGACTACCATCCCATCTATTTCGTCAAACCCATCTCTTTCCTGCCCAATATCTAGGCGTCTATCTACCTGGTAAGTAATCTACCCAGCCCCCGACCTAGTCCCCCCATCCTCCCTCCCGCTAGAGAAATTCATCATCGCAGGAAGATCCACGCCTAAAGCCTCGCCCAAGATATCCCACTCCACATTCGCGTTTATGCCCTCCGTGCCCGACATATCCCACGGTATACCCACCTCCTCTTGTCCAGCGTGATTTTGTGGCGGAGGGTTTTGCGATGCAGGGTTTTGCGGCACGGAGGGGTTTTCAGAAGCAGCGAAATTCGAGGGCATCATGCCGTGGTCGCTGAACACGGCTTGTATGTACCCGCGGGCGAGATCGCAGTTCTGATCCCTGCCCTCCTGCGCCCAGCTCGATTCACGGGCCCCTGGCCGGAACGAAGCTGGTAAAGAGCAGTCTGCGCCGAGGCCGCGCCATATAGACGTTATTGACGGCGTCGAGGTTTTGGTAGTCGCGGCTACTTGTGGCGATCCCGTGCGGTGCGGTAAGTTAACCTCCGTTTGAGGGTTCGTGGCGTACCCACCGCCGCAGAGCCTAGTGTGTGTTGGGGCTGTCATGTTTGCGGGGGAGGAGTGTGCGGATGGGTTCGTTGCGGTCCCGTGGCTGTCGGATGAGTCGTTTGCGGCGCCAGTCTCGGGAGAAGGGGACACGCGTCTCCGCTTGTTTTTACTGCCTGACGTGGTGGCTTCAGCGGACGGAGGCTCCCGAGCGATGTTGCCGTATATGCGTATTTCAGAGGTCCAAGTACCGTACTCGCCCGGGTTATCACAGTCGTTGAGGGGCTTGCCAACTGGGTTACCCAGGGGAAGGCGACCCGGCAACGGGGGCTGGACCTGTGAGTGCCGCGAGACGCTAGACCGGGCGAGTAGGGGTATGTTGTGCGAGACCTGGACCTTGAACTCGTCATTAAGGTTGTCGAGAGTAGATAGTTTCACGATGTCCTTGATACCGTTTCGTTCGATATCAACGACAACCTGGCGAAGGAAGGCTCGAGTGATGTAATGGGTTCGTCCGAGCGCCTCCATGGCTGAGATAATGAAGTCGAGATTATCGAGGTGAGTTGGCGCTTGGTTTGCTTTACAAAGATATGTGTAAACTGACGCGGCGCAATACATTGAAAGCGCGGTTAATGGACTTTTCTGTTAGGGTGTCAGTGACTACAGAAGTTATCTCATCATTCCAAAAAGTCACTCACGGGGCTTGAAGCCACGTGGCTAGTTAGTTTAACAATATTGACAATTTCTTGTGCCGCCGTTGTTAAACGATCATGGCTAATTTTCTTAGCACTTTCAGGTAGTTTGTAAGTATCTATCCTCTCAATCGCGGCGTGATGCAGGCAAATAATCGATGCATGCAAGTTAAGATTTGTATGAACGGCGATGGGATCACGAAAGTTATCGGGAAGACGAAAGCTCGATGGTAAAAAGATGAATGCGCTTGAGAGCGTATTATCGATCTCGCGGTGCCGCTGCCAGTATTCGCCATACTCATAATTGTCGGGGTTATCGTTAGGCCTAGGTCTATGGACGTGTTTGAGGATTTGATTGTGTCTAAATATCGGAATTAGTAAATGGGGAAAATAAACTCATGGAAAGATCGCTAACATATGGCAGATCAAGACAGCTCCAGCGAATGATGAATATTGCTGCCCCTTGAATGCTTCATGAAGAGTATACGTGTCTTCTTGCTGGCCACTTTCGAACGCAGCTTCTGGCTATAAGGCTCGAGGTCAATAAGATCTAGAATGGTGCCTTAAGATCCATACATATTAAAAATGGAGAGAAGTAATCCGTTTCGAGAGTCTCATCCCAAAGACTACTAAGACGATTTAATATTAACTCACAGCGGGAAGCAAAGTTGTGACCTGGGAGATACGTTAGCATAGACTTTAGCTTTTTAAGACCATATCCTACCTCAGCGGTATCAATAAGAAATGGCCAACCAGTCGATATCGAGCAATGGCTATCAATGCAAAATATTCCCCAGAACGTCCGTCGTCGCTCTTCTAATTCAGCCCAATCTTTTGGGGGTAATAGCGTGGGGCTTATCTCCTCGGCGGCGCCATCAAGTCGATGAAGGCCCATCATTTCCGCAAGTCGAACTCCTTTCGCACAGGTCATAGCAGCTCGGGTAAACATCATGGTTTTGGCCTCATACGTAGCTATCACACAGTACGCTTGGGCATGAGCCACGGTGATGAAGTGTTCGCCGTATGACTTTGAGTGGTGAGTATGGTTATGCAAAAGGGGTAATCGGGAGGGGCCATGAGCGGCCTACCTTCATCTCATCCGTTTCAGTATACTGGCGAGCACGTCGATAGAAGATATCGTGGTACATATTATACTTCGGATGACCATGTGAGGCCAGCGCCCAGATGGCATATTGAAGGCACATCGGAGGTTTCATATGTGGCGCAGAATAGAAGGATTGAAGATAACGTGAAGGATGAATTATAGGAATAAGATGCTTCTGACTCGCAAAGAATATGCGATTACTTCATTACCATGAGTTATTAGGTACTGGACGAGTTTTCTGATTGAGTATCACTTACAGGTCTTCCATCACCTCAAAAGGAGGCAATCTCTCATATACACCGCCGATATCGATAAGAGACCCATTAAAGGGGGTGCTGCCTTGATCTTGGCCGCTCGAATTTCCCCCCGAGAATGATGTTGTCGGATCTTGTTGGAATGAGAATTGGGTGTCACCATCATACAAAAAATCAGGGGCGGTGAAATCCAGCCCTTCGAAGATCGTATTCTCTGTCGCTTCACCAGATTGAATGTCGGCATCCTCGGCAGTCTTCTGTTGCGGTGGGCGTGAGCCATTTTGGCCTGCCTCTTTCAACAGCACTTCAACCTGAGCTACATGTACGTCTTAGCCCAAATCACGCGAATTTTCATAGAGCATCAGATGATAGCTACCCAGACGCGCTTCAAGCTCCTTCACGTTCCTCCGTTTAAAGGCTGGTCTCCTCCGAGACTCGGGAAAGACGCATTCGAGGTTGGCTTTCTCGCAGCGTTTACACTTTGGCTTTACGCGATCACATTTGAGTTTCCTATTTCTGCACGATACACATGACTACTTACAATGTTAGCAGATTCAATATCATGCAGCATGAAAGGGGTTGATGGCAAGCTACCAAAGACTCGGGTCCGGATTTACCGCTTCCGGAAGCTTCATTGGAGGGGCCGTCCTCCGGCATTATGTTTACACGAAAAGCTTCATATAAATAAGTGGCTAATCATTTCGTCCCATCTCGATATTAACATCAGGCTTGCAGACGCTCCCGAGCGTGGCGTGTGAAGGGATGAAGGTGGAATTAGGCAACCCACTCATTAGTCGCCTTTAATTATTGGCTGGTGCCTGTTAGTAAGGTAACCCCTGTAGGATAAAGGTTACTCCGAAATCTGATAGCTTTCGATTTTACAAGTATTATGTACATTATTTGCATTATTACTGCGGTGTTAAGCCGAATATTTAACACCTCGAGTAGGTATTTATAAGGTATATTAAATAGCGTATTATATTAAAATAAGTGTTAGTTTATTTAAAGATTTCGAAAAATATATTAATTATTTTTTATTATTTTTATTTATATTTAATAAATAAATATAGTAAATTTTCGAATTAATTTTTTTATATTAAAATAAATAATAAAAATTAAATTAATTAATTTATTTAATATAATTATTTTTAATTTTTAATATAATAAATTAACGTTTTATAAAAATATATATAAAATATTTAAATAAAATTAAAAAAATAATATATTTAAATTTTAAAATTTAATAACGGTAAAATTTATAATAAAATCGAAAAAATTACGTATTATATTAAACGGTAAATATATATTATTTATAACGTTATTTTTATTAAAATACGTTTTCGAAAAAAAGTTTTAAAAATGTTTTTTATATTTTAAAAAAAAAATTAATTAAGTTTATATATATTTTAAAAAAAAATTATTATATATTTTTTTTTAATTTTTTTTTATTTTATTTAACGTCGTATTTAATATATATATTATACGATTAATTTTTTATCGTTTTAAATTTAATAAACGTATTATTTAAAAAAAATTATTTATTAACGAAACGAATAAATATAAACGTTTAACGTAAATTTTAAAATATCGTAATTAAATTTTTAAATAATAAACGTAAATATTTTAATTTAATAAAACGTAAATTATAAATAATTATTATTACCGTTAATACGTTACGCGAAAAATTAAAAAAAAATAAAATAAAATTTATATTATTAAACGTTATTAACGAAAAAATAATTAAATATTTTAAAAATTTTTTTCGAATATAATAAATAAAAATTTAAATATATTTTAAAAAAAAAAATAAAATATAATAATTTTAAAATTATATTAAAATTATTTAATTTTTATTATTAATAATTAAATTCGAATATATTATTACGAAAATAATAAAAAATTATTATTTATATAAAATAATACGTTAAATTATTAAATAAATATTATAATAAAAAAATTAAATAATTATAAAATTAAATTAATATATTAATTATTTTATTTATCGAATTTAAATTTTATTAAAAATATATAAAATTAAATAAAAAATTATATTAAAAATAAATACGAATTAAATAAAAAATTTAATTATAATAAATTTTAATTATATATTATAAAAATATAAAATACGGTTTTAAAAAATTAATTATACGAATTATTAATAAATATATTATAATATTACGAAAATATAATTATTATAAACGAAATATATATTAAAAATTAAAAATTATATAATATTATAATATTTTTTTTAAAATAATTTTATTATTATTATTATTATTAAAAAATTTCGAAAATATTAATATTTTTATTAAAATTATTATTAAATTTTAATAAAATTAAAAAATAAATTTAATAAAAATTTTATATTAACGTTAAATTTCGAAAAATAATAAAATTTTTTTTTAATATTATAATAAATTAATTATAATTATAAATAAATATTATTATTATATTTATATTTTATTTAAATTATCGAAATATAATTAAAATTTTAATATATAAAATAATATATATAAATATAAATATTTATATATATTATTTATTATATAATATTTATAAATAAATAACTTTTATAAATATATATATAAAAAAATTATTAATTTTTTTATTTTAAAATTTTAAATTTAATATTTTATTTATTTCCTCGCGAAGATTTTTATGTTAAGAATATTTAAGCTTTTTAACAATTCTTTTGCTTATTATAATACTAATATTTACTTAAGTATTATTCGTCGAGTATAGCGGTCAAGAAAAATACGGTACATCTCGAAGGCATGGTTCATCACCAGGATAGTCATTAAAGGATCGAGTCCTACGGACGCATGACCACATACTGGCATGCGTATGACTCGGGAAGCGCAAAGCTGCAAGTGTAGTAACATCAATATACGACCTGTCACATCTACGCGGCCATAGCATGATGTTCGCCCCAGACAGGGAAAGCAGGTCGTCGCGGAATCCACAAGCCTACGTACATATTGTAATGCGTACTAGGTGGTCAAGCATCTATGCATCGAATCCTTGGGCACAGGATGATTAGTGATTCCTCGACGGGGTTTGTGGACCATGTACCTTGCAAAAGAGGTTAGCTACGCTGGACTATACTACCGCCTAGGCAATCCCGAGGGCATGGGCAGCCCCATAGTCCGGTGGGACCAGTCCGTCCAGACTCGAACGCGTACAGCAGCTGAACATTCTCGTGCGCTTGCGATTCCGTACGGCGCCGAGGGTCGCCGGCTAGTAGAAACTAGATGTTCTTAGCTGGCGGTTGACGGTGCTCCCGGCGCTAGGTGGTGGTGTCGACCCGGCGTAGCGACTGACGATGTGACAGATGCAAATCATTTTAGATCCAGATCCGTCTCCATCGAAAACTTACATACAAGCGAACCGATGCCTAGGCTGGCCAGATCAAGCTAATATGAGGCGGCCACCTTCACCTTAGTTGGATGACGGACATTTCGCTAGGTCGCCATCGTAGGTGCATTTGGAAGAGTCTAAAATGGTCTCGAGGGTCTGGGCATCGAAAAACTTCGGCACAAAGACGCACACTAATATAGACCTTAGGCTAGACACTTTGGGGTTTGACAGCTCGCCTCTGGCCCGGGGAAGACCTTGGCCGTATATCCGGTATCGTTCGAGTCATGGCATTTTGAATTTTGTAGCGTATTCAGGGACCGGTTCGCTAACTAAATTCTTCCGTCCCAAACGTCCGGGTCGTTTTTTTGACTCTACGGTAGAAACTATGCACAACAACGATTCAGATACAAAAACATGATTCATATGTAGGTACAAAGGTTAAAATAATACTTGACAAGGATCCAGTATCGTCGATCACAACGCTTAGAAGAAGAAAGTTTTGGTTCCTTATTCAAGTGAGGCAAGGTTTGTATTCCGCACGGTTTCTCTTTAGTTTAGCATAATATACGATGCCTTGGGGAGTTCGTGAAGGGGGGCCCGATAAGCAAAGTACTCTCGTTGTTACCTGAAGTAATTCCCAGAGTTACGTCGTCCCTGCAGCTGTCGAAATTTGTATGTTCGTATGTAATATACACGGCTATGTAATCGGTATAGAACCATAATTAAGTGCCTAATCCCCATATTATGTCGTCGACAGATGGTCGACAAACCCCCCACGCAATCTCGGTATACCGACTGACAAGTAATATGACGAGGGTGTATCATGATTGAACTTTTCGTATTTGACAGGAGAAAACAGCCTGAGAGAGAGGGCGTCAAGCCAAGTCAAGTCAACTTTGTGACCGATCTACCCAGCGTAACGGTCTCCTCTTAGGCCGTTCCCCGCTGTCAGCGAGAGACGGGGCTAGCGAAAGTTGAGTTTGCCAACCCTACTAACATTTCAGCTGGTTACTATATTGTAGGAGGGCACTGATAATGATAACCCCATACAACTACCTAACAACGCCATCCACACTTGTATCTTGGCAGGTACATTTAGGTAGTTCAGAAGGAAAACAAACGACTTAGTCGTTTAGCGTTGTGTAGGCGTAAAAGAATAAACACCAAATATCGTATTAGAACAAAATACAAACGTCTAACACACCGACTAATCTAGAATGGTGTGGGTAAACTTGTCAAAGACGACAACCGCTTCACCTATCATCATCCCGGAAACCCTGCTGTGGACGTAAGCGGTCGAGTAGGGAGGAAGGAAGACAAGCGAGGAATTCCAATATGACACCTGCATTCTGAGTGGTCAGGGGGGAAAGGAGGAATGCATTGTCGTGAAGTTGCCGCCCAAGTTGCAGCTCAGGGGTGTGCGATGACAAGACATATAACCGTCACATATAACCGTCTTTTCTCCAAGCGCGGCTCAAGTAAGATGTTTCAGATGTCATCATCAAATATCTAAGACCCTCGTCGACAATTTTCGAGACATCACTATAAAAAATAATTATGAGGGGAGGGGAGGAAATTAGTGTACCCTACCTACATATCTTACCTCCTATCTGGGTAGCTAGCACCCCCCTAGACAGCTAAAGAATTCTAAGACAACCTCAAATCGATAATAAATTTTTTTGTCCGAAGAACGCCATTTTGTCTCAATTCCAAGGGCAGACCGGCCGGAGATCCGTGCCACGGCTACCACGTTCGGCAGAAGAAAAAAACACGAACGCTGGGGGACCAAGACAAAACTTTTTCTTTTCTTGAGGAAAACTTCATCCGAAGTGTGCTGTGGGTGAGAAAACGTCAATGGGAAGGGGGAAAAAATCCACTTCGTAGCGCAGCAGCCTTTTTTTTGGGCCCCCTCCTCCCACCCTCTATCTACATAGTCGGCGGACGAAGCTTTCGGAGAGGCGACGCTACTCTATGGCTAAGACAGCTGAGATGCCACTCTAACGATACGCTAGTCCGGTTCAACTCTCGTACTAGACGGTAACCTCCGTAGTAGCCGATTCTCTCTCTGTATTTTTCTCTCTGTGTTGTGAGTATCACAGGCTACAGCAACCCCCAGTAGCAAGTAAGAAGACGCGTCTGGCCCTCCCCCCAGATCGTGCAGGATGGGACTGCATACCAAGGAAGCGGGTAGAGTTCATCTATCAGGTTCGTCTAGAGGCCGACTTACCTAGTACTGTAGATGCCGTCCCTCCGTCTCATCGACGGGTGTTTCCCAGCGCCCCTCGTTAGCTCGGCAGGAACCATTTGGCAGTCCGCCCAGGCCAGTGGTACTTTGTCTACTCACTCGGTGACTGGTCCGGCAAGACACACACACAAGAAAAAAAAAAGAAGAAGGACGGATGGCACGACATCTGTGTGCTTACAGGAGGGAAGTGAGCTCATTTTTTCGGGTTCACAGGCCCCTTCGTTAGGTCGATAGTCTGCGAGGCCCCAAGCACCGATGGCACGTCAGCTGTTCTGCAATCTCTGTCGTCATCCGAAATCCATTATGGCAATCTGCCTACCACGAAAGCTGATCATCTTGGCTGACTGATGAAACTGTGCGATGCGGCGAGATTAGGTGGCCGTGACGATGGACTCGGTAGCCAACGGATTTCGAGCAAGGCCCATCTCCCCCATGCGTACGGACATCTGCAGTTAATCTATCGATCGGAAGGGGCGGTATGCAGGAGCAATATATGTATGAATGTTCTGAGTGGAAATGCTTCATGCTCATGCGAGGGCTGCTGCAGCAACCTTGGTCGTCGAGGGTAGATCTCCTATAGCACTCGGAACAGACCCCGGCTTGTGGTTGGAGGGTTCACTCTTCACTCTAAGTCGGAAACGACCCGTAAAGGCGGCCAGCATGCAAGTTTTTGTCCCGGTAAACGATATTAAGATTCAACGTCTTTTTCTATCATCCGGATAGTGCACTTTTTTCACTTGAGGCTAAATCTACACGTACAGCAAAGCGCAATTCCACACATATCCACCGCACCGCCAACATGAATCCCAATCGAATCCCAACCCGCAATCAATTCAGGGTAATATACAACCGTTCCCTTTGTACTGCGATGTGCTCGAGCCGCCATTGTTTGTTGTTAATGTAATATCCCATCCCAGTTGCGCCGCCTGTTCCATGAGAGTGGTATCCATTTGTTGAAATGCCCAAAAGACGTTTTGATAGTACCTAGGTAGGTACCTAGGTGTGGAGGGAAAATAAAAAAAATGATGTTGCCGAGAGAAAAAATGTTTCGTAGGGCAATCTTTTTAAAACGTTATTCGTGAAAAAATAAATCAGTCGTCCGATTCGGAATTCGACCGAGACCTTTGACAGCTCTCTATAATATAAAAATGCCGTTATCCATAGTAATACAATCAAACCCCCAACCCCATCCCTTTTCCGGGATAGCATGATTTCCATCATATGCTACCGCGATTAACGTTGTTGATCCTACGTCGCTTCATAGACTCTAATTCTACATCGCAGTCGCTCAGGGGTTTGCAGTCGGGTTCGTAGTCCGCTCGTTCAGTCGAAGGTAGCAGCTTGCCATCGCTATTACGCACTGTCATGGCATCTGACTCGGCACGGGCGTTGTTAATCATGGTCGGGAGTTGCCGTCGCCTCGCATTGATAAACCAATTACTTATCTGATCTGTTGGGAAGTAGGTTAGCAAAGCTACGTCTTAGACGACTTAGCGTATCAGTAGAACCGTGTCTCTCTCTCGGGCCGCCTAGCTGACCTAAACTTGAGACTCGGGGTTTAAAATAGGTGGAACTTACTTAATTGTAAACCCGTCTGCCTCATTAAATCGTGCTTTTCCTCCTCTGACGGGTACGGGTGTTGAAGATGGGCGACAAACCAAGCGCGCAATTTGTCTGTAGTCTCCTTTGGTAAATTTCCGCGGCGCTTCCGTTGCTTTCCCTCGCCATTCATCACCATACTGAAATCGCGCATCCGCATTAAATTCTCGTGGTACTGCTGTGGGTCGTATGGGCGAGGTGAGAGTCCTGGAGAAAACGGCGTCCTATCATAATTATGGACCGAGCCCATAGAAAGGGACTGTACTCGACTGGGATGATGGGGGTCGTAGCCAAAACCTTCGGGTCGGTATGTGGGAGATCCTCCCTCGGTGTGGTGACTACCATTACTAGATAGGCTTGGTCTCCTCATGAACTCTCTCATCCATTCCTCATTTCTCACTTGCCGGCGTGGTTCAGACCCAACAAGGTTTAACATCGGGAAGCTCGGTAGGTTCGAGCGACCCTCGTGCCGTTCGAATGCTTCCCGGCTTATGGGAGATTGCACAGGCCTTCCGCGAGGAGGGCTAGGATGGTGCGGATCCTCCCATGCCTCGATGTTTGCTCTTCGTATTGTCACCGGGAGTTGTCGACGACTGTCATCGTGTGAGATAGTCGATATCCTTGGCAACGAATTTGTCTCTTGATCTTCCCTATACTCAAACTGATCCATACCCACACCAAGGGGCCTTTTCTTTTGGTGCTGCGGTGACTGTGAGTGAACATATTCTGGTGGCGTTGTTGTCGTATTAAATGATCTTCCAGTAGGAGTCGTCGCGGAGGGTGGTGTTCTAGCTGGAATATCCTGTTGTATGTGGAGTTGAAGTTCTGGGAAAGCCTGGTACTAGGTCAGTGTGATTCTCTAGTCAAGAGCGGAAATTATTCTACCTGTCGAATAGACGGGAGTGCGATTCTCTCGCGTGGTCTGGACGACAACTCAGAAGATTCTTGCCAAGAGAATTCGTGAGGAAATCCATGATGGTATGGAGAAGAAGGCATCGTAAGAGCAGACATCTTATAAATTTAACCGGCTTATGTACCGGATCTCGTATGGCGTCTATTTAGTTCGAAGAGTGTCAGTTTAATAATAAAAAGCTACACCTATTGCACTTCTCGCCATAAAGTAACACGTCTTACCGGTATTAATGAGCAATGGGGTACCTAGTAGGTATATAAATATGGAAATGGCCCGTGAAGCACCAGGTATATTTTAAACGCCTAAGGCAGAGAGTCCTCGATTCGTTCCAGAGCGTGCCCTGTCTTATCAAACTTCAACCATTTGCACTTTGATCCCAACACTCCAATAGGTTTTTTTTTGGTAGAACGGGAGACAAATTTAATGTCTGTGGTTAATGGTTGATAATTATATGTAGATATTTCGGGTTCTCTTCCTGACTCCTCTGGATTATGCGGCGGTCGAGTCCAAATAGTTCCTCCAAGCTTATTACAAGGCCGTGGTAGCAAGAGGCTCTTCTTTACGGATAAGAGAGAAGTTAAGACTACCCGAAGAGGCTCAAATCGACGCCCGGCAGAGTAAGAGATAGGCCCAGGATAGCCACGAGGTCATCAGCTTATCCAAGAAAGACAGTAATAGAAAATATCTCGGAGAGGAGGCTCTGGTATGACCAAGAAAAACGTTGGGGGGAGAAAGTCTAAAGAAAATGGGCCAAAAGGCTGAAGTAAAATATAAGAGCCGGTAGCATAACAGTGAGGAAGCGGAAGACTTGTCTACATATGTATGTCAAAGATGGATCTTTGAATGTGTGGAGGTGCGGTTTCGATAGAGTGACTAAACCGTAAAAAGCCTTGGATGCGAGGCATGAGCAAGGATGACATAGATGCTAAGAGACAGCGTTCAGGGTAGGATGAGAAAAGGACCTGTATTGTACTATGGATAGTACGATAGATACAATACAGCGCGGACTAGACTTGTACCCACTACCGACTTACCCACCTCCCCATAGGCACAGACGATTCAAACTTGCTGGATGCTTGTGGCGTTGCCTCTGCGGGCGAGGGAGACGGACTGGAAAAAGACTGGAAAGGACTGACAAGCTTCTTGCTTGGATACTTGGATGCTTGGATGCTTGGGTGGTTTGGGTGGTCACACCTACTATGTGCTAAGGTTACTGGGTTACCGAGAGCGCACATGGTTTAAAGGGTCTAGCTGGGTACTATGACTAGCCTAAGTTATGTACTCTGACTAGGTAGGTGCTGGAACTGGTGCTGGAACTGGAACTGGAACTCGAAGACAGGAAAGACAGGCAAGACAGGGCTTGGCTCGATAGCGATGGAACTGTACTGCTGGAGCATTAGAGGATGTAGGGGAGGCAAGTGACACGACCACAGTAGGAAGGGCAAGCGTCGGTGGTAGCATCGATGTATATGCAGGCAGGGGTCAGGACCCCGGACCGTGACGCTTTGGTGCCAGATGAAATTGCCCGATGGAAAGAAGATGGTACCGGGGTAGACCTTACACACGTACCATCGCATACGTGCGTGCATTTAGAAGACCAGATCGAATTCTTCCCTCCTCGAACTTGGTATAGTCGGTATCTGTGGTGTTTTTTGGTAGGTATCTTTAGTATCTTAGCCTCTTGGTCTTGGTTTCTTTAGTGTCGTATGTCGAAGTCAACCCCCTTCTTAAAAGGGGAGACGGGAAGATGGGGGTTGTACGATAGATAAACCACGACGATGCCCAGGTGAATATGAAGGCACCGGAAAATATACCGACGCCTACCACGTATGTAGGAAAGTATGTGTGTATTCATCCACGAGGATGCTGCAGATTGGCTTAGCGATCATCATATCATGCCAGGTAGCTGATCGTGCGATAATGTGGCGCCGATGGTATTCCCAGTGTTGACATGTTTACTTGTTTACATACGAAACACATACATGTGTATACGTATAGATATTACATTTAGATATCTTATGTGAGAAACGTGCTAGGTATCGACGTCTCCCGACTTAAGAAGAAGGTTTCGTGTATCTGCACTTTAGCACAGGGCATCCTTTTCATATGACGCAGATGCGCCCGAGGAATTGGCACCGTCGAAAAGTCTGTGAGTTTATTCCCACAAAGCCGTTAAAGGCACAGTAAGCGTCAGAGCTTAACTATTTCCATAGATACCTAGACAGGTCGGTACCTACCTAAGGAAATTCAATGGTAAATGTCGTCATTAGCAGGAATCCTAAAGGACATGTTTACCTTATGATCGATTCATACACATGTAGTGACATAGTTGAATCCTCGTCACCAGACGAATCAAAGCGAGAATAAGCATTAGACGTCGATAAGTGCTCTTCATTGGTTGGTCCGATAATAAGATCGAATGTCAATACGCCTCTCGTGACCGCTGACGGGTCGCCGTATTGTGGTCGATTAGTCGCTTATACATAGATGTCAGGGGTACTGAATCGTGCTATCTACTAAGTAACTAGTAGGTATAGTAGATTTACTATGTAGTGATTGATTCGGGTTTGGCGATGTTCATCTGACGAGCTGACAACCTGCAACCTGACAAGTTGACAACCTGGAAGAGATCTAGGCAAAATCCAAAAGCCGACGAGATTTTGCCAAGGGCCTAAAAGTAAACCCCCGTAACCCCCAGTAACTCCCAGTAGGCCCTAGTAAACACCCCCCAAAACCCCTGGACGGAATAATTTGGCTCAACTTTAATGCCTAGAAATATGCACCTAGGTACCTGAAAAGGGGGCACCTGCCTCGCCACATTAAGCTACGAGTGCCTAGATCCGAATATCGAAGTAGCGAACTTAAATCACTTTCACTTACACTGATATCCATTGTATTGTACCTAGGTACCTACAGAATAAAGAATAGAGTTCAAGGTGGGTTAATAGGTACCTAGTACTAGGTATTAACGTCCTATTCGTCTCCCTTGTCACTGTAGTTCATCTTTTATCCCACACATAAATCAACGAATAACGGCCGACTCAGGCTATATTCTCAAGCCGCGTAGCATATATTAACCCCAGAGGCGATAGTCTTTAAAAGGTCCTACGACGATCCAATCCATAAGTAAACAGGCTATGGACATAGCGGATCGGAAATTTCCAATCTAGTAGAAAAGAAACCGAGGCGAGTCATGGCGTGGCCGGAACGCTCAACGACCTGCCGTTACTTGCGTCGCCTGCGCTGTCTGCATTGTCTGCATCAACTGCATTGTTTACCTTCGGAACAAACACCGAGCACCGATTGATGGAATGGATGCGATGGGGTGCGATGAGTGCAATGGTATGCACTGTTGCAGCCCCCAAAAAAGAACCACCCGACCATCGCTGTAACTTCGTTCCTTAATAGTTGTACCTATCCAGGGCCACAGTTGGCTCGCAGAACCCTAACATGGAACTTTCCTTGCGTTGACAGGCATGATTTGCATTAGGCTAAGAACCTTAGATGCGTCCCGCTGACTTGGTAACCGGTTTGATTATTGGATGTGGGCACTTCTCGAGTCATGAATATTGACGGGACTAGGGGGCACACGATGGTAAATGACGGAAAGATGGAAATTGTGGCGGAAATGGGAAACGATGGGAAACGGGAGTGGGAACGGAAAAGCCAGAATAGCGTCTACTACCTTCCCTACCCGTAACCTAGCAGCCTAGCAGAAACTACCTAGCAGACTACCGTTAGGAGCGGCGACGACGACCATTCGGGAATGCATAGCGTCTGCTATATATCGCCGTATGCGGGACCTCCCCCCTCCCCTTCTCTGGGCTGTCTGGGTCCTGGGTCCCCCCCCCCCATCTTTAGTGGCATCCGCCCCGATGGGTACGTGGTGATCCTCTCCATATCGGCCATTCTCGCAGGCTGTCAAATCTCGTTGGATTTAGTACGCTTTTGGCCAAACCCCCGGACCCCGTTTGAGTGGGCGTGGGCGATCTGCAGCAGCCAAAGCTGCAAGACAGATCGGTGCCGAGCCGTGATCTCCCCCCAATCGCCAAAATGTGTCAAAAAGGAACGAAAAAGAACAATGCTATAGTACACCCTATACGTAGTATTATATACCTTCTTGGCAGGTTAAGTATCTACCTATTACATACTGACAGCCTAGGTAAGTAGTATCCAACCTGCCATGTATATAGTAGCGAGGCGTTCTAACTTCTAAATGATTTTCTAAGGATCGCGCTAACTTATGCGGCTTGTTCGACCAATGCCATCATGTTCTTTAAAGAATTCCGAGTCAGCAAAAACAAAACCGCTTGGTGCATCTGCAAACGATCTGAGAACGATCTGAGACCGTCACGATAGGCTGTTTTAGTCCCTATCAACACATCTGTCTACCTCGGTACAGCACATCCATGGATGTATTCCAAACAGCCAAGGTAATTATTATTATTTTATTATTTTATTTGTTTGATTATCTTACCTACTTGCCCCTACTATTTTATTAATGGAGTCCCATGGAGACATACTCTGTACCCTCGTCTGCACTACGGGCTGACTAGCGACGTTGGAATATGTATGAATATGTAATCATCGTAATGCAGATTCGATTCATTATCTGAATAGAGCAAAACGTTGCCACTATTGGTACTGCATCAATTTATACCTGTAGGGATTGGTGCTTCCAACCCCACTCGTTTCTCATAAATAACTGGTCGAGTTACGCGGATTTCCAACGCTTACGTGATTAAGCACTAGGCCATACATAACTTAATACTATTATAATACTATGATATCTCATCAGATACTCGCTAGGCTGGCTAGGGTCGTGGGTCCGCCTCTACCAGCTCTACCAAGTGTAGGGTGTGCTGGGGATGAACTTCTACGATGTTTAGGCTCTTGGGACTTCGTTCCGGTTGGTCCCAAGAGGGCAAGCTAGGTACGATCTGAAGTTTGCGGTTTGCCAAGGGGTTGCAGATCTCTTACCCCATCCAAGCAAGGGCCGTCTTTCGTAATCCCGAGAAGCTGGGGGGGTGGTCTACAGAACCCATCCCGTGCGCCGCCCAAGCGCCTTGTGCTCCTAACGTGGTGTGCGACTCATCCAATTGCATCTTGGGTGCACGAAATGAGAGACAACGACAGCGGAAATCCTGCAGGTCAATGAATCCGGATCCATGGCACAAAACCCGGTTCCCGGGTTCCGTCAAAGTTGGTCTCTCTCACTTGTCATATCCCCTTCCCAACCCTACCAACGTCTTTTTTTTATGTTCTTACCTCTTTCTTTCGACCTCGTGCATGGCTATTATCCCGTTGGGACGCATCAAGCCACCAAGAGGGGGGGATAACGGGATAGGGATGGGGCATTAGGGAGTTCCCTAGCCCGGTGCTCGCTCATATGCCTGCCTCGGGGCTAGCTTTTGGATATCGAGTTTCACCGGGTACGCAGTCATACTAATGGGCTTGCCTTGCCCTAGGTCTCCACGAAAACCTATTCGTTGGCTCAAACGGTCGTCGATTTTCTGTTGAATTATCGAAATTGCAACTTAGGCGCCATCTGTTTCAAATTGAGCCGACAAGGGTAC